AAAAAATTCACTTTTTTTTGGTTATTTAATTTATTTTAGGGCTATTTATATATATATCTATATATTTTATATTTTTTTAGTATATAATATATATAAATATATATAAATAAATTAGTAATTTTTTTATTTTATTTAAATTACTATTTAGTAACTAGTAATTACTAATTGTTACTATTTAGTAATTACTAAATAGTAATTACTATTTTTTTTTAGTAATTACTAATTAGTAATTTACTAATTTTAGTATTTAGTAATTACTAAATAGTAATTACTAAGTAAGAACTATTTAGTAAATTAGCCCTACCCTGCAACTAGGTAGTGCTCTCCACCGTCCATTGTCTTTCATCATTCAACCTTGGTTCACACGCTCGACGCGCTTTATCCCCACACAGCGGTTCTTTGACCCGTCTCAGTCTTCAAAGCAACACACTCACTCCTAACACATTCGACCCCCATCAGTGCACTATACGCGGCGAAGCAGCGACCTCCCCCGTCATGAACGGCATCAAGGCAGACCCCGATGTCAAGATGGATCGGGACGCTGGGACGCCCTCGGGCAGTGGCTACATGGACGATGACTTCTTCGAGGACACTGGTGAGATGACTCTACCAAAGGACGAAGTCCAGAAGGACGTCTGGCTCACGCGCATCCCCGACTGGCTGTACGACGCAGTCTCCAAATGGGACGACCTTGCTGAAGGCAACGACAACGACCAGATACAAATAGGAGAGGTTCTCGCTTTCGCAACAACGAGCGGTATCGACAAGACAAAACCGATGCGAGTCTTCCTCAACGACCGATGGAGGGCAAAGGCAAATCTGCCGAGTGCCTTCCAGTTAGACCCAGCCTCAGCTTCAGAGACGCTGCTTGGGAATACATATGTCTTTACGGAAAAGGACCTGCCTGGTTACAGAGGTAACGGTTATGGTCAGTGGAACAGAGGCGGTGCACAGGGGGGCTACGGTGGTGTTCAAGATCCCAAAGCACGCGTGCAGAAGCGTAGCAAGTACAAGAAAGCAATACCTAAGCAGACTGCGCTCATCGGCCATTCGACACGTCAGTACAACGCAAACCCGCTCGAGACCAAGGAGTACAAGGACTTCAGCGCCCAACGCATCAAGCAAGCTATCCAAGGCTCTCATACCACTACGATCATCACCAAGGAAACCGACGTCACCGACTTCAAGACCCAGAACACGCTCAACGAGAGATTCAAGAACTTCATCAGGCCAATCGGCAAGGCCAAGTCGCAACAGAACAAGGCTGCTCGTATCTCTCGTGCCGAGCTTATCGATCTATTACATTCTTGCTTCGACGAGTTCCAGTACTGGCCGATGAAGGCGCTTAAGGCGCGGACGAAGCAGCCAGAACAGTTCCTTAAGGAGGTGCTTGGCGATATTGCGCACCTCGTCAAGTCCGGCTCATTCGCAAGCACGTGGCAGCGGCAAGCTATCTTTGACAAGGAAAGGGACACGAGTAGGCAGGTCGGAGCAGCCCCAGAGGGGTTGGGAGAGGGAGAATCGGACGGTGAGGAGGAAATGGAAGACGTTGTCTAGGAGCCTGTCTGGAGCCGTGACATGACCTCATGGACAAATATACAACGGAAGAAATACTGACTTAGTGGCGATACCCAGTCTTCAAAGAAGATATCTGTAAATGAAACAGTAGTAATATGCTATCGTTGACGCCATAATATGGTACTAGAGTAATACTTCGCAGCATCACTATTGAGCTCCAATGAGCATGGTAGTTTGTGGAATAAGCTTCGCCACTGAACATCTTGATGGTTCAACGAAAACGAAAACATACCACTTCCCACACGCCTCAGCACCCAGCACAATTTTCGTCACCTGGTGCCTGGACATCAACAGGTTATACTGTGCCTAATGCCCAAACCACAGGATTTTATATAGACAGTCGGTCATAAGTGAAGTGCGAGGATCTACATTTGGGATTAGCCACTGCTCGCGATGCCATTGTTGTCAGCCTCGCTCGCCTCTTCTTCCGCCAGGCACTGTTCCTGAACGGCCTGTGGCGACCACGCTGCTGACCCTCAACAGTTCTCTATGCCTTAGCCCTGGGTCCTTGCGCGCTGTTATTTTCAACCTATACGCTCCTTCCAGCAGGCCACATCTCTTCATAGACCATGCAATCCCCGTCTTCCCCTCTTGCCACCGCTGGACAACGGCCGGACCAGAGCATCAGTGTTTCCAGCAACGCGCCAAACGGAGCCTCGCTCACTGATGGCGTAAACAGCCACGATTCCTCGACGCACGACGCCCCTCAATGCGACTCGGGTGCCAGCGAGGATTCCTTTGAGGGTAAGAAAATAGCAGATGCAATCATGGCTACCGCTGAAGTCTATGTAGATTCGGCTGACGATAATAGCCAACGCCCGTCGTCGAGTAGAAATGGCACTGTCTTGATGCGGAAGCGCTTGCGATCCGAATCTCGCTCTTCGCTTGAATCCGAAGACTTGCAAGAACAGTCCAGCGGCCAAACTGCTACCATGAACGATCAAGCACAAAAGATGACTGACCTCATCGACAGGGAGCTTGAGAATTGGCCACACAGCAGCACCACTCTCACAACGAGTCTTAATCTTCACAACGCAGAACAAACTACTAAGAAGAGGTTTCCTGATCCCTGGGTGGCAGAGATTGTACCCGGCCTAGTTCTTGGAGACGTCCCAGCCTCAATATGCCCAGAAATGCTCCGAGAAAACCATATCAATGCCATGGTTTCACTGTACCAATGTTTATGTGGTTGGAAATTAGCGATGCTAAGAGCAGAGAAGCCAACCGACCGCCGCATATTTATCCGATGTCAAGACTCTTTAACTCTGGACGTCCTAGTTTACATGAGCGACATCTGTGACTTTATCGATCGAATGGCCTCTCCAGCCTTGCAGCTATCCTCATCTCCACTGTTTTCCGCTCTACCACCCTCAGAATCGATACTAGTGCATTGTGAAGCTGGACGGTCGCGTTCGCCAACTATTATTATTGCATATCTCATGCGAAAGTACTGCATGAATTACGGAGATGCTCTAAAGTTTGTTCAAATGAAGAGAAAAGTGAAGCCAAATCCCAACCTTGTAAGGCAACTTCAAATTTGGGAGGAGGTTGGGTACAACGTGTGGGAGGATGACAAGAGAATGATCCCGAAGGCGCCATATCAAGCATATCTAGATGATCGAGCAGGCATAATGGACGGGGAACGGGATCTAGACGCGATTGCGAATGCCAAAACAGCTCTAGATTCGCCCTATCCGATCGGGCCAAAGTTTGAGCCCCCATATTGCTGCAAAATGGTCGACGATTGCCCCTGCAAAGATTCAACACTACGTCCGCCTCGAAATCAGACGTAATAAACTCACTGTAGATTAGCATCCCATCTTTTCTCCCCTCACTGTTTCAAATTTCTGTGGCGACTTCTGCTAGACGCTGCACATCATGGAGAAGGGCATGCGCGGTTAGCACCGCATCATCAGCCTCCGCAAGGCTCCCTAGCCCCAAGGAAAGGCCAATATGGAGCAACATGCGGTGTCTCGTGGGTGGGGTCGATAGCCGCATTTTTCAAGCGTGGAACACACGACAGTGAGCAACGTGGGAACGCAGGATCTAGTCACAGACTATCTAAGTTTGAGTATAGGGGTTGGAGCACGAGAAAATGAGTTTTTGGTCGGAAGCTCTACGAATGCAGAAGGTATTATCGGCTTTGGCGTCAGCTATGATATCAATGCGATCAGTGAGGAAGCCGCAAATATGTGGAAGAGATTATATTGAGGGGTTGTTGGAAAAGGTTCGGGGGGCGAGATTGTAGATTGAGAAGGGAATCAGAGTCAATCAAAAACACAAAATGAGATCAATTCGGCCTCTTCCCGAGCCTCGGGTACTCTCTATTTATCGAGCTTGACTATTGCACAGGTTTATGTAACATTGAATGAACTTGGCTGATGAATGCTGGAGGACGCTTATGCCTTCTGGGAGATGATCCCTAACGTGCTGTTAGCATTTCATATCTTCCAGTGATGAACGGTCGAAGCTTACTCTCAACGTCAGTGACGCTCTGGTCTAGGATCTGCTTGAGAGTCTTGGGGTTCTCCAACTCCTTCTCAATCTTGGCAATGATGGAGTCAGCAAGCTCGCGCTGCTGCCTCTGCTTGACCTGACCCTCGTAACGGACCCACGAGTCCAAAACGGACTTGGCCTCGGCGGCAATGGCGGTCTTCTGCTCGAGATCGAAAGCCTGAGCCTCGAGCTGGGCAGTCTCCTACTCGGTTGTCAGTCTACTGCCGGGCTAAAGGGATATCTTATCCATCTCTCCCCTCCCGTGTGCCGTACCTTGGAAACCTCGAATAGGGTCTTGGTGATGTCAATGACACCGCCGAGATCCTGGACGCTCTCAATGCGCTGCTTGACGGCCGTGGTGTGGTCGGCACGGGCAGCGTTCAAGATGCCGGAGATCTTCTCAACCTGCTGCTGCGCATAGTCTCCCCACGCGGGTCCAGCATATTTCGCGACAGCCCAGAAGATGGTCAACAGCGACAGAGCGACAATGGACTCTTCGTTGACAACGTAGAGCTCGTTGCTGATAGCCGCGACACTCAGACCAGCGCCGGCCGAGAGCACAGCGGCCTTGGTGAGGGGGCTGTTTCCGGGGACGGGTATCGCCTGGAGAAGCGACTGAGCCTTCTTCTTGGGATCCTCCTGGGGAAGATTGGAGTTGTAGCGGGCCTGCACGGCGATGGAAGGAAGAGCGCGGAGAGGGAGCGATGGGCGGAGACGGGCGGCGCCTATTGCGGGTGAGCATGGGGGTCAATGGCATCGAAATTGCATCGGATCGCGAGTACTCACCGACCGCGCTCCTTGCCAGACGGGAAGCCATTGCTGTAGATGAGAGTGGGGAGTTTGGAGGTGGTGTAGTCGTTGCGGAGCTAGCTTTTCGTGATGGCTCTCCCCAATTGCCAAGGATGCGCTAGCCGAACTTCGGTCGGCCGCCTTCACTTTTTTTGAACGGGACCGTGATTGCGCAAGAGGGCAAAGGTCTGGAGATACCGTCTTCACAAGAACATGTCGGGTACAAAGACGGCCAGCGTTGCTGGCGCAAAGCGGAAACGGGACCCAAGCAAACCAGAGCGCCGCGAAACCAAATCAAAAAGCCGGCGAAAGTCTCCCAGCGAGGACGGCGACGATGTTCAGTCCCAGATTGTACAGCTTGAAGCGCAGATCCTCGAGTCGCGAAGACACTATAACAACATTGCTACCCTCCTACAAATAGCAAGGCAACCAGAAGTCGAAAATGAAGGCCCAATACTGGCTGCAGTCGCGCTTTGCCGAGTCTTCTCACGCCTACTTGCGACGGGGGACATGGTGAAGAGCAAGGGACTGGGAGAAGCAGAAGCAGTCATTGTGTCTTGGCTCAAGGAACGATACCGAGAGTACCTGGACGTGTTGTTCAGCGACTTCCTCCGCAGCGAGCATCCGCCCAAGCAATCCGTGGCCCTGACTCTAGTGATGCGGCTGGTCAAGGAGGAATCGACGACGCAGAAGGACCACAATGTCAAGAATGGACCTCTCCCAAGGCTCATCCAAACGCTGCTTAACCTACCGGCAGATGACTTGAACCGAGACGAGTTTTCCGACAAGTACTTCAAGCAGTTTGACGATATCCGGTACTTCACTTTCCAAACCATCAAGTACGTAGACACGCGCTCAAGGGGAAGACCACTTTACTGACTACAATAGGAACGTGCTCGACTCTGATCTCGAGATTACTGTCAGGCAGTTGGTAGCCGCCAACAGCATGTCCTTACTAGCCACGCTCGACGAAGTGCCGAAATCCAAAGCCGATATTCAACACTTTTATCTACAGTCACAAACTAAAAGCCCTATACCATCCCTCCAAGCATACAAAGAGAAGGCCCAAGAAGCCTGGCTCGCGACCATGCGAGCGGGCCTGAACAAAGAGCAACGAAAGTCCATTCTCACCACTTTCTCCTACCAAATCGCCCCATGGTTCCAGCAACCTGAGATGCTTATGGACTTCCTGACAGACTCGTACGACGTCGGTGGTGCCACATCGCTGCTGGCGTTGTCGGGGCTCTACTACCTGATTTCGGAAAGGAATCTCGACTACGCATCATTCTACCTTAAGCTCTACTCTCTCCTAGATGAAGGTCTCCTACATTCGAAGCACCGATCACGTTTTTTCCGCCTCCTCGATACGTTCATGTCCTCGACACATTTGCCCGCCGCCCTTGTTGCCAGCTTCATCAAGCGCCTCTCACGGCTTGCACTCCACGGACCACCCGCAGGCATCGTTGTAGTCATTCCGTGGATATATAACATGTTCAAGCGACATCCCGCCTGCACGTTCATGATGCACCGCGAGGTTCGCGACCCAGCGCTGAAAGAGGAGTTGGAGGAAGAGGGCATGGACGATCCATTCGACATGGATGAGCTAGATCCCATGCTGAGTGAGGCTATTGAGAGCAGTGTGTGGGAGCTTGAGGCGCTGCAAAGCCACTACCATCCCAATGTTGCCACACTAGCGAAGATCATCAGTGGGCAGTTTACCAAACGGTCGTACAACTTGGAGGACTTTTTAGATCACTCCTACACTGCTGTATGTTTTCCCCTTCGGAAACACACAAAAGACTTTTGCTAATTCATGACGGCAGCTCCTCGACGTTGAACTGAACAGGGATCTCAAGAAGGAGCCAGAGGTCGAGTTTGAAATACCGAAGCGGGTCTTCACCGCTGACGAAGGGTTGAATCCACTGGGCCAGTTGCTTACGCAGGTCATCGAGGCACAATAGACGGTCAATAGAAGCAGGGATTGAACACGACTGTTCTGTGCTACTCTGATACCCCTCTGATGGCCATGGTGATTACGTGCTCACTTCTGACATGCAGAGGATTGTGTGTCGTCCCATGGGTATACCTCAACCTTACACATAAGACACACCGTCTCTCGCTTCCAGACCCACGACCAGGCAATATGCCGTGCCTTGTTATAGCGAAAGCTCGCCTACAAGACGCAATCAATCTTCTCATCTGTCTCCAAGAAAGCTTAACTCGACCTCCTCCACCCTTAGGAAGTCACGTAATAATTGCGCAAGTTACGAGGCCTGGACGTGAAGTGCGGTCGTTTCACTACGTAGCACGACGCAATCTTGCATACATATTTCCCCGCAACTTTATTTTCCTACCTACCAACCTACTACATACATGCTCTAGCCCCAGCCCATGTAGCTGAAGCTGTCGCTGATTGATCGATCGATTGAAACGAGCCAGGTGCATGGAAACGTACCTACCCCTCCACACCACACCACCCATCCCATGCGCGACGAGAACGTTTGAAACTTTTACGCCCAGTTTCGGGGCCTCCATGCTCGACGAATATTGAATAGAAGGAACTAGAAAAGAGAGGTTTTCTAGCGTGTCCGAGGGAGGAGGATGAGAAAAAAAGAAACGCGTGTTGAGCTGCAATGCATGGTTGGAAAGCTAAGGGTACCGCTAATGCAGGTTTGTTGCGGGCGGCGTTTTGTGGCTTAGTTGACCTCTCCGAGACTCTGTTAACTTGCTCTGTTGAGATGTGGAGAGAGGGCTTTTAGGGGTGTGGAATGTGGAAGGTGATGAAAGGGTTCCTTTCGAGAGACGAGTTCGTCGATGGACAGTGGATGTATGAGTTAGGAAGCAGTGCTCCGTTGTGCAAGAGGCGGGGGAGTCGTGCATAGTGGCTTCACCATCGACGGGTACAGCAGCATATAGATATGCAGCATCACTAGCAGAACAAAGTATTGAAAGGGCAAGCAGAGTTTTGGGGGCGCCTTTTGTGGCGCCGATGTCTTGATTCAAGAACTATCTATACACGACACACATGCAATCCGTTGTGGCATTAGTGGATACATGCAGTCATACCTAAGCGCCAAACCCGACTCGATAGACTATTAACCACCATGATGCAAATATTACTCCAGCATATCGAATGTAATCGAACCCGACCATGCAACCGGTTATGTCATGGAAGAACCAAAAAAGCGAGTAACCACCAGTGCCGTCCTTTGGTGACGAACCCTAGTACATGGTTGGTATGCTAAGAAGCGATGACGAGGCGAGCAACATGTCGCGCAAGTCCAGTGCCGTGATGTGAAAGGGGGGAATGAATGGCCAATGATGGGGCAGGGCGTTTAAGCGAAGATACCAGCAGCCAGGGCGAAGACGAGGCCACCGAAGGAGATGGCGTTGCCGGCAGCAGCGCCGGTGGACTGCTGTGGTACGCCAGAGCTGCGGGTAGCGCTGCCTGCGACACCGGAAGACTTGCTGGCAGCAGGTGCAGAGCTCGAGACGACGGCGCCGGTTGAGCTGGGGACAACGACGGTGCCGTTACCAGGAACGATGGGAACGAGTAGAGACGAAGCCGGGCTGATGGGAGTGGCGGTAGCACCTGAGGGAGTGACTGGAGATGCAAATTAGTACACGCTACTTGATGAACTAGACATGAGGTGAGGTCAACTTACCAGCAGGGTAGGTGGCAGCGGGGGGAGTAGCGACAGACGAGGCAGCGGCGGGAGGGGTTGCCACGGACGACGCGCCAGCCGGGGGAGATGCTACGGACGAGGCAGCAGCGGGGGGAGAGGCAGCGGGATAGGTGCCAGCTGGGGGAGAGGCCACGACGGAAGAGACGGCGGGGACCTGGGTAGCGGGAGGAGCCTGGATCTGGCCGTCGCTGATCTGGGAGATGGGCTGAACCTGAGGAGCAGCGGCGACGACGCCAGCCAAAAGGGCAACGGAGACGGCAGAGAAACGCATCTTGGTGTTGGTGGTTGTGGATGTGGGTTGGGTGTTGGAATGGGAGGTTAGAAGATGATGCTGGATGGGTGGCAGCGAAAGGATATCTTCTGACAAGGTGATATTAACGGGTTTGGGGTTTGTAATGGGGGGATGAAAGAAGAAGAAAGGAATGCAAGACAGGGCGGCCAGTGCTATTTATTTGTGCAGGGCGAGGGCATTGCGACAGTGCGACAGCCTCGAGGTCTGTGCCTCTCCAGGGCTGCTCTTTTGCCCAGCCGCCCCATAGGCAGGCAGGGAGGCTTGTGTTTCGTCGGCAGGCAGGCAGGCAGGCAGGCACGACCCAGCCACGCACAGACGCCGCTTCCCTGATAGGCGGCTGGCACACAAGCATCCTTCCAAGGCAATTCCAAGTTTCTGATTGCAACGGCGAGGCTATCCCAATGCAAACGCCGCCCGACTGTTTGCGTCCATGACATCCAACCGCTCCCCCACTGCGCCGCCGAAGAAAAGCCTTTGTCAGGTTGGTCTCCTATCCAGGTCTTCCCAGTCTTTTCCTGCTCACGGACAGTTGAGTTGTTGAACGCCCAAAACCATAATTAAAGGAGGTGGTTCCTAGTGCCACGCAACCTCACTCCACTACCTACTCCACTGGCAGTCGTCCGCTTGGCCCACCACCTTATCCGACACTTGCACGGGAGGCTTGTCCTTGGCTACCTTAGCCAGGGGCAGACGCTCCACTCCAATCGCTTGTCCATCCATCGGCAGCAGCCTGTTGATCTTCCACCCTTTTAGCGCAACGCCACCCACACTCTCGCCCCCCCTCCGCCCTCTTGTTGGCGAACGGTGCCTGCACTATGCGTGTCCCGGGGGGCTTTGTCTCGCCTTCGACTATGAATAGCACATTCCCAACAACCATCTTCGTCACAATTTTCTCATGGGCAAGGCTTGGCTCTGGTTCTGTTTTAGCGACGCGTATGTGTGCGTGTGTGTGTGTGTGTGTGTGTGTGTGCCGAGAATGAACAAAGCGTGACCTTGCTAAAAAGGATGGCTGCATTCCTCCTTGCTGGGCTCTGGAGATTGTTCTCACATGCAGTGTGTTGGTAGCCCTCGCTCGCACGCCACACCAGCTAGGCCTATTCTTACCGGCTCCGAATTTCGCTAGGCCGTCCAGCAGTGCGTGCAGATTTTCGCAATGTAGGTACAGATTGCGCATTTTCGTTTCAATATATTGCGCGCTTGGAGAGGCTTGTTGCATGCCCACGCTTCGTGTCACCCCATATCTCCCAACCGTCTCCATACATGACGTTGCTCCAGGGGGGGGCCTCCTCCCCCCCATAGATAGCCATCGACATTTTGACCCCAGCCGCTGCTGTTTCACTGCCGCCCATCAAAAGGCTGGGGTAGCCGAGCCATTGTTGTCATGGCAATTCACCGTGCTAATCTGTCTATTTGACTGTGTCTGAAACATGTCGTGTTCCGAAGGCGGCGCGCCGCAGCGGTGCGCTGTCGTGGGACCATGAGTGCGAAACAATGTCTTGTGTGCACCTTTTCAGCTGTCTCTGTGCAGCCACGCTCCGCTTTTCATTCGGTGCTTTTCGCCCAGCCTGCAAAGTACTGGTTCCAACCGTCCACCAGCATGTCTTTGGAATTAGTGGGTTGCTACAGCTGATCTTTCCAAGGTAGCCCTGAATGCCTTTGTGGATTTCATATGTGTCAGTTTGGAATGACATCAATCAAAGGCAAGCGACGTGAAGCTGGACTCGGGTGCACACATTGTTATTGCAGCCAATGCGACTGCTTTCAAAAGTCTACGCTATGCGGCGCAGGAATAACGCCATTTCAATGCCTGGATATTTCGGCTCTCTCAAATCATTACGCAAGCCATGCAAAAGTAAATCAACATGCATCAACATAAACCCCCCCTACCAGTTTTCCATATTCACTTCTCCCTCGTAATCGCATCGCTACCGCTACTCCTCGACCCAGTCTCGGAGAGCGACTTGTTCTTCGTGGCCGCCATCATCGGCTCGGGTTTCAGTGGTCCGCCCGCAGTCGTACGCTTGAAGTAGTTGTGAACGTCGGCATGGTCATCCTCGTCAGCTTCAGCAGCCTCCCAGCCGTGCTTCTCGGAAAACTTATGCTGCTGGCGCTCGAACCAATCGGCGCGCAGTTCATTGATCTTCTGCTCGTAGTCCTTGGCCGCATCGTATCCCTTGTGCTGGCCGCGGAAGCGCTCCCACCATGAGAGATGCTTCCAGTGGATCGCAATACCGTGATAGTCGTTCTCCTTGCCGGCGCGGATGAACGCCCAGCGACGCTCTTGCTCCTTGAGGTCGATGCCAGTCGTGTCGGGAAGGAATAGCCAGGTGAGAAGAGCACCGACAAGACCAAACCAGGGAACAAAGTAGAACTTGGTCTGCGTATCAATGTAGTTGTAGAGGACTGACGCAAGCAGGGCACCGGCCTTACCCGCAGCAGCCGAGAAACCGTGAGCAGTAGCTCGGACTGGCGTAGGGAAAACCTCGGCGGCGACCAAGAAGGTGACGCTGTTGGGTCCAAATTGATTGAAGAAGGAAGACAAAAAGTACATGGCCTGGAAGGCGTGGATGTTCTCGGGTCTCGTGAAGTACTTGTAGGCAAAGGCGGGAACGATGAACAGAATGAAGTCGGCCAGGAAGCCGACGATCATCATCCATTTGCGGCCATAGAGCTTGTTGTCGATGAGGAAGGAGGCCAGGTAGTACCCGCACAGGGAAACTCCAACGTTGACCAGGTTGTAAAGCCACCCAGTCATGACCGACTTATTGCCCGGCGTCAGAACCTCGATGAACTCGCTCTGGAAGAGCTTGTTGCCATAGAAGAAGACGTCGTTGGCGAACCAGGTACCAGCAGTCGCGAGAAGACGTGGTCCAAAGTAAGAGATGGTAAGCTTCAGGGAAGTGACATCATATCCTGTTACGTTAGACTTCATCTTGGACAGCATCAGTTGCTTCGATGCCGACTTCATCTTGAAGTAACGATAGTAGACGAGCCACAGGGTGCCAACAGCCGGGATTGCGAACGAAACGCGGTAGGTCCATTGGGCCATGTTCTTCGAGTAGGGCGGTGATGAGCCGTGGTGGAAGATGAGAAGCAATATGATGAGGATGATCTGGTTGAAGAACTGGCCCCAACCTTGCATCAGGAAGGCACTGGTGACCTTCCTGCCGCGGTGGAGACGATCTTCCTTGGTGGATACTTTTCCGGATCCAACAGCGTTCTCCATGCCAGCGGTGGCAGTCATGGGGTATTCGCCGCCGACGCCAATGCCGTAGAAGAAGAGCGCCCAGACATAGCAAATGACCCAGCCGTTCTGGGTCACACCCCAGGCAGCAGTGAGCATAAGCAGACCGAGGAACATGATGATGGCGTCCTGGATAAGACCCCAGCGACGTCCTAACCAGTCACCGATGACACCGACCAGGATTTGGCCTTGTGCACATTAGCAATTGGCTCTCTTGTGGACACTCGAATGCTCGACTTACCGACAATGATACCGCAGATTTCCAAGTAATCAATGGCTTGCGTCCACGTCTGATTGCAAACTTTGAACGTCTTCCAGCACGCTGGAAAGGCAGCCTGAAGCAACGGCCTGACATTGCCAATGGAGAAGAGGACGTAACTACCATGAAGTTAGTGGAGGACGAGCGAGTAGACTACCTGCAGCACTTACCCTTCCAAACCAAGACCAGCACCAGGAATCACACATGTCCTAAAGTAATGGCTAAAAGGGCTGAGCGGATCCTTCTTGAACATTTGCCAGAAGTAGCTAGCTTCAGCCCTGTACTCCTGTGCGTCGACGTTGGTAACGAACTTGATCCGCTGGCGCAGAGGCATATCAGCCCAGTAGGTCCCATTCGCATCGTAAAGATCGTCGGGGTGTAGGAGGGCATGGAATACGCTAGCCTCGTTCTCGCTCATGTCGTGTCGGATATCCATGTCTGCGGTAGCAGTATGCTTGCCGGTCACGTTGGGTCCGTGAGGTGCAGCGATGCCGTAATCCCGAAGAGAGGACGCGTCCCCATTTGGAGAAGTCATGACGGTAGACGTCGTTGCAAAGATGCTGTAGGGGAGCTGTCAAGAACTGATGTCCAGTACCAAGGGTCGTAGCTGTGGCTTATATGTGCTCAACTGGTAGTCAAGGCGGCCGTTGTCCCACTGTGAGCGCTGATCGATGCTTGGAATTGACCGAGTCTAGCTGCCGCTCGATGACGTTGACTTTGAAATGCGCTTGGAGAAAATTGGTAGGTTTTGTCGCACCAGCAGTCCCACCTGCAATGCAGATGTGTAGCACGTTCAAAGGAATTGCTTCTGAGTGGTCGGCGATTCCTCGATAGTGGGAATGACAGATGATGATAGGAATAGTGCCCGCTGTAGCCGAACGCTCCGATGGCAGCGTTGCCTCTTGGTGGTGACGGACTGTGGGGGTGAGTGACGGCGCGTTTACGGTTTTCAATGACGGCGGCGGAGTGTGCAAGTTGGAGGCAAGCCACGAGAGTCGGCCGGAGAGGGACGGCGGCGAGGAGAGAGCGCAACACAGGCGCAGATTCAGTGAGCGAAGCTGCAGCTGCACAGTGACAGATGATTGTGGTGCTGTTTATATAAGGGTCCAGTTGGAAAAATTCTTATGACCGTCGCCTCTAGACGCGAGGTGCTAATACCAATGCTAAGTTTTGATTCCCCACCCAGTCCGGTAGGAGCTCACGCGACAGTCCCTCGTACCCCGTTCGGCGACGGCAGCGCGTTGTGATAGGCTCAGAAACTAGTGCAATGGCTCCACTGGCTGCATCAGTCCATGGATCTTGTCCAAGAGATGCTGGTGCGTTTCTTTTCCCCAGAGTTGTGTTCCCCAAACTGATACTCGAGACATCGTCTGCCATGCCTTGAATTGGGCCAAGCTTTTGCAAATCAGACACAAGCAAATACAAGCAAATTCTGTGAAAGGCGTGGCGGCAGACCAGACTTCAGAGGACCCGCGCGTGTCCGTGAACACAGCCATTGCCGTTGCCGTAGCCATCGGCGTGGGAGGATTCAAGGAAAGCTAGAGATGAAGTTTTGAGTAGCCAATCAGAAGGCTGTGTGGAGAACGTGCCGAGCTGAGTGGCTCCTGTGGGCGCGGGACAAGGAGCCTCGAACTTCGCCTATTTTTGCGGAGAATCCGAGACAGGCCGCGCGCTATTGACCAAAGTACCTTGCAAGTATATCCTCAACATGCCCTTCGATGGGCATTAGAAGTGCAATCGCGTGCGTTATTTCCGGGAGCGTGAATGGGTAGACGGCTGCCTGTCTTGCATATCCACATCATGTATCACACAGACTTCATGATTACAAGCAAATTAAAAGGATGAATATTATTGCTAATTGGTTGCTAATCGGCCTTGGATACAGTCCATCTAGGCGAGCAGGTTTTGTACATGAAATCCATCCAGTGGCTCTGTAGTATGAACGTGTTTTGCATGTCGCTGACATGGTATGCTGACGTAAGAGATGCTGATGCAAAGACGCCAAAAATCAAACGCTATGCAGAACTCCTCCGAATGCAAAGTGCTGCGTACAACATAGGCAATGCCCAAGATGAAGACTCGCGGGTCAATTGAGCCAGTTCTGCCACTGGCAACGACATCCTCCGGTTCCCCCATCGATGGGTCCAACTACATTTCCGCGGCCCTGCGTACCATTTACGAGGTTGCCTCCAAACGCGCGATCCTCAAACTGGAAGTATCGTTTCGAAGCCTCGTTCTTGATGGTGCCATCGCTCTCAATCTCGTAACAGTAGAGATTCTTCTTCGCTGCATTCCCACCATGACGGTCCATCGTGAACGTGACTGGGTAAGGGAAGGTACCTGGTCGCTTGAAGATATCCGATGCATTGGAAGCAGAATTCTGCAGTAATGGCTTGCTCTTCTGACTTTTGGTCCAGATTTGAACTAGGAATCGCGTCTCTGAATAAGTGCACCTTAGATTCGCAGCATCCTTGGTGCTTCCTCCGTCCGTGTCGGCAGGATTTCCGCCGCGGTTGGTACCGTTGATTTGCTTTAGGAAGATAGAACGATCAAAGTACGTGTAGAAGCCGTAATACTCGTTGTCTTTCCCACGATTGTACAGTCTAAGAGGTTGCGCAGAAGGAAGGGGCAAGAGGTTGGCCGATGCAGCAGTGCCATCCGAATCAAGCATGGGTGGAGGAATAACGGCCGTGATGTTTGTCGGATCGCTCGGATCAGCCCGCTTCGCAAGACGAGATGCTTTGCCTTGTGGGTCTTGAAAAGTGATAAACAAGGGAGTCTTCTCGCCTTCAAATGGAGCACTGTTCCCATCGGTTGTCTTTCCCAGAAAGTTCATGTCCGCATCGCTCGGAGGGGCTGGCGATGGCGAAAGCGCAGAACGCATCCGAAGCAAGCGTGACCTGATAAAGGCACCAGCTGATACGGCATTTGCAGCTCGTCTCGGTAGCACTGCTGAGGTACCGTTTTCATAAGTGATTCCGATCTTGAAGTTTGGCTGGTCCGGCTTATTCGGTTTTACAGACCCCTGAAGCTCTTTTGGAAGTGCGCAACTCCACAACGTCGTTGGTGCCACACACCCACTTTCCTCCTCCACCGCTTCGGGCTGCGCGATAGTGGATATACCGGTAGGCATAGGAGGATAGTTAGGTAAGTTAAGCCATTGATTACCGACATCTTGATTTGGCTGTGTCGTGGTAGGTTTATTGTTGTTCTTTCTCGTAAGGACAACGACCAATGGAATAAGGATTGCCAGAAGAATGAGGAAAATGAGACAACAGCAGCAGCCCCAGAAGCACACCCCTCTTTTCTTCTTCTTTTTCTCCTTCTGTGCGTCTTTGTGCTTTTGTTGTCTCTTCTTGCCGACTGGTAGGAGGCTCATGACATTGCAGACTTTTCGGTGCTTTTTGGGTGCTTTGAGATCAGGAGTAGATGCAGGCGAGCTGGAACGGCTAATGTCATCGTAGCTGAAATGCGATCCTTTTTGGGCGAAGGTGGGTGGGGGAGCAAACACCGGAAGACTCTGTGGTGAGTTGCTAGGCTTTTGCGTCGATGGATTTGCGTTTGCCGCCCGGGGCGCAGGCGCAGATGTGTAAACTTGCTGTACGCTCGGCGGATCGACCCTAAACGTTTGACTGTTCAAGAGCGGCCGCCTGTCTTGCAATTCTATGTTAATATTGATCTGTCGAGGCTGCTCTTCTACTTGGTGGGGCATTAAAACAGTGCCAATAGTCGCTGTGCCGACAACAGGCGATGCCGACATCGCTGATAGTGGCGATGTCACAACTCGTTCGGGGATCGAAGTGGCTTGCTGAGTTTGATGATTACCTGTGCTCACAGATACTGCATTCGCTGGGTTTGCGTTTACTTCAGTCGCGTTTCGATGACTCCCAGTCGTGGGGGAGCTCTCCCTTTCAACTTTTGAATGCATTTGAGATGGCTCGAGCTGGCTGGCATCTGGGGTCGCGGAAGACTTCAAAGGCGGGATCGATGCAGACTCAGCTGCTGACCAAGTGTAGGTAGATGGAGATGCTGGTGCGTCTTTGCTTGTATAATAGTGGGTAGGCAACAGTGGCATATCTGGTGTTTGCTCACCGGTGCGTTCGTTTACAGACCACGTTGCTGTGTTGGGTGTCATCACAAACGGGGTGGTAATGAAGTTCCACCATCCTTGCGATCTCCGTGGCGTAGGGACCGTTGAAGTATCGATGGCTAAAGGTGCATCGATTGTTTTCTCCCGTAGAGGAGTATCATCTTCCTCGAAAACTGTCCCAGTAGACATTATACGATTTTTCCTCTTCAAGTCGTCGTCCTCCTCGAACGCAGTTCCTACAGAATCAAGCGTGTCGTTCCTGATGTGACTGGGCACACCATTCCCACCCGAGGGTGCCGCAGTGTGGGATTGGGGGTTTGAAGATCCCGCAAGTCCTGTAGGTAGAGCTGGAACCGGTGGGACATCAGAATTTGACGCGTTGAAAGGATTGCGCGAGTGGATGCTGGGGGTATAGTCGGATTCCGTAAATGGTGTGTCAGGCGACCACACCGACTGCATTGCCGCAGCGGGCGTGATGATTATGCTAGGAGTGACCAGCGTAGTGTCGCTTCCTGCCCGATGCCGGACTCCTTGGTATGAGCTGAAGTCAGACACACTGTCTGTGGGGACGGAAATGCCGATGGGAATGCGTCGATCCCAAGGAGAAATATCTTGCCATGACTTACTCCCCGGTCTCAAGGAAATTGCTGTCATAGCCTCATTCCGGTCAATACTGGGATTTTTTCGGTGTGAGACCCCCGGTTGAGGAGTGCCTTTGGTGATACCTAGGCCCTTGTTTTTCGTTGATGATCTTGCTAGACTAAACCAACTAGGCTTCCTGACCATTCCAGTTGCCCGCTCATCATCGTGAGGAAACACTTGGTGAGGGGCGTTGCCTTTATGCCTTGTGAAGCTCGTATCGACAGTAATGCCTGGTTTGGCCTGTCGTCCTAGCAACTCTCGCCTTCGGCTCTTCTGACGGGATATGCGTGAGGCGTACGATCTCGAGTTGCGCTTCGCCGAAGCCTTTCGGTAGGCATTCTGAGTAGTGTATTTCCATCCTTCCTTCTCTTGTATTGTGTTGGACAAGGTAGAGGTGTCGTCAAAATCCCCATTGAAATGCACCTGTATCTGTTCGTCGTGGTCGTCTTGGTGCGAGAAAGGGCTGTGTCCGTGGTACACCCGATTTGTCGGATCTGTAGTAGTCTTGTTCGTCGTCCCATACGACGCATTTGGTTGTGGCTGCCGGCCGAATGGGCCTGATCTTGAGGTGTTCATATTGGGGGCTTTTACGGTGGCTTTTCGTGTGGGTGCAAATCTCGATGGCTGAAAGAGAGAAGGCGGGGAATTTGTGAGCTGGATTAAAGCAGCATCTCATGAACAATGCCTTGTTCCCAATCTTAGACTCGAAACTGAAACGGAGACCGTTTGTGGCGTTGCTATTGTGTGCTATTGTTCTATTGTCGAAACGGTGTATAGACAAGGCTCGAAACTTATTACGCGAGTGTAGGTGACAACAAAAGAAATGACAAAGCAACGAGGAACGTAGTGAAGGAGTGGAATAAAGTCGTAAAGAAGAAGGAGCAGGCGGAACAAAAGGAGAATGGTGAGGCTCTCACGCGGACACACGACCCCAGATCTTTGGATGGGCTTCCATGTTGCCGCCTGCTTGCCATACCGCATGTTGCATAGCTTCTACTTCTAGATCTCTGTTCTACCCTGTAATCTGATAGAAGCGCCGGTCACGTTGCTCGAGTGAAAGCTCGTTGGTCGAGGCAAGACTCGACGATGGGTCGAGGGTGAAGCTGATTGGAGGTAGAAGGCACATCTGGTACGTAGTGGGCGCCATCTCTCGAGCTTGAGGCTCAGTAACCGCCCGAGATTCGTTGGCTTGGAAATGTACAACGCGACGCGACGTCTGAGACGCTCTCGAGGCGGAGCTGGATGTCGTGGCAGGCCAAATGTTGGAGTGAGCCAGTGAGGTTGGAGAACCAGGTCGCCTAAGCGCCAGTTCATTCAGACAGGCCACCAACCACTCGAAAGCATTCTGCCAAGCAAGTACTCGTCTGTGGCCGCGGTCTCTGTGCACCGACCTCTAGTGTTGTGGGACTTTCATGATATTCCGACGGTAGGATCATTGATGAGAAGGTGGGCTGTTGGTACAAGTTCAGACAGTACCCCTGGCTCGCTGCAACTTCAGCTGTAGGTCCCGCGTTCAGTGGCAAGTGCGCGCTCGGTTAGTATAGAGCCCTATCATTTGCTATACGACTTGGCAGAGCGCAGCATGACTAAAAATTGGTCATAGAAGTATATCTACAAAGCGGTGGCGCATGTAGCGACTGCAGTTCTACTGTGGATGCACAGATAGACAAACGCAGAGTAGCATGGTCATTTGAGCAACGTCGGACACTTCTCCAGAGTTAGATAAGGGCACAAAGACTCTTGCAAGCCGTTGTAGATGCCATTGCTCCGATGCTCGTCGACCGCAGGTGAGGTTGCTCGGGAGTAGATGTCGCCATCTGAACACGAAACTGTTCATATGCTACTTAACCTCCCCCCGATTAGCGTTTACCACTGTCTGCCCGCTCAACATTGAGCCTCATCAGCTCGCAGGCCAGCCGTTGCAGTTCGCCGCGCGAGAGAAATGGTGACATAACGGGCAGGTGTGTGCGGGAGGCCAAGTGGATCTGCTAGTCAGGGCCAAGTTGCACTCCTTTCGGATTTCCTCCTGCTGATTAGATGCCAAGCAGCGAGCTTGAATACGGAAATTTTACTTATCGACCATCGCTCCTTTTCTGCCGGTAGCCCTTCTTGCGTCCTCAACACATTGGCCGACTGTCGCTCACGCTGATAAGTGCCATTGACGATAGCAGCTTTTTCGGCGTTACACTGCGTCAACTTCAACGCTCCCTTCCCGCTCAAGTGCGACCGCCTCGCTTCACCGTTGGAGGAACTGCATTTCCACGCCAGCTGTCCTCATTCGCCCTCAAACACCGAACACGTTGCTTCTGCGGTGCCATACCGTTGAGCATTTTACACCTTGCGCTGGCTCTATATCGACTGTAATCCCAGTCTTGTGGGCCTGTCGACGCAAGCCACGCGCTCACGGCGTCTTTACATTCCGCGCAGCCTCTCCACCTCGATAAGTCACGCTGGCTTCTCAATCGTCCTTTGCCGCTGGCCAACGCCGAAGGCGCTCCTCTGCTGCGCAGCCGCCGAACCTCAACCTCCCAGACATAGCAGAGGCACGTAGCAGACTCGGGACGACAAGCGGTCTCTCGGGTCGCTCCCTGGGCGACACGCTACCCACAATCCCCGGCACACCAGGTGTCCTCGATATGTCGAGATCGCCGTCCCCTCAGCCTGGGGGGTGGTCGAGTCCGGGCTTGAATACATCCTACGATACCGGCGGCCGAAGCAGCCCTTTTGCTAATGGATCGACATCGCACAATGTTACCTGGGCATCAGCTCAGGCGCGGAGCGCTGAGGTCAAAGGATACAACGGCATCACTCCTAGAGGCCAAGGCTTCTTTGGCAAGCACTTTCGACGGTTATCGACCAGCTTGCCCTTCAGCTACGGCGAGAAGGAGAAACTAGGCCGTGGCCGGTACCAGGGCAACAAATTCATGCAGCTTTTAAATCGTGTTGGATACACTCTTTGGCGGTTGAGAAGATCGCTAGGAGTGCTACTGTTTGTTGTACTCAGTTTTATCATTTTCTATGTAACACGTGAGTTGCCGTAACTTGCTTTTGTACACCCATAACTAACAGCCACAGCTCTACACCGGATGTACAGGCGGTCTTCCATGTTCGGTGGCGGCAGTAAATACGTCATTATCCTCGCAGCAAACCAGGGTGGAGGTGTGATGGAGTGGAAGGGTCCACGCGAGTGGGCCATCGAGAGAGACAGCGTCAAGAACAAGAAGAAGTATACGAAGAAGTGGGGTTACGACCTGGAGATTGTGGATATGAGCACGAAGAAGCGTTATGCACACGAATGGAGGGAAAGTTGGGAGAAGGTGGACACGATTCGAAATGCGATGCGCAAATATCCGCACGCTGAATGGTACGTTGAAGTATAGAGAGTGTTTTCGAATACTAACACGGCCTAGGTTCTGGTGGTTGGACACGAATACTTTCATCATGGAGCCGACGTACTCGTTACAACAGCACATATTCAAGCGCCTGCAGCATATAACCTACCGCGACATCAACGTGTACAATCCTTTGAACATTACACACCCTCTGACGGATGAGTACCTCGACCCCGAAACGCGGTCGGCGGTTGGCGACGGAAAGGTCGACTCGATCAACATGCTTATTCCACAAGACTGTGGCGGCTTCAACATGGGATCGTTCATGGTACGAAGGAGTGTTTGGACCGACAGGTTGCTAGACATATGGTGGGACCCTGTCGGCTATGAGCAAAAACACATGGAGTGGGAACACAAAGAGCAGGACGCGTTTGAGTACATGTACCAAAACCAGCCCTGGATCCGCCCACATGTTGCTTTCATCCAGCAACGCCAGATTATGAGCTTCCCGCCTGGCGCTTGCGGAGATCAGGGCGATGACCCCAATATTCACTACCAAGAGCAGGATCGAGACTTTTTGGTCAACATGGCGGGATGCGAATGGGGTCGCGATTGCTGGGCCGAAATGTACAACTACCGCCAACTCAGCAACCGGTTGAACAGGAACCCTTGGGAGAAGTTCAAAGACGGCATAAGCGACTTTTTCAAGAAGAGCAAGAAGGACGAGAAGAAGAAGAGCTGATCTGTGCCAAGTTTAGGGGTGGTGGGGATGATAAGCACGAGCATCGCACGCATTTTCGGCATATTTTGGATTGATTCTGGGCTGGCCACTCGGTTTATGATTTTGCCATAATACCCATACGCGTAGAAGGTCACGAAGTTTGGGGGTTTGCATTTGGTTGGCGCAGTCCGGTATCATATATTGTAACATGGTCAATACCAGTCTAGGGCAGTAGGTTGGCGGCACCTAGAAGTAATTTATCATGCCCCTATGCAGCTTTATAGATTTTGGAGCCATGCACAAATAGCAGGAAGACGTGTATACCACTAAACGGGGCGCATGAAGGTGGTGATGACGTGATGGATAGTGTGCTATAACGCAAGCAGTCGGGCCCAAGCCAAGTATCGTAGCAGAGTAAAGGCAGACGACCTTGGGACTACCTAGACTTTGTCTCGTGAGCACCACGCCAGACTGCTCAGCCCCCCGAAACGGAAAGGAGCGTGTGCGACGTGTGATTCGTCTACAAGCCAGCCCAACGCCCGCCCTGCTGCCATTTGTCTCTACGTGACCGGGCTTGGTGCATACGCACAGCACACGGGGCCAGGGACAAGCCTCCATCATCCTTCGCCTTGGCCTTGATATTGACTTGACTCCTTCGCCCTCTACTTACCTCTAGGATTTCTTTGTCCTCGCAGCTTGCAACACTCGACGCCTCTACGCTCGTGTCCTGGCCCCACCAGACGCGACCATCCGCATCCACCTTCTCCCCCGCCCCAACGTCATTACGTGCCAGCTCGAGGCCGTGCGCTAGGACCGGCATATCTGACCTCCAACTACGTGGGCAGCGACGTGTGGGCGAAGCGGGGAGGGCTTCGAGTCTCATCTTGCGTCTCGGCTTCTTTGTGTGCTCCTGTTGGTTTGGAGTGCTTGTCTTTCCTTCTTCACCTCCACAGTGGTGGACACCGCACGCCACAAAACAAAGAACCGAGATCGGAACCAGCGTTGGACGGTCCGCTTGAGCGCATATCTCTCCACCACCAACCACCTTACCGTGTGAGGGTTTGAGGGCATACTCTAGAAGGCCGATCTCGCAACCGCTGCTGCTTCAACTTGGGCCTCGCGACTGTCTACGATGCACGACAACCGCCCACCGCGAGCAGCAAGACAGACCGAAGAGACGCATTCTCAGGATCCAAGCATGGAACCTCCACGGCCAGTCCCCTCGTCCTCTAGGCAACGTTCAGAAGGTAAGCGCCAAATCCACCCTTGTCTTTGTACCTTTGTGATTGCTGTACACATTCAATATCATGCATAGGCTTACATGATAGACCACACAGAATCATGGATCGAAGTCGGATCAAGACCATCTTCTTCATCGCTCTCCTCCGCTGCCGACGAGATTATTACCACGGGACTCACTGTCCAGCACGACTCAAACCTGCACCGACGAAACAGACGTACACGAGGCGGTGGTCGGTTTCAAATAGGCACTGGGTATAGGGTCACAGGTGCAGGAGGGAACAGCAGTCAGGAAGAATATGAGGAGAGCGAGAGCGAATCGGACAGGGTCATGACGTCCTCGAATGAAGGCATCGGCCCGTCACCCCTAAGGCACGAGATAAATCGCCCAGCTCGGAGTCCGCAGTCAGTCGCTTCCTCGGAAACCATGTCGGAGAGAGAAGAAGATGATGAAGACGATGATGAGAATGCAACGGCAGTGAACTACCCTCGATCGTCAAGACGAGAGTTTCAACCACGACCAAATGCCTTCTCGCACCCCAATAGTCAGCAAGCGATACGATCGCAGTCCGGAACGGTGTACACCCCTCGTCGCAATGTAAGGCCAGACTCGCACCGACAGCACTCATATCCTCAGCACTCGCCCTACAACGTTATAGCGCCCAGCTACCAACCAGATCACGACGAAGCATTACGCGCCAGTCTATCGACACTTCTATCCGCTGCCGCCGCTGTACGAGGGCTCCCAAAACCTGGGCAGCCACGCACGAACGCCCCTTCGTCCGCTCGAGTCGACCCAACGTCACTCCGTCTCGTCCCAGAATCAGTAGCCTTGGGTGATGTGTCAGAAGAGACGGCATCTTCTCCCCGCACCGCAAGTAGCAGTCCCTCAGACAAGTCCAAGCGTAAAGCAAGCCCCCCTGTCGTAGCAGGTGCGCGAAGTAGTAGCAAAGATCGCCGTGCTGTTAAGAAGCCGCGAAAGACAGGTCCGCTCATTGAAGAAATTAGTCCCACCCTGTTCACGTGGGTTGTCAGCGCTGGCGTTGTGGTTCTAGTGAGCGCGCTGAGCTTCTCAGCAGGCTATGTAGTTGGCAAAGAGGCCGGCCACGCTGAAATTCTTGGACAGATGGGTGTCGCCGGCACTGAAGTAGGAGGATGTGCGAAAGAGGCTACCTCTGGGTTGAAGGGAACTGGGCTGGGTCTCCGTAAGCTCCGATGGACTGGAGGCGCTGGGATTCGAGCTTGAACACAGTACGTCGCTCGAGGCGAAAGTATTAGGAGTCACAGGGACATGTTGAATGATGGTAACTAGATGATACGAGCGTATGAGCAGCATGGGCATCTGGAAAGCACGTACGGGCAGGCATGGACTTACTCCGATTTCTACACCATTATTGACGGCGTTTTTCTTTCTCTCCCGTTAGCGTTTTGGACTTTTCATATATGGCTCATGGCGCGGTATAGGCGTTGGTCAAGCATAAGGATTAGCATACTGTGGAGTTGTACTTCACGGACAAAATAAACAAACATCATCAAAATTGCCAGTTTGCCGTGCGGTTAAGCTTATTGTGATCATCGAAAACTATAGCTACTTCTGTGTCAAATCCTGACACACGCTATCGATGGACGTAGTGTGACTATAAGCGCTGACAAAGTGCGGTCAGGTCATGTTAGCAGTGCTTTCGTGTAGGATCAGGGTATCATTATCGCTTCAACTTTCTACTTCGTTGACCAACTCCATATTATCGCCTTCGATCATCTATCCAACTCTCTCCTTCCACTCCATGTGCTGGCACTTCGGACGGTCTACTATTCCCATCCAATTCCACAGCATAAGCTCGTGACTCCCCGCTAACCTCTCCCACAGGCTGCCCCGCGTACATTTCTGATGTACTGTAGCCATGTTTTTCAGCAATCATTCCTCCCTCATCAGCTATTTCATATACCGGGCTCTTCGGTGCTGGAGCCACTCTCTTCCGTCGCCAGACCATGAAAGCGATAGCAGCCATGATGCCGATGGCAGCTACGACACCGACAACGATGCCTGCAATTACCCCTCCTGATATCCCGCTTGAACCCTTTGCAGCGGCAGATGTTCCACCTTCTACAGCTGTATCGCACCTACTTGCAGTACTAATAGCTACCACCTTCGGCACAGCAGGTTCTTCTTGTACTGGCGAGATTGTGAACTCGTTCTTATCGTGGTTGACCATCAGATACGCCGACGACAAGAACATACCCCCTAGCCGCGGCATATTCTGATTTGTGTCTGTATATTGAACGATGGGGATGTTCTTCCAGTCCTGGTTGCGCGATATCAAACCGTTGGATGCAATGTACGGTTCATCGAAGATGAGCTGCTCGTTCCGGATTGTTACGTTGATGGCATTATTTATCGTTATTGATAGGTTGCCGCTAAACATTCTACTACACTTTAGTCATGGTCCTGATAGCAGGATGAAGTCTAACGTACTCGTTCTCAGGCTTGACGGAAGCTATGCGGTAGAACAACTCGCTGCTAGTGCCGTTGTTGAAGGGAGATGGCTCGACGCCCATCATCTTGGCCATTTTGTCCCAATATTTGGCGGGCAAAGTGAGCACACTCGAAATTGTTGGCACGACGCACGCCTGCAGTTTCTCTGATCCCTCTAGGATGTTCTGGGTTCCTCCACTTACGGACTGCAAGCTGAGACTAGTCAATTCCACGACCATGCCTTCGCGACACCGCCACTGGTTGCGGGTAAACGTCGTTGTAGTGTTCGGGAAGTCACCAATGAGAGCTTGATCATAGCCTCCGAGGGTGAGCGAGCCATTGCGTAGTTTGTCCGAGATGGCGGTGTCGGTGCCCCAGAAGAACGAGTACGTCTTCGATGCGATCCTCTGTGTGGATGCCAGCGCGTTCAGGAAAGTAGAGTTCATCCCTAATCCCAATTCGCCTTTGTTTACGTATGCATGAGCTGAGCTGACGCGAACACCAAAGTCGAATTGGGGAAGCTGCAATGTAATGCCCTTCTCTATCTCTTCTTGCAGGACTACATCGTCGGTAGTCCACTTTGCGGTTGCGTCATCCCAGATATGCTTGATTGATGTCCCCGTTTTGCTCCCCTCCGACAGCGCGCTATCGTAAAGGCCGCCTCGGTATGAAGTACATTTTTCGAGCGTTGTGTTCGCGGCGCAGAAGCCATTTGTGCCATACATGTACGTATCATTATACGAACTAAATTATCACGTAAGTCGTGCGTCGTGGGAGTAATGCGTTGAATCAGGACTGACGCGCTGGGTAACAAAGCTATTGTTTGGGCGTTTGGCCTGCCAATCTTAAATGATACACCGCGAGCCTCTGCGCGGTTGGCTAGCACATTACTCTTGAAGGGAAGTGAAACTGTGAGTGGCCTGCATTCTGCTGCATTTGAACCCCAAATAAATTGACTCGCAAAGTACGCTAGGTAACCCAATCGCCAGCGCATACTGAGATATGACGAGAAGGAAGGGAAAGCAAACTAACAAAGTTGGGAAGAAAGAGACAGAGAGCGCGCGACATCTTTGAAGATTAAGGTTTTTGTTGTGCTATATATTAACTTGTCAGCCGCCTTTTGGAGGCCTAACGGGGCGTATGCTGGGGTAAGGTGAGTACCGCGAATCAAGGTTCGTAAGGCTAGCCTTGGCGCGCCAAATTAAGTGCAAAGAAACCCCTATTAGCTTTACAGCTAGGTACAATCTGATATCTTGGGGGCTAATCAGGCCCCAAAGCGTAAACCTGGCCGGGCCGCACCGCCAATTATAGCTAAAACTACGAGGGAGGGGAAAAAGTCATACCTATCCTCTTCCAAAGGATAAGCCGCATCCTTTGGGGACTCTGAACGTGGAACAACAGTGCCTATGTAGTCAGCACGCTAACGCTAGTACGAGCAATCGTACCAACTTCTTCGCACAACAACTAGTGCTTAGAAATATGTTCAGGGCGTACTTTCAATCAAAGCCATATCTTGAGCGATTAACATGTGAGTTCAATAAGTATATATTCCCCTCCGTAGTCAATCAGCATGTTCGATATCCATCCAACCATTCCCCACCTCATCCACATCAACCTTGACTCTATCTATTCGCTCGACCTCGTCAAGCATCATCTTGAATCATGTCTACAGCCTTACCCACGACAAACACCAGCCCCACGCCCTCCCAACCAGGCCGCTGGATAGTTACTAAATTCGGCACCCCCTCGGTGCTGAAATGGGAAACGTTTGACTTCAACTCCGAGCTTTCAGATGACAAAGTGCTTGTCCGCATCATCGTGGCTGGCATTGCTGGCGTCGACAACATCCAGCGAGCAGGCGGGTATCCGCATCCCATAGCGCGCGAACCCGGCTTCACAACAGGCTACGACCTTGTCGGCGAAGTCATCACCTTGGGCGACTCGGTACCTAAAGAGAGCGGCTTGACGATTGGGGACTGGGTCACCTCACTATCTATGTTTGGTGCACACGCAACCCACATCGTATTGCCGCATACGAATCTGATAAAGATCAATCGCACCGATGACCCGGTTAAGATCACTGCTCTGCCACTCAACTACATGACCGCATGGGGCATGCTCAAACACAGCGGCGTGCACCTCCCTCCTGGGTCAAGCATCTTGATCGGTTCTGCGAGCGGCGGCCTCGGGACGGCTGTTGCGCAGCTCGTCACTTCTTTCAATATGAATATCCAGATGATTGGGACGTGTTCGCCCTCCAAGTTCGACTACCTCCGCTCCCTCGGCGTGGCGCCCATTGACCGCAATGCTCCCGATATTGCTGAGCAAGTCCGCGGGCTTACCAATGGAGAAGGCGTAGATGTTGCTTACGATGGTCTGTGTAGCGAAGAGAGTTTGCAGAAGAGTCTTGCTGCGACAAAGAACGATGTGGGGAAGGTTATTGTGTTTGGTGTTATGGGAGAGATTGCGGCGGATGGGAGCCGGATGCACAGAGATGTTGAAGACTTCCTTGGAGAGCGAACTCAATCATTGCCGCGCACAAGCTTCTATCAGCTTGATACCGGATACGCTAAGAATAATGGTCTGGAGGATCTTTATGCCATTATGGACAAGGTAAGAAGTGGAAAGTTGGAACCGGTCGTTGCGAAGCTGTTGCGGCTAAGTGAGGCGGTGAAGGCACATGAGCTCCTTATTGATGGAAGTGTGGTCAAAGGGAAGATGTTGTTTCTTGTTGATGCCGATCTGGCTGCTCGTTATGGTATCTAGACACTCATGCAAGACCAAGGAAATTATGTGGGTGTCTTGTGTATCGATTGACCTCTCTAGTCTATTACGCTTTAGCTAGACAAAAAGCGACCACACTCGATGGAAAGTACTTGTGAAAGTGCTCGAAATCCACTCCGGTCATGCTAACAAAATAATCATGCACATGAAGCTTAGATATTCTCCTGTAACGCCGAGCGTTCTTCTCTCTCTTTGTATCCGTCCGATCCTTTATTTGTTATGCCAAAGTAGCGTCCGTAGCGAATCCCAATGGTCCGACTGTACGTAACTGTCCCACGGTTAGTAGATATCCTAAACTCAAACCCTCGTCAGTCTACTCACATATAGCTCATACTACTCCTCAAACTGCTCTGAACACTCTCAGGATGCCACCGAAAGATATACATTACCATCGCCCAACTCAAACTCGCGAAGACTGGCCACCCATTCCTTACCATCGCCCTCCTCATCTCCCCGTTACCCACTAACTCCCACCCCCCTCCCCCAGCTTTCATATGCCCATGCCCATGTCCTATAGCCCCCCTGTCTACTGCCGCACCGCTTGGATGTCTAGTTTGCACAGCGAGCTTCGCTAATGCTAAGCATACCCGTGCGGCTACGTAGATGACAATTTGCTGAGATACGGAGTTGTGGATTGTGCGGCCGAAGACTGTGTAGCCACCGAGTAGGCCGGCAAGGAATGCATCGTAGTGTCTTTCTTTGCCCGTGGGGGAAGTATGTTTGAGGAAGAGCATGGCGGATTTGTAGACGAGGGCGAAGAGGCCTAGGTTTCGCGCGTGTTGGCGTGTGGCTTTATAGACTAGGATAGATTTTGAGCGCAAACTACACGATGTCGTTAGTCGTTGTGACTGCTTGATTGGGAGAGGTGAAATGGGGAATGAAAGGGATGGGGAGGGGATGGCGGATTGAGATTGGGAGTACGCACGATCCGGAGCGGAAGAGGAATATCATCCTAAATGTATAAGTCAGTTAAAATCCTGGCCATCAGCGCTCGAAAGCGAATACATACACAAGCGCATGCGGAAAGCGCACTTTACTCCCATACACGATGCCATTCCTCACACCTTTCACCAGCGTAAGAATGTCATGGTATTTGGGGTCTAGGACGATCTTCTCAAGCGCAGCCTGTCAACCGTCAGTCGCTTTTTCTAACCCCATACACAAGTTGTCTCGTACCTCGAGCGCATGTAAACTCTCCATAGCGTCAACGTGTGTCTAGTTGCTTGCGAGAAAGTAGTTTCGGCGAGCCTCGGTACGCGCGAGTGCTATGACGCTTGTTGCTACCTATCACGGTCGCAACGAGGTAGGGAGGGAGTAATCGTGGAATAAAAAGAAGTACTAAATCACAAGCCGCGAATCATGAGGCTGGGTCGGAGAACACGAAGATAATCGGGTGTTGTGTTGGACCGCAGAGTCGCAGTCGCGCAATGGTGATGGATTGATCCTCGGCTCGCGTCACATTGCCGGTCGCAGCTTCCCCACGTTAGAGCACTCACACTAGCCACCAGAGAACGGCAGGGATCTTCATCCTTCACATGTGAAGACAAGGCCGCGTTTTCCCATGTGCTTATCATTGCGTTGCGCTTGGTCTTCTATGCTCAAACAGAGTTTCCTTGTTAAACTCATAAATCTATCCTGAATCTCGTACTACCTGGTATCTCTGTGCCGCTGTTCCATGCTGTGCTTTTCCGTATGTACTCCATATTTAAACTCCATGCTCCGAAAACATGCTTGAAAAAATCTATGTCTCGCCATCCAAATTCCCTTGGTGTAAATGCTCTACTCCGCCCCCCGATCAGGCCAGTGCTTCTTCAGCTCTTCAAACACCGTGAAGATGAACGCTGAACTGGGTATCGCCCTGCCGACCGTGATGCCGCATCCACGATACATGCCCTTGATCCCGTGTTGCTTCCAAAGCGCTTTTCCTACCGCACCGAAGGTTGACTTGCCGCCTGTTAATTGCCTGATGTCTTCTGTCTGCATCCTAGACTTGATGGTATCCGCGGGGTAAAACATGAAGTTGTAGGCTGCACCAGCAACGGCACCCGACACCATGCGCTGCCAGACAGGTAGTCCCTCATCAGTACTTGACTTGTTCAAATCTTTAAAGAGCATTTTCATGCCTTCATATCCGCCAAACCATGCTGCACCGCCCCCAGTTTCGCGAATAAAAGTGCCAAATTGCCCATGCCAGTAGCCCAAGATGCCTTGGTGACGGTAAATTGACGCAATAGTGCCTAGAATGCCTGGTGCTGGAAGGACGCCATTCGGGGTCTCTATAGGGACTTGCACTTTGCATTTGACAAGTTCAATTGGTGTGAGGAAGAGGGATGTTATGGCTCCAGCTACCATTCCGCAATACAGCATGCCTGAATATGGGAGATCTCTTTCGGGGTGTCGCTTCAATTCAGGATAGACACCTGATGCCTTCAAAGCATCACAAGCTAGGCGGTACTACGAGTAGGTCAGCGTCGTGCTAAAGTCTTCAGCAAGCCATCTGCACTCACACTGAAGAACAAGGTGCTCGTCTCAACCGCAGCGCCCACTAGAGGCGCACTTATTCCTCTATATATCCCGATGAAACCATCTCGCTGGAGTGACTTCTTGAAGCAATCTAACGGACCGGCGTATCGTAAGGGTAGGCTGTCGGGTTGCGACTGTAGGCGAACCTTGACCGTATCGAACGGGTACTCGATGTACTTTCCAACAACTCCGGCTGCTGAGCCACATATGATATCTTTCACGGCTTCCTCGCCTTGTCCGGCCATGTGTGCTGCTGCAGTAGTGCTTCGCCCCTCTTCCACGATCACTGGGTTGGGCAGCTTGCCTCTTCCCCCCACCGCCGACACCGGGCTCTTGTGTGCTTCCATAGAGGCAAGGCGTGTGAAGCTTTATGAACGTATGTACAGTTCGGTGCGGTTAAATAGTTGTTATGAGGAGGTGGTCATGGTACTCTGCGCAGAGTGGAGTTGAATAGAGTTGGCGGCGAGGAGAGCGCGTGGCTGGATGTTATGGAACAGGTTCCATGAGTAGGGCCGAGTGTAGGATATTTGTGAGATGGTAAGTGGAGCAAGCTCGGAAGGAAAGTGTCACGGGGGATAGTTTGCAGTGTAGCACGCAACGGGCCGCAGGATGTGCGACTTTTGGCGGAAAGGATGAATGCACCAGGACAAGATGGCGCCCAATGTGGTGCAGAAGGCAAGGTAAAATTTTCCTTAGCTGCGAAACAACCCTGCGTAGTATCGGAGAAGGGACCGTTGTAGCAAAGAGTGGAAGGCGCGCAGCGCTTGCAAGTCAAGGTAATACTGTGAAAGGATTGCGTGTGACGAGCAAAAAGGCTCATTGATATCCGAAAGTCTGGTTTTAATCTTATCAGATCTGAGAGATGCATTGCCGCAAGGCCCCCGCGCTCGAAGGGGCGTTAGCTTCCCTGGCTATCGATACCGGCTGAACTTTTCTCTCGGCGGCAGAGTGTTCGAGATCTTCAGCACCGCGGGATCCACTCGACAGCTCAGCACCACAACATGTCCAACACAGTAGAGACCGACGCCCCTGCGGCTTCCGCGGTAAGCGCCATCAAGGGCATGAAGAAGAACGGTATGCGCACACTTTGGAACATCTCGCAACCAGCATGATCTAACTACTTCAAAGGCAAGCAATGGCACGACAACAAGACCGCTTTCCGACCTCGATCAAATCAGACAACATACGAAAAGCGCGCAGCGGCTGATAGGGCACTTGCAGCTGTCAAGGCCAAGGAGAAGGAGATGAAGGCGGAGAAGGCAGCCGACAAACAAGTATGCGCGACGACTTGTATGCAGACGAATGGAAACTGACCAAGGCCTAGCTACGAGTCGATGCCATCAAGACAAAACGCGCGGCAAAGGAGGAGCGAGAACGGTTTGCGAAGATGGAGGAGAAAATGCACAAGAAGCGTGTCGAGCGCTTGAAGAGGAGAGAGAAGCGGAACAAGATGTTGAAATCTTGAGCACTGTTTCTGAAGGGACATAATTGCCCAGACTGAGAAGATCCAGGCAAGAAAATGCCGCTTCGAGAGGAAAGACACCCACATGAACCGGGTGGTACCTGATATAGGTACTCACCATACGAAGGGTAGCCTGGATGCAGAGTGCTCAAGGCGCGGAGCTTCGATGGAGTCGGCTGGTTTACACTGATACTCGGAGCTTCAGAGAGACTTAATCTCGATGCAAAACTTATACATTCTTCGAATGTACAATACAATCAGAGATCAGATAGTCAACTCTACAAGTAACATATTCTTTGCGAAACTTCGGCACATTGCAACATAGTCTCTGCATTTCAGTCAACGGTTTGTGCACTAGATTCTCGAATACGAGGTCAATAACTCATCACCTGAACAATACCAAGGGACAGACCAAACGAAGAGCTTGACTAGTGTCTCTTGCCGTCCACGGGTGGCCCCGGGGTCCAGGTAGCAGTGCAGTTCCAAACTCGGTTAGCGCTCTTTATCAGGCCAGTGACGACACATGGGAGTGACCACAAGCTCCGCAACAACGGCTCCTGCGCTCCACTTCCTCACTACCACCATGATATGGATGGCCAGCTGCATCTCCATGCAGGCCTCGCCAATTCCTCTTTGCGCCCAAATCTCTATCACACCAAGTCCGGGACACGCATAGTTTCAAATCACGACCCGAACAAGAAGTCACATCTACACAAGCACAAGTCGCACCGGCATCATCACCAACATGACGACCAAGAGCGGCATAGCTCAAGCAGGCGTCATGCAGCGAAAGAAGCTGTGCAGTCTGCTCTGCAGATAGAGCCTCCGACGAGCTTCGGCGACTTGCTAAGGCAGACAAGAGGTAGTAAAGAGACCAGCCCGAGCCATAGTCGCAAAGGTAGTGTTGCAACGGGTCAGGCCGACGGTAATGCGATTGCAAAGGAGGATGGTGATGGGGCGTTCATGATGCCACCTCGGAGGCCACTCCGAGCGGAAGATGTGGAGAAAGAGGCAAAGAGGGTTGAAGCTAGGGAACGGTACGTACATCGTCTCCGTAGTCGAGTGCCTGCAATGTCTATGGCTGTCTAACATAGCATACAGAGACCTCCGCAGTGCCCTCCAATCTCTTTCCGATCAGTCCCTCAAGACATCCCGCCGCCTCGACGATACATATTACTCTATCCTCGAGAAGCTATCTGTCCTCCGACAGACTATCGGGAGTCTACAAGAGCTTTCTGGCTTGACGAAGGAGCTGCATGATAACTTTGAAACGGATACAAAGGAACTGATCGAACATGTAGAAGGGCAGTTCGAAGGCTTTGGTGACTTCAAGGCCCAGCAAGAGCAGGTCAATGGACTAGAAGAGCGGATCAAATCGGGGAGGGAGAAGGCAGAGCTATTAACGACGCGACTTACGAAGGCGAAAGAGCATGTTGATTCCAAGGCGAAAAGTGAAGCACAGTGGGAGGCTAAGAACACACGTATGGTCATTTGATCCTTTTTTTCAACAAAGAACTAATATTTTTAAACAGGTCGTCTTCGCATCTTCTGGGGCATACTCGGTACCATCACCGCCTTGATATTCGCTCTAGTCCTCTTCCACCAGTTCAAACCAATTCATATCCCCAAAGACCAGAAGACTTCGCTCGACTTTGCTTCCAGGGCCAAAATTATGGACGCGCCGATACCAGATATAGCGAAAGAGGCCATCATAGGATCAACGCCAAAGATAGCGACATCAAGTATCGAAACATCAGTTGCTAATCCTCTATTAGAAGATGACGAGCGGTTGCGTGGATTTGATGAGCTATGATGTTGTGTTTTTGAGTTTTAGATACCCCTACTGCTGAGCTCTTTTTAATTCAAAATTATGCTTCTTTTCTCTCAAATGTGCCTTGCCTGAAGCTCCTGATAGTGGGAGTGTCGTATCGCACTGTTTATGATTTGATGAAGATATTGCATCATTGGCATATACCTACTGCTACATATGCTAGGAATCGTTGTTACAAGTACGATCTCGCCTCCGATGGCATTTTCTAAAACATCAACAACACCTTCAGACTTACCATAGATGGAAGAAAGCATTCCTAAGAATACGCCCGACTCCATATTAGGTTACCATTCGAAGTGAAGGTGGTACACGTGTGGAAAATGGGTTACTTGAAAGAAAAGTGGTAGACGTTATGGGACGTTGCGATCCAATCGTCAAATAAGTGAAGCGGCCAATGGTGTCTCTTGGAATCCGCCACTTTAACCTATGATACGTTGTCAACATTCAGGCCAGATCATGGCGCTCACCGGCGACCTAACCCCGTCGAAAGGGAGTCATGGGTGAACACCGGTGAGCCTATTAGGGATGGCACAACAAGTGATCGTTCCTGAGGCATCAGAGTTGCTGTGGTGTCATAGCCGTAAAACGTCACCAAGGCTGATGGAAATAGATCCGACGTGGGTGGGATAAGCAGATCTTGGGCTGGAAAAGGAAAAGGAAGTTCAGCGGTTACCTTCGGCAACTGTAAATTCTCCGGTCTACGATGCCTGATGCTTAAGCCGAAAGGATATTCGAGGGTCTACACTTCACGTTATATTGGCGGTGTCGAAATCGAGCACTGGAGCAATGGAGATTTTGGAAAAGCGGGGAAGCATTGGCTCTCCATGTGACGCAGGCTGCAGCATAAGCCTGATTTCGCGTCCAGTAACGTGTTGAAAGGGCATTTCGGCGACAACGTTAGCTTTCAACAAGCGACGTGTCTCTAGGGTTGATGAGCACGAGTCCTGTGCCACCGGTTTTGTCATTGCCCAGGACTGACACCCCCTCTTTTGCTGTATACATAAGTCTGCTCGTTATTCCAATGTAGTTATCATTTCTTATCCCTCCCAGCATCCGACTTTCGGACTTCGTACGTTCAATTGGTCTGTAACATCAGCGCGTGTACTCCACAGGTGGTCGCCCTCGTATTCAGTGACTACGAAACAAAAAGCATTGCCCAGAGTTTCTCAACAGCGTGTCCATCCTCATCCAACTTCGTAAATTTGGCTCATTGTTCTTCTCTATTTGTTAGAGGTAAGCACATGCTGTTCGCTGTGACATGATTTCTTGAAGTGTTGTTCTGTTACCCCTTTGTCGCGAATCGTGATGTTGACTATGCCGGTCCTATCGTATGCCAAGATGCTGACATCTCATCAGTGACATCTCGTCTCCGTTCACAGCCTTCGCCATGTTCCACCATCATGAGCCCAATGATCCTACAAACCAGCCGAGGCCACAGGCAGTATCGCCGGATCGGCCACCCCAGTGGAAACGGATGAATTGTGGCTATCGTTGCGGATGGGGCTGTGAGGAACCTGGCGAGGACGAAAGTGATGGTGGAGGAAGCGACGATGAGACCGTGTCAACATTGGTTGATACCGATGATGAAGAGAGCCCGATGATAGAATTGCCAAATGAGGAAGTAGAGAACCACGAGGCGTATCAGCAAGCGGGCCTATTGCTCCATGAAAGTCTTGATGATGGAGACACGGGAGTCGTAGTGCTAGTCAGCGGTTCTCCTAGCGAATGCGAGGACTGTTCTATTCACTCTCATTCGCCCCAGGATTACGATGGCAGGTCTGAAAGTCTAGAGGTTGAACCATGTGCCACAGGAGATCACAGCACTGTAGCTTCAAGCGGTGGAAGCGCTGGCAACAGATCGCCAGTTCCAGGATTCGACTATATAATGATGGGAATTCCAATGACTCGGTTCCCTCCGGCGTATTATTTCCTGGAGACACCCCTTCGTCTTAGTCCGCAAGACGAACATTGTCGAGGACATACATTCTCTCCTATGGTACTCCAGGACGAGATATTGTACTTGGATGTCATGGGAGAGATGAGGCGAAGTCAGATTCCTAGAGACAGGATGGCCTTCTGAACGCAGGTTGGACTGTGCTTTTCGTAGAGTCATTCGGCATTGGTTGGGGTGGTGGACTTGGTGGTGTTCTATATTAGTCAGTGTGTTGGATGAGAGTCAGAATAAACTCATGTTTCTGGTGCTGGTAGGCAAATTGCTCGGATATTTGAGGCGTTCTGGCGTTCAGGGTTATGTACGTTCTCGAAGGTCGGCTAAGTTTTGATAGCATTTGTACATAAAAAAGAGGTGTGAACAAGCTTGACTTATTTGTCAATCTTTACCGATGCACGGGCAGGGGCTCTCGGTGCTCTTACCTTGCAGCTGGGCGCAGGCGCTGCACTTGTGTATTGATTTCCCTATGCTTAACGGTTCGATTAATGTAGAATATTGGCATCACCTTGATGAGGCGATGGAGCTAAGCAGGGCTGAGGGGAGAAACCGGGAGACATTTATATGGGAGAAGAGGAACGGTGGCAGACGTGCCCAATTGTAGATTTCGCATCAGACAGCCCCCATACTCCGTGGATGTCGCTGTAGTCATACGAACATCCCCCACACCATCCCATGATTTTATCGTAGTAGATCAGAGGTTGGCTTGTGGGGTAATTCCGCATCCTACGGGAGTAAACGAGAAGTTTGCTTTCAAAGGACCAGTCGACACGCATCAATGCACACACGGACTGGTCAAAGCTGAGGTAATTATCGCAGCTGCCAGTGGAGATTGAGTTTGCGGCGCCATTCGTATGGATGGGCCTTCTGCTGGCTCCTGAGCGACGAATGACGCGTCGTGGGCAAGCCCAAAGACCAAAACTCTCAGCTGGCCGCTTTGAGCAACGTTCAGAGGAGAACGGGTGGATAAGGGATGCAAAGCGTTGTTGTCGTCGTGCTGTATGTGGGTAGGCTTGGAATCGTGGAGAACGCAGATCCGCCCCCCCAGGTCATCAAACTGTGCCGTCTTTTCGCGTCTCCAGCTTTCAGATGTTGGCCTCTGTCATGGACCCACACAGTCAGTCCTGTCCGCCTCCCCGCCGCACGTCTTTGGGCGAATGAAGTTGGCGGGAGATACTCTAGCTGCTGACTGGCCTCCTTGGTTGGGCCGACTCCTCCACCGTCGAGCGCGCTGTGCTTTCGTCTCTTGGATGCGTGTTATCTTACCGCTACTTGATGGCCTTGATGCGTTGGGACTTCATGACCCCTTTGCTGTTATATGCGCTATAAATATAGACTCTGGAGTAGCGCATTAAACACCCAAATTTGATTTTCTGGTCTTACAAGGATCTGCTCTGGAAGGCAGGGCAAGTTAGGGTTAGGATCTGATCGTTGCGTATCCCTGCCCCAACAAGAAACATCAGGTCATACGGTAAACTCGTTGCACCTCTCTCTCTCAACCAAGGACCGCGCAAACGTCATTCCACTGCCGGCCAAACACTGATAACAGTCCGCTTGACACGTTTCACATTTCACCCCCATTCGCAATCCCCTGGTAGCCCCCCGGGCTGTCAAAGCGATCTGCTTCATTCTACGTCATCCTGCACCACAAGCCAATCCGTTAAGCCGCAAATCGACATCGTGGGGATTTCACATGATTCCCGGCAATCTCTCCTTTAACCTCTTTCTGCTGTTCGAAAAATGTCTGGCTGAATGGGAATCGAGATACGGGGACGGGTGAGCATCCAGACATCCGTCTGATATCGACATGTGCACGCGACTGACACTCCTGCAGCCCACACGATTGCCCTTGAGCTCTACGAACGACTCGAATCCATCATAGTACACCCGGCTCCTTCCTACACCGAATCAAGCCTGCATCGTGCAGCAGCGGACACGGCGAGGTCTACGACAAGGAGGGCTGCATGTGCTCAAGTCTGCCCGGCTTCCATCAACGCGGCCATCAGCAAGGAATCAGATATCGTCCGAAAACTCCCGATCATATTTCCCCGCTTTCGCGTGCGCATCCGCACCCCAGATACAGTCTTGGTGTGGTGTAGCACTAGTCTTTCCGGGCGACCGACGAATGCTACACGACTGGCGACATCAGTCCCGTTAGGAGCATACCTAGCTTGGGCGTCAGAGCTCACATAAAGGCTATCTATTGTGAAGTGTTGGGACCATCACAATATGGCATCGGCAACACCTCCACGGCGGTTCAAGGTCGAGCCTATCGAGACGAGTACCAAGTCGTCTAAAGACCGGCCTCAGGAAAAGCAGGTAGTGAAACCAAAACTAGTTCGAAGATTCGCTCCTGAGCCAATTGAGACCATCAAGAAAACACAACGCAAATTTGTGCCGGAACCCGTCGAGACGACAAAGAAGACCAATCGTCGCTTTGCGCCTGAACCTATAGAGACCTGTTCGCGGAGTAGTCGTAAAAAATTTGCTGAAGAATGGCAGGAGCAAACGTCTCCGAGCAGCCCAAGAAGGTTCAAACCTGAGCCAATGGAGACTATGACTAGCAGCAATCGCAAGCCCAATTCGCAGCGGCCACCTAAGAAGTTCACGCCTCAGTTGATAGAGACCGCTCAGCGATCTCGCAAGGCGGGTGACATTACTCCAGCTATTCTCCCTTCGGACAAGACTGAGGCGACTCCCGACAACATCATCAGCCCTAGGAGAGCACGAATTTTAGGCATTCCGCCAACTCCACCAACGAATACACCCATTCTGGATCTACCTCAAAACCCACTGTTCTTAGAGATACAGCGCAATGCATCTCCTTTGTCAAGGCGGCGGTCCTACTTCAGTTCATCTCAGCATTCATTTCGCGTACCCGATCTGGATCCCATTGAATCCTCCGAATCAGAGGCTTCAAGCCCGTCATCACCTACTACATCACCGTCAGTTACCTCTGATCACTCATTCATGTACAAAGAAGCCACGCGAAGACGAGAGAGTGTGGACGACAGGTTTTCTGGCTACTTGCTTGAGTTGGCCGCTAAAGCCGCCGAGAAGCAGCTGCGCGAACAGGCGATGGCTGCGTTTCCAAATGACGATTACCATGAGCCTGTAGACCATTATGTTGATCATGATGTGGAAGATACAGAAATGTCTATCGATGAGGCGAAACACGGAGAGCGGTCATCATTTACAGAGGTCAATTGGGAACTAGAGGCCATGCGGAGACATCAGGAGAAGCAAGAGCCAGAAAAGGGAAAAGAGAAGCAAGAAGCTCCTTCTAGCAAGCAAAAAGAGCAAACGAAGCCGGCCTATAATCCTTTTGGGAACCCAGCCGGGTTCCTAGACACTGCCACAGCCAAAAAGCTTGCAAAGGATCCGGAGTTGGAGCGTATGCGAAAGGGTGCCCGTCCTCCGATGCTCGGCGAGGAAATCAAGTTTCCACGATGCACGTCCCCTGAGCCATCGCGTTTTGATCCCACACAAGGATGTGATGCTGTCCGTACCGCCATGTGCTACCTCTCGGAGCAGTCAAAAGCTGCCGAGAAGGGAGAAAGTCTATGGTGCGGGCGGGGCAATGGCAAACAGACAAGCCAGACGCCACCTCTTTGGTCCAATGCCAACAGTCGGGGTTCAAGTACTCATGGCCTATGGGGTGGTTTCTGTGTAAATGGCGGAGAGAAGTCTCCTCGAGGACCTACTGGCCTTCTTACTCCTTATAATGAGAAGCCCAATCCTTTCTCACCCTGCCCGACTCCTTCAAGGAGCTTACTGCCTCCAACACCACCAACATCCACCTACGGTATCGCGACTGACTTCTCCGGCATCGATGAGAAGCTCGCTATCGAACAGACTATTACAGAGGACTTCGGCGACGATTTCGTTACACAGGTTTACAACTACTTGTCTCTCGGGTACCCTTCGATGGCCCGTCCGTTTGATACAGAGCTGTCGAAGATCTCGAAGATCTCAGTCTTCGAGCTAAGGCAGGACGATTACCTCGCAGAGTCCCGAGGTTATATTCGACTTGGGAAAGATGGTAATCTCACCGACCGCGCAATCACCGAGGAAACGTGCATGCGATGGCGCGCGCTACGAATATACATCCAAGAGTGGGCGAGACAACACCCCAACATGGCTGAAGATGAGTTCTTCGTCGGTGGTCGTGGCACTGCGGTCAGAAAGGGTAGTTGGGCTCTGTAAAGGGTGGGAGCTTTGTTTTCAATATTTTCTACCGTCCTTTTTCGTTTTGCATTTACTGCTCCATTAGCGCGCACATTTAGCTGTCTCTAGCCTGATTACATTGGGCGTCTCCTTTTAATGTTTGTCCACTATTCGTGGGCTTGGTCCTGTATTGTCGGTCTCTATTCGTTCCCCGGTTCTTACGCTGAGGTGTCTGATGGTAGAAACTAGCTGCATCTAGACGACGATTCTGTAGACAGATACATGTGTTCACGTACGTCTCGCGGTACATTTTTTGAAATACAGAATTTGGTATCTAATCCGAGAACGATCAAAGTCATTCTGTGCCATCACATAAATCATGGAATAGGAAACTCGTGATACTTGTAAGAGATAAGCCGGGACGCGGCATCTTTTATGCTTGCGTCGATGGATAAAGTAGGTGCGACAGCGAAGCTCGTCGATTGCTGTCGAAGGTACATCCGTGGATGCCAGTAATCGAGCCGTGGTAGTGGAATCGAGCGGCGTTAACTCTGTCCTAGAGGTCTCGCTACGCTGATTGAACACTTGCGTGGCCTGAGCTTGCGCCATTGCGTGTGTTGAATAGGTACCTGCCGAAGCCACGTCTTTTGATATTTCCGCGGTCCCTAAAAGTGCCACCTTGCACCCGGAGGATGCTTCGTATTCTGAGGAAAACTCTCCGATCAAACCACCTAATCGCGTACACTATATGTCCCTATAAAGTCTTAGATGATCGAGAACAGGGATGCTGACTCGACATGGGCACTTCTTATCTTTTACTATCATCCACCCCATGTGCTTAGCCTGGACTAACCACAGAAGAAATATACGGGGTAACAGGGAATCATCAAAACAAATCGTCTTCGGCAGCTGTTCAAGAGAATGTGTCTGAAAGCCTATGTTCTAACGTGCCCATGCACTACCCTCTTCGCAGTACGTATATTGGACACTGACTTTGCGGCTGGAAGCGCCCGCGAGGCTATGGAACGAGGACCATATCCCACGCGCTTGGTGGCTTTCTGGTGGCTGCTCCATCCCACGCATCGTTAAGGCACACGCGTCTTAGCGGTGGATGTGCATACCAATAGAATCTTCTATGTCCGCGGCCTGTCAGATAAGTCCTATCGTCCCGTCACCTTGACTATATGATTTAACCTAGAAGGGTCAAAAATTCGCTGCTAACCGATTAATGGACGCCCTCCACGTTGCTGACGATTTGGGCGAGCCGACGAGATGGGCCCATATTATGCAGGAGGCACTAGTTGCGCTTTTCTATGAGGCCAGGAGAAGCGAGCCGTCGCTGATCAGATATGGCCAATCTCCTGGGTCTTGGATGTAGTAACGGTCATTTCTTGTATCGGTATCCTTGTTTCTCATGATACTTATACTTTGGCTTCATTCTTGAAATGCCTATTATTTGCGCGCGTTTTATACTCAGCCACTCTTAGGCAGCTTCATCACGGACCAGAGTGGTTTATCCTACTACTGCTTCAACAAACAGTATATGATCAGCGATATTATGTTTAGTGCTATACCTTGAAGAGCTTCCCATTTCCTCGAACGCCCCTGGACACGGTTGCATGTCTTTACATCGACAGCTATGGTCTCGCAAGGCTTCGAAAAAAGCTTCCAAAGGCAACTCGCGAGTCAGTCATGGACATTGTACGGCATTGGAATGTTCATAATATGTACGCGAACGTGTGTTGCCCTAATGTTCTTTATTCTCTCCTACCAGGCTGATTCCTCTTTCAAGGTTCGCACGATGGCGTCGAGTACGAAGCCTGAGCCAATTCGCAGCAGACGATTGGATTATGATTACAGCCGTACCTCTATTCTATACGGGCCTTGTAGTTTGTTTAAATGTTATTGCGACGGGAGGTGGCAGCAATCTGTTTCCACCAGAGCAGTTCTCTTCGTTCACACAAGAAGACATTGAGGAGCGGATAAAAGGATCCAAGATTGTCATCGTCTCAGAGCAGGTTCGTAGAGATCCCACTAAGGCTTCACATACTTTGCGACTGACGATGCATAGTGCATGCTGAATGTTATCTGGACACTCAAAGCATGCATGCTTTTCATGTTGGCGCGTATGGCTTCAGGAACAAGACATATCAAATGGATCCGTTTCGCCGCAGCGTGGGTTATAGTCGGCTGGGTCGCGGTACAGATCGCTTTCTTCGCTGCATGCCGGCCTTTCAGAGGATACTGGGGCATGCCACCCTCGAATCCTCAATGCACGACCCTCGAACACTTTGCGATAGTTCAGGCTTGCTTCAATCTCAGTAGCGACTTGCTGATTATAGCCATTCCGATTCCCATCGTCGTCGCGCTATCTCTTCCACTCAAACAAAAGCTCGGGCTAGGCTTGCTGTTCAGCATGGGTACCTTCGTCGTACGTCTCCATATTCCTTACTTACAGCTCAAGCTCATATATACTAATATGACTTTGCAAGATTATCGCAGCCATCTTAACGAAAGTTTATAACCTTTCCGACGTCTATGATACCGCATATATGCTGTGGTACACACGCGAAGCCTCCGTTGCTGTTTATGTCGCCAACCTACCTGGGATCTGGCCCCTCTTGCGTGAACACATCCGAGTCCTACGTGATCATTCGAACAGCTATATCACTGGTGCTTCAAAAACACCGAAATATGGGTACGGGTCTCAGTATGGAAATCTATCGAAAGGTCCGCGTAGCCGCGTACGCACATCCACAAACCTCGAATCGGACGAAATCGAGCTGGGTGTGAGTTATGATCAATCGGATGTACAGAGTCTACATTCGAATGAGAAATCGAAGGCTGATGAGAGGGCGAATCCGTTTATGAGTATTACGATCTTGGGGAGACCAAGTCAGGATAGTGATGAGCGGGCGCTGAATGAGGCGACCAACGGCTGGAAGCAATTGGATGTCATGGAAGTGCAAGTCGATACGAAGGTTGAAATACACAGAGATAGTTGGGATGGGTCGAAGATGGAAGCGGGGCAGTCGAGAGTAGTGAAGATTGAGGGGCCAGAGGGAGTAGTTGTTGGGAGGAGGTGATGAAGCTCACTAATGCCATTGAGCGCTCAATTATATTTAGCGGTACCTTCTTATGAGTGCATGTTATGCTTTAAAAGAATGCGATTAGGTGATTAGATGCCAGACGCTTTCCGATCGATGCTCTATATCGGCTTTTGAAGATACTTGCGCAAAACTGTTGTTTCCCGGCAAGAAGGACTGGCTTTTGGCTTTGGGTGTCAAATTAAACAGGAAATTTGAGATAGTGTCGACTACAGTAGTCCAGGTGTGTGCTTCACTCAAGCCGGTTAGTCTAAGTTGGGACTAGCATACTCGTGACACCGCGATCATGGCAGACGCGTCCCGCTTTAGTAAAGGTCGCATCATCGAGGGTCTTCTGCTTTGATGTTCAACAACAATGACTCTCAACCCCCAGAGTCCTTCGAAACATAATCAAATGATTACGCGATTTATTAAACACCCGAAATCCACGAATTTTGACGGCGACAAAGACCGCCCCGCTAAGCGCCAGAAGACTGGCGACAGCCCAAAGAAACCGCCACCAACTCCGCGGAAGTCCGCCAAACGCGAAATTCTAGACTCTGACATAGAGGATGATGATTCAGAAATCCAAGAAGAGGAGAAAGAGCACAAGACCAATCTAGAAAGCGCGCTACCGCCAGTCAAAACGGGCGAGGAGGCTATCGAAGAATACGAGGCGTTTAAGGCGTCGCAAGAAGATAGTACAGTAGGTGTAGAGGAGCGCCTGGAGAAAAGGGCATGGGTGAGGGGTAAGAGCTCCTTATATGTGGATGCATTCAACCTAGCATTGGATACGGTACTCGAAGAAGAAAGCCATCTGTTCGACGAGGCTGAGACCGAAGTGTTCAGGATTTGGAGAGACTTGATTTACGACGCGCAATATCTGTAAGCCTCGACTCATAAACCTTGCCTAATATGCTTGCGACTGATAGTATCCTCTTCTTGTAGCTACGTACGCCTTTTCCTACGCAAAACCTCCGCATGGCACCGTATAAACAGTCTTGGCTACCACAGCGACATCTCAGATCTCGACGCTACAGCCGAGACATTACAGCGCACGTATGATCTACCAGCATCTTCTGCCGAAGCCGCTTCATATCCTGGTGAGCTGGACGCTCCAGTTGGAACTACATTAGATTCCGCGTTCACATTCGCGGATAAATCAGAGGAAGAGATAACTACCCTCGAAGAAGCTTCATCGCTATTGCGTCTTGATGAACTAAAGGTACTTGCGAAAGATGTCAAGATCCAAGGAAAGAACAAGAGGGAGCTCCTCCGGGCACTACGCCGAACGAGTCAGAAACAAGCTGGATTAGGTTATGTCGGTCTAAAGCGATCGGACTCCGAGATGTCGAGACGATCCTCTGCTTCTGGATCTAGGCCAGAAACCCCAGAAGTTGAAGTTTTGCCAGTGGAAGATCTCTCCGACGATGCGAACCGGGATGCACACTTTACTCGTAAGATCATGAACAAGACTGGTCCTTGTATACGACTTTCCTTAGCTACACTTAAACTCTTTGAACGCGTTCATCTCGTGTTCTACCGCTCAACGGAATGGACCGAGAAGTCGCTCACCACTATCATCCTCGCTAAAATAGCTCGTCGTAACTTCCCGGATTACATTGTCTCACGGTCGGCCAATATATTCGCCTCGCGTGCCTTGCTCTTGGAGTTCGAGGCTTCAATCCGGACGCAATTTCGAATAGATAGCATTCTGGAGTTCAACGGAAGACCAACTGAGAAAGGGCTTCAAGAAATTTTAGATACCTTCGAGGAAGTGTATCCTCGCTGGCAAGCGCTCGTCCAAGAAGAACGACAAAAGGAGGAAAGTGTATATCATAGCGGTGAAGGCTCGTATTTACGCCGCTTATCGCCAGCATGGGTCTACACACGTATCATACACAAGGCTTTAGAGGTTCTTAGACGTCGGAAGGAGCACATGCATGAGCACGAGCTTTTGACCGAACTCTTGCACCAGCGGCTCTTCCATCATTCTCGCCGTGGAGCTTGGTATCAGCGTAAAGCACTTCTCGAAGAACACTACATGGCCGCGCTTACCGACGCTGGGAAGAGAGATCGAGAGCGACAGAAGAGACATTGGAAACGCATCGCCTTGCAGACTTGTGAAGAAGGCTTACAAGATAATCTTGTGCATATTATCCATCACTATGACCTCCAAAAGCGCATCATTAAGCTTGAGAAGTCGCTGAACATCTCAAAACGCGCGCAGCACGATTTTGGACATGTTCATCTCACAAAACCTGTTGAAGTCACCATGGAAGGCATCCGTATTGAGCGAGAGACACTTTCCTTATCACGGCGAAACAGTTCACCACATCCCAACCCCGGAAAGCGGGGCGGAAAAACTATCTGGATCGATCCACGCGAAGGCGGTGAATGCTCCGTCGAAGCTATGTGCCTCTCGCACTATCGTAATCAAGGTTGGAAAGGCTACCATAGCGAAGGTGGTATCGTTCGCACTCTTTTTGCATATCTCTTCTTCGACATCCTATTCACGTACATTCCCAACGTCTTCCAGACTCCATACCAGACATGTCCATTAGACCTGCATACAGACGCCTTCTATCCCTCCCGCATTTCGGAAATCAACGCCCGCCTAAATGAAATATCAAATGGCGACGCAACAACAATCGTGCAAAAGGTCTACGACGAGCACCACGAACGACGAACATGCGTTGTTGGCTTAGACTGGACATTCGACATTTTTGACCTTCTCGAAATCACGCGCTGCTTCGATGGCGAGGCGTTGGCAATGGTGTGTAAAGTCATGGCGCAGGAGTATGGGCAGAGAGGCGGTGGGGTTCCCGATCTATTTCTTTGGAGAATGCCAGGAGAGGAAGAGAAGCTGGGAGAGGTCAAATTTGCGGAAGTTAAGAGTGAGAATGATCGCTTGAGCGATACCCAGAGGCTTTGGATACACGTGCTCTCAGGGGCGGGTGTGAACGTAGAACTTTGTGCGGCGGTTGCTGCGGAGGTTAGGGTCGTGAGTTGAGAGCTTGCAGAGATGCTAGATCTGATATCTGGTCCGCTCTCGCGTTCAATTCAAGGGTCGAATTCACAGTTCTAGTCCACTCGGTAGACCTGCCAGCTCTGTTGTTCTTGCCTTTTCTCCCTAATGCCTTCGGCACCTATTCAACTCACAAAGCAGTCTAGCCAAAAATTGTACTAAGACGACAGTATGAGTTTTTAGTCTCGCCAGATCGTACCCGCTCAGATCTTTACCCTGAATAGCCTCGTTTTAATATGCATCTCACTTATATTTGCGTGACAATACTTAGAAGTAGGTTACTCTAATTGCTGTGTGAGACAGTGGTGAAGTATAGTTTAAAACGGAAAGGTAATAAAAACCACGGTTCTTTTTATCAATTATAATCATTATTAACCTATGGAGAATATCTAAAAAAAATAAACACCATCCAAATGCCGCAAAACATGCAAATCACTCTAGGTCCCTGTATCCTTTCCAACAACGCAATTTCCTATCGAAAACACATCCTAAAGCAGCAACGCTGCGAAAGCAGCAGCTACCACACCAACACCCAATCCGATCGTTCCTGCAGCACCGGTTGATTCTGCTGGCTTGTCACCGCTCTGTGTCGCACTCGGTCGACCCGTGTTACTCGGCACTGTAGCATTGCCGCTCGAAGTGGGTAGTTCGGAACCCGTAGACGCAACAATGGTCCTAACAATAGTAGACGGAGCCTCTGAGCTCTTCGATTCCCCCGCAGCCGAGCTCTGAGTAGTGGAGGCTGTCGAAGTGATGACCACCGTAGACTGAGCTGTTCTCGAGGCAGCGCTCGAGATCGAGCTAACCGACGATGCAGTGCTGTTATTGACTTGACGGCGTTCGACGACAACGGCGCTAGGCAAGGATGAAATAGTACAAATGATCGATTTCTCTTGGATTGGGTTTGTGGCGATTAAAGCGGGCTCGTCAAATGTGAAGACTGCAGAGCCGGGCTGGGCACCCTCGGTATCGCGGAAGGCTTGACATTGGATGGTCTTCACGTCGATAGCGTTCGAGGCGGAGACAATACGGAGGCCGCAGACGGAAGGAAGATCTTTGGCGACGGGCTTAGAAGTTCCGATCTCAATGTCGAATTTCAAGAGAGGCGTATTGGCGCTTATGCACTTGGTAGTCTCCAATGTGACGGTTGCGGCGTAGGATGTTGAGGCAAGTACCGTAGCGGTGATAAGAGCGGCGGCGGACTTCATTGTTATGAAAGAATATATATCTGAATTGAATAGTTTGTGTGGAAAAATCTTTGATTGATACTTGAAAGGTTGCGAAGCGAATGCGTAAAGGAGCTGATAGTGGAAGTAAGGAATAAGAATGAGAGGAAATTTATATACCTTTCAAACTCAACCACGGTTCGGGCAACGTAGTGGATGACTCGTACAAACGACGCGTAGGTCACAACAGCGTGTGACAATGCCATGCTAGGCCTCCTTCCTGTACTGTCGATCCGACACGAATAGAAACACCCGGCGATAATAAGTGGATCTCCGCGATCCTGCAGAGCCGCAGTATCGAGTTGCAAGTCGGAGACAAACGTAAGACACGAACGAAGTGGCTCTGCTCATCGTCATTTGGTGACATCACTTACACCGCCTCATTCGTGCTTACTACAACCACAATAAATATTGGACTTCACAGCCTCCTTTGAGATCGCCCAGGATAGTAAGCCGGAGCCGATCGGTCTTTCCGAACAATGTCAATCATACCAAGTAACTGCGTTATCTGCGTACTGCCAACGAAGTCCATGTGAATTCCCAAATCTTACTTGGCCTAGAGATGCAAGAGGTGTAATTGTAATGGAATACTTGTTTTCTTCCCTATTGAAGCTCCTCAAAGCTCTATAGAAGAGGACTAGCTACGTGCAGACCGAGTGTCATATTCTAGACTCGTCCAGGGGGCTTCTCACCACACAGTGGGGCTATTGAGACAACATATACTGGGCATGTAATCGCAGCAGACGCTCGCGTATTGGGCCGGTCGTAGAACGCCCCAGATGATCTGTACTTTTAGACACTTTTTAGTGGTTGCCGAAAGCTCGACTCGAAAGTGCTCGCCTGGAAGATGGCGGTGTTGGATGTCTATTGACCAAATGTGTAGGCCGAGTCTACTTTGGCTGCTTCTAGGTCAGGTGTGGACAGTGAACCTCTTTTTTGAAGCGGAATATTCCAACTAGTTCATAATCGATGCGGGACAGGCAGAGGAGTTCGGGCTTTCAGCAGCTGACGAGCGATTTGGTAGCAACGATGTACAGGGTGCGACAGACGTGACCAGTATTGTCCCACGAATCTATAGCGTGCTCTATAAAGGAGTTGCTAAGTAAGAGTCTCGGCTTAGCCATACGTTCTTCAACAGTTTCTGGAAATGTGAGGAGAGCAATTGATAGATCGAATGATGCCGGAAGTTGGAGCATGCGACCAATAAGAGAGCTTTTAATCTCTGTGCATCGTGCTGAGATATGAAATGGAGAGCTTGTATGCAGCTCTGATATACTCGAGGCGCGGGTTTCAATTTATACGACTTTGAGTATTGAGGTTCAATCGAGGCGGGGAGTGATGCGCACCCTACGAAGTAAGCAGGCGCCCCTTAGCTTTGCCGAGGCATCTGGACGTCTGCGGCTACGTCTTGGAAGTCGAGGATCAATTGCATGCGACACAGAGCCTCCATTGCTCGCACCCTCGCTCTTTGCGGTTCCTGGTCCCTAACAATAGAAGATGGAGGCACAGAATGGCCTTGTCCATCCGCGCAAGAGGCGGCGGAGAAGACGCCTTGATCGGCCTGCGATTTCGGCGCGACTGCTCCTCGACGACCGCATCAATGGCGAGGTTGGAGTGCTGTCCGAGGATCTGTTCAATGATTTATTCCCCGGATACAAGAAGACGGCTGGTAAGTGGACATGCATCACCATGCCAGGTTCATAGTTGACGACTCAGGTGTGAACGGAGACGCCCAGGAATCCGATCGCGTCCATCACGTCGCAATAACCCCATGGCTCCCCAGCTCCATCGTCGCTTCTCAGACTGCCCAGTGGACTATTCTACCCGTACGAGTCGCTGAGAAGACCGAGTCTTCCAGCGTGCGCCCGCATTCCTCCCTCCAGATCCCCGCGTCATCGCTTGCCCTACAGTCCTTCTCGCAGGTGCTTCGTAATGTCGCTCCGAACAAGACGCAGAGGCGAGACACTCCAATCGAAGTGCGCATATACGATGTTGTACCTGTGGGATTGGATACAGTCTACGTGAACTTGGACACGGAAGCGTTGAGGAAGCTGGATGAAGTGCATGCGAAGTTTGGCGGGGGCTTCATAGCTCAGTCAAATGGCGCAGCGAGAGGGCCCAAAAACAGATATCCCGAAGTAAACGGAGCCACGGGCAGAGCGAGTAGGGTTGATCACACGGCGCAAGAAGAAACTTGGCGAAAGGCTGTGCGAGAAGCACTACAATCACCAACGGTCCTCCACAACGGAGACCTACTCCCGCTCCCGCTCCCAGCCCACCCCATCACCCACGTTCCACCTCCACCAGCAAAGATCTCAGCGTGTGAACCTGTGTCTCAAGGTCTTCTGTTGCCCAGCACGAGGATCGTTGTGCTACAGTCGCACCGCAGCTCCAAAACGGCTGTTGTCCTACCACCCGTGAAACCTACTCCAACCACAAACGGCTTCGGAGACGACGACGAGGCTGACGATACATCCAACGATACATTCTACTCTGCTGCAGAGGAGCGGGGTGATTCTCGGAATGCCACCCCGCCAGACGAAGAGTCGACCGACAACCTGGAGTCTGACCTCTCTGATGCGGGTGACTTGTCTGACGACTCAGAAGATATCATATCTCTGGCTGCGCCTATGCTGCCACCTCAGTCCTCAGGTGTACTTTCTTCTTTTACCTCGGCGACTCCAAGACCAGGAAACTACCGCACAAATGGCATCGCGACCCCTGGATCAGTATATTCTAGTTTCACGGCTACGACTGCTCGTGGGCCCTCCAACAAAAGTAAAGTTTTCAAAGCGCAAGGACTATTACAAAGTATCCCGGACGATCTAGTACACCCAAAACCCGGAGGGGAAGATGACGAAGAAGCTCGAGTGTTCGTTGACACAAACACCCTGGTCAAGGTAGGCTGCTTCTCTGGTGATTGGGTAAAGGTCGAGGCCACCGAAGAGCCCTCCTCACATCCTCTTTGGGGGCTCGGAGCATTCGGTGGAGCGGACGAGGAAGACGACTTTAACTGGCGTCCCGTCAGGGTGTTTGGTCTTCCGGAGAACATGTCAAAAAAGATCGCGCGATACCCGGTCCACAAGAGCTCTGGTTTCGATCGACGAAACAGCATCTCAGGCTTTTCGCCAGCGAGTACTTCATTACAAGCATACCTTTCACCTATCCTGCTGGCGAACCTAGGCAGTCCGTCGCATCTCCGCATCACTCCGCTAGCCCCCCATCAGTCATCACATCTGCCACGGAGTGCTCTTCAGAAGCCTCGTTTGACCAGCTCTTCATTGCCTCCCTCTGCAAAGGAAGTCACGCTTCTAAAAGTATCCACACCTCTTTCGTCTGATCGTCTGCTACAACCTAGCTTATTCGCAGCCTTGAAGGAACACTTCGAGCAGAAGCGACGAATTGTGAAGAGTGGTGATCTTATTGGTGTCTCGATTGACGAGTCGCTCGGTCGGGCCGTGTTCCAACCCACTACGGAAGAGGATATTGGCAACGATGAACTGTTGGCCAGAACCAAGAAAGGTGCTAATGATGAAAGTACGAGTGCGAACAGCCGTAGTCCAAAGGTAGTGTCCTGGTTCAAGATTGGCAACGTCTCAAGCTCATCGCATGCACCTCGCGAGGGGGAAGATGGGGATGTATGGGGTGGTGCTGTCACCGTGGACGCCGCCAGTACGAAGATGGAGATGAACGGAAGCGAACAAGGCAAAACGCCTGCTCCGATCAACAATGCATGGCAATACTACTTGGGTGCCAAACGAACACCAGTCTTAAACTCTCAAAAGACGATGGTACTGGATGAGCTCCCCAAACCTTACATATCATCGCTTCGCAGGCGGCTACGGGAACTCATGTCTGTTGCTACCAGCCCCAGAGCGATTCATTTAGGATTGCCGCCGATTGCGGTTCTGATCACGTCGACTCAGCGCGGCATTGGCAAGTCTACTGTTGCCACCAAAGCTTGCGAGGACCTTGGTCTACACACGTTCTACATAGATGCTTTCGATATCATCACAGAAGGTGGTGCAGGAGGTGGCGACGTGAAGACTGAGGGATTTTTGAAAGCCAGGGCAGAGCGAGCATTGACCTGCGGCGCTCAGTTCACTGCGTTGCTCATCAAACACGTTGATGCACTCAACGCTGACCGAATGAACACAGCATTGAAAGAGATATTGGCGGACTCTCGCGTACTGATTGCGACAACGACGGAGATTGACAAGGTTCCCGAGGGTATTCGCGGGCTGTTCACACATGAGATCGAGATGATGGCACCTGATGAGGGCGAAAGAGAAGGTATATTGCGCAGCATCATCGAAGATGCCGGCATCAGGTTGTCTCCCGAGGCTGACCTGGGTAATGTCGCCGTCAAGACTGCAGCCCTCGTTGCAGGTGATCTAGTAGATGTGGTTGACCGTGCCCTTGTTGCGAAGAGTAATCGTCTCGAAGCGCTTGCAGCATCTGCATCCAAGGCTTCGGAATCATCAGAGACAGTCACGACTAGGGATATCGAGCTTGCGGGAGGTCACTTCAGTAACAGCTTGACCAAAACTGACCTAGATGGCGCCGTCGATGCAGCGCGCAAGAACTTCGCTGACGCAATTGGAGCGCCGAAAATTCCGAACGTTGGCTGGTCGGATGTCGGTGGTCTCACGCACGTCAAAGATGCGGTCATGGAGACCATTCAGCTACCACTGTCTCGGCCTGAGCTCTTTGCAAAGGGCATGAAGAAGCGCAGCGGTATCCTGTTCTATGGACCTCCAGGAACAGGAAAAACGCTTCTTGCAAAGGCTATTGCAACGGAGTTCTCGCTCAACTTTTTCAGTGTCAAGGGCCCCGAGCTGCTCAATATGTACATTGGTGAATCTGAAGCCAACGTGCGGCGTGTCTTCCAGAGGGCTCGCGACGCTCGACCTTGCGTCGTGTTCTTTGACGAACTGGACTCCGTCGCACCTAAGCGTGGCAATCAAGGTGACAGCGGCGGTGTCATGGATCGAATTGTCAGTCAATTGCTTGCTGAACTTGATGGTATGAGCGATGGAGGAGAGGGTGTGTTCGTCATCGGTGCAACCAATCGACCAGATCTGCTGGATCAAGCGTTGCTACGACCTGGCCGCTTCGATAAGATGTTGTACCTAGGTGTTTCAGACACGCACGAAAAGCAGCAGACCATCCTTGAGGCCTTGACGAGAAAGTATGCCATGACCCCTTCCGTTCTAATCCGGAATGTGCTGACTCTTGCAGGTTTACACTACACCCGGATCTCTCTCTTCAAAGAGTGTCGCAAGGCCTACCTTTCACATACACCGGTGCCGACATGTACGCTCTCTGCTCTGACGCCATGCTCAAAGCCATTACGCGACAAGCGCGAGCCGTTGACGAGAAAGTCAAGGCGTACAATAAGACACACACACCAACCATCACCATCGCTTATTACTTTGACCACTTGGCCACAGAAGAGGATACTGCAGTTATGGTCACAGAAGAAGACTTTGTGGAGGCGCACAGGGAGCTCGTGCCCAGTGTTAGCGCTGATGAGCTGCGACATTACGAAGGCGTCCGCAAGGCGTTTGAAGGCACAGGCAAGAAGGAGGACGAGAAGAAGAAACAAACACTGTCGATAGAGAATTCAGGGCCCGTGCAGGATTTGAAGGGCAAGGGCAAAGCTAAAGCACCCGTCGAGGACGAGGCGGACATGGTAGTTCACACTCAGAACCTCAACTTGAATGGACCAGCTTCTAGCAGCAGTGGAAGTAGTGGCAAAGGAAAGGGAAAAGCACCCGTTGCCAACCATGGAGGTAAAAGCAGTGTTGATATCGCCGAGGGAGGATTTGGCGATGCGACACAGGACGACGATTTGTATTCTTAATCTTGTTGCCTTTAAAGGACATAATTGGAGAGTGGTATCATGTCAGACATTCTATCTGCATGGACGGTTCACATAATATTAAATATTTTCCCTGTATGCTTGCCTAGTACTATTGATCATGTGAGGCTTTTGCTGACGCGGGATTAGGTACACCTACCTACCTTAGTGTTCATATAAAGGTGAAGGGAAACAGTTTTCAGGTAATGGATAAAGCGTAGTATTCGTCTGATCATCAACTACCAGACCGTAAGAGGGTGGTCTGAACTCGACCACACCCATGTAAAAGCAATATTACCATACTACATACACCGAAGGCATATGCTACATACGCAAAACACCGATTCGCAATGCCGATGCCATGGGTATCATATCCCATTCCCAGCTTTCAAACACAGAACACCTCCCCCCATCTATAATTCCTCAACGCCAAAGTGCAATTCAACTGCTAAAGGTACCAGAGATTAGATGATAATGTCATCATGGTGCTAACGAAGATAAAAGGTCATCTACACGGCCATCGTCATACGACGAGCTGGCCTAAATCAACGTGCCTCCGTTGACGTCCCATGCTTCCGCCTACCATTCTTTCGTAATCGTTGAGGGCGCTTTCGTGGGCCCAATCCGTCGTTATATCATCCCATTCGGGGTTATCCCACGACTTCCTGCGAGCGGTTTTCTCAGCCCAACCTGTGCGGTCGAGCTCGAAGATGCCACCGAATCTCCTCTCTCCATTGGCAATGAAGAGTGACTGCCCGTCAGGCGTAAAGGTGACGCCCCCAATTGGACCGAAAAAGTCAAACACTTGCTTCGACTCGAACGTTTGCGCATTGATGACATTGATGTAGTCATCCGCTTCGGCAGCAATTAGAACGCGAGGCCCAGAGCCAACGGGCGAGAAGCGGAGAGACCGTGGTACGCTGAGCTCGCTCGTAAGGACTGTAAGTGGTCTCTCCCAGTATCTGGCGTCCCATACAACGATGGTAGAGTCCTGCGCAGCGGTTGCGACGTGAATGCCGTCGTCGGCCCAGGCGCAAGCAAAAGCGTCGTCGGTATGTGAGTTTAGTGTTTCGAAAGGCTTACCGGTTTCCGCGTTGGTGATAAGGGTCTCCTGGAAGTCGCCTACTACGACACGCATCCGGCCATTGGGGCTAGTGGCTGAGCAGTTGACGGCTGCTGGGTAGTGGAAGGAGTGCGTCAACGTGTTAGTTGCGCAGTCTAGGATACGCAATCGATGGTCGTTGGAACAGAGAACGGCCTGTGGAGTGTATGTTGTCCGAGATTCGAATAGGTGCATGTGATTGACTATTCTGGACTTGTGTTCGACGTGCACATCTATTGTGCTGCCGACTGTGCAAGGGGAGTCATAGGTGGATGAGAGATTAGTAATAGTATATTCCCCTTCAAAAGCGCCGGCAATCAGCACATGGTCGGTGGTAGCGATTGTGGTGACGGCGCTATCTTGGTGTTGGTTGGTAGGCCTACACTTGCTTAGATCTATGACCACGTCGGCAGGGGTTCCTTCGGCGTCGGTACGAAACACTCTGTGACCGGCTGCGTAGAAGATATCATTTCGAGATGTGGCTGCCAATATGTTTCGAAGTTGGAAGTGAGGGAAGACTGCACGGTGGGTAGTGTTGTTTCTCCTGAACTGGAAGAAGTTGTCGGTGTTTGGTGTAGTTGGAATCCACTACAGAGGGTTAGTCGGAGGAAGAGTTGAACCAAGAGGAGGCATATATACCTTGCGAACTTCCTTTAGACTCGGTAGCAGCCTCCGACTCTCTGCTTCGACTCGCTTTGCTCGTACTGCTGCGCGTGTGGTGTTCCGTACACTCCAATCGATGCCTTGGTAGTCGTATCTATCGCCATGGAGGTCATGCCGGGTTATGGACTTGGGCACCTGGATGAGGTCTAGGCCCGGCACGGTAGGCTTCTCAGGTACAATGCGGTTGAAGAAGGAGGTGATGGGCTCAAACGAGGCCATGTCGTGTATGCTCAGATGGGTCTCTTGTTGCGTCGGCTGGGGCTCGAGTGAATGCTCCGAACTTGACATGTGACTCATCAAGACGGGAGGACCAGTGGGGTATATGTTGGGCATGTGGTAAGGGGCCGGGGGGTCGAACATGTCCAGTGTTGAGTTTGGTGTAGGAAAGGACCAGGGGTGAAATTGAGCCATGTCAGACTGCAGCTGTCCGGTGCCATCTTCGTCCTCATCCATGGTGTATGTGGTCGATATGGCGGTGTCCATGTATTGCTGGAAGTCTGCTAAAGATATGCCCCCACTGTGGTCCTGGTCGAAGTCGTGGTCGTCGACGTCTTCCTCATCTTCTTCGCCGTGGCTGGTGGGCGGCCTGCTATCCGAGAAGGTTGCGAGTGTCACGGCGGCAGCGCTGGCGTTGGGCGAGGGTGGGTAGGTTGCGGTGGAGGTAGCGGTATGCATGTGCGTCGTGGTGGAAGTCGTGGTGGTGGTGAGAGTGTGTGGCGCGGACCAGTTGTGCTCGTCCTGTGCCGGGGAGAGCAGGTGCGGGCTGGCCATGGACGCCCGCTATCCGCGCGTATTGCCAAACCTGCGGGGCCACCAGAGGCAGAGGCAGAGGCAGGACAGAAGCAGAGGCTGGAGAGGGTTCGTGGGTCGTGGGTCGTGGGTCGTGTACAGTATAGTACAGTATGCGACTGGAGTCAAAGGATACGGGCAGGCGGCGAGAGAGGCGTTTGCGGCGGATATCTCAAGGCGCAGGAGGGCGTGGGGGAGGCGAGTGGCCCAGCGCAGCGAGACACGCAGGAGACTGTGCAGGAGGCTATGAATGGAACTATGTAGTGTGTGTATGTGTGTGTATAGTGTATGTAGTGTCTGGCAGTGTGCGTAGACGGGGCTCGCTATGTATGGCAGGCGTTGGATGCCAGCTTTGGTCGGGCTGCACGAGGAGTGTGGGGTCGGCGCAGCTGCCAGAAGTCGGAACGGGGATATTGGTTGCGGGAGAATTGGGCTGCAGCGCCGTCACGCCTACTGCACGGCACTGCACTGTATAACTAGGTAGTATTACTGTATGGATTACTGTATGGATTATTGCATGTATTACTGTAGGTACTGACTGCACCGTAGAGCCGCCGAGCAGCCCGTCGAGACCAACTCCATCGGACACGAAGCACACTCCCACACAGATGACCGCCCTCGCCCTCGCCCTCACCCTCCAGATCTGTGTATTCACCCACTCCAGGCTACTAAGCGGCCGGTAGCCCACAGCAGCGTGCTCGTAGCGACAACAGTTGGTCGTACGACGGTGGTGGTGGTCGCGGTCAACGAGCAAAGGCGGGGGGATACAACTCGCATGGCACTGCCAGCACGACAACGTTGGATGAGCCAAGGCCTGACGACGAGAATGCCGTGTCCGCGCCTGTGCGACTCCAGAGAGTAGGCAACGGGCCCGCGACAAGGCCCACTTCTGCTCTGTCAGGGCCCGTTTGGGACACAGACGGCGTACAGGCCTCGCTTCCTGACGCGTTGCGAGCTGGCGACGGTGGCACGCCCAATTCGTGCAACCCATCAGCCCCTCGACTCGCACCAGGGCCTCCCCAGACTGTGTGGCCCCCAGTGCCCGTTTCTGTCTCTCTTCGCCGTCTGCAGAAGCTTGAACCTCCCGCTGGCACTCCACGACAGCAAGCCACACATGACTGCATAATAAACCCCCCCCCACCCCCCTGTGCAACTTGGCATGCTGAAGGCGGATACAAGATTGCCGTTGCATGCCTTTGCATTGCACACACATCAGCCAGCCTGCTGAGCATCCCCAGGGGAGGCGAATCCCCAAATGCGACAAACACTAGGTGCTGCGAGTGCTGACAACATGCCGCATGAATGGAATTACTACTACGACCACTACCAATAGTCTAACATGGTCCACTGTACAGTAATCGACCTAGTCCATCATCTACAAGGAAGAAAGAAGAGCCCACAAGAATGAAGAAGAAAAATATGGCGTGAGAATAGACCCGATGGCCCCCCCAGCAATGCAGTAAGAAGCAACGTGGTACAAAACCCAATATTTTAGCTCGCCGCGCAGACGACACGACGGCTTCCCTTCCTATGCGACGCCACAATGCGAAATCAATTATCATAGTACGGGTCGTATCCTTGCTGCTGTTGCTGATGCTGCTGCGGCGGCCAAGCCGACGTTGTCGGTTGCTGTGACCACCTGGCGCCGCCGCCGCCGCCGCCGCCTGGTGCCTTGAGTCTTCGTTCTGTTGGTACCCAAAGTTAGTGACGGCATCATCATCGCGAAAGAGCTTGTGCGCCTTACCTGCTTCGAAATCATGCCATCGCCGCATGGTGATCTTGCTGCTGTCAAACTCGCCCTCATACTCCAGTCCCGCCTTCTTCGTCTTCTCGCCTGCTGTCTTCCGAGTGTCTCCCCAGCTGAAGTCGTCAAACTTCCAGAACGCGTACGTCGGAAGGACAAAGTTCCAAATGGGTAGCGACAGTAGGTAGACAAACATGTAAGCCACATAGGACAATCGTTGAGCAGTTACCACGATGAGCACGGCCGGTAGACCAAGGATCAGCGCTAGGAGCACAAGAGGAATGAGCGGAGCTTCCGTGTGAAGGATGGCGGCTTTGATAGAAATGGCAACTAGACCATGTTAGCAACCATCAGAAACTCCAAAACCGTCTATGGGCGCTTACTTAGGTAGAAGGTGAATGCAATAGCAGCGGGCAGGACCAGCGTTCCGATCAGCTCAATGAACACGACAAACTGCATGCTGAAGCAGAAGGTGCCACACAAATCTCGCACTAGCACCAGCTCCATCAGGTTGTGAACCGTACTATTGATCCATCGCCTACGCTGTGACAGTAGGACTTTAAACTCATCCGGTACCGTGGTTTTGCAAACCGCTTGAGGCACAAACACCTGCTTCCGCTTGGGGAATGTCTTGAGCATCAGCGTCGACAGATAGCGATCTTCACCCAATAGCAGCAAGTTCTTCTTGTGCAACGTATCAACCACGTTCTCCGAGTAATGCTCGACAACGTCCGGATTAGCCAGGATTGGGACCCAGTAGTTCTGACCGCCTTTGGGAGCCTTGATGCGATACATGCAGAAGCATCCCGGAAGACAAGTAACACCACCAAAGACCGATTCGAATGACTTGGCCAAATGATGCGAGATGAAATATCTGCCCCCCTGTTAGTGGCGCGATCGTCAAACCAAAGAAACAATTACTTACTCGAACACCTGGATCATCGACACCCACGACTGTCGCTTATTGGCAATCTTTGTTTCACCGCACAAGCCCATAATCCGGGGGTCTTTCACCATGGCCGAGACCATGTGTGTCAAGCTGTCAGGGAAAATCTTCGTGTCGGCGTCCACCATGAGTACAATCTCGTAAAAGTCGGGCGAAATGCCAGTGATTTTCCAGATACCGTTGAACATCTCAAACTCTAGTTCCGTCATACGCTCGTCAAACATGACCTTCTGCAAGAACGACATGAGGATGATCTGGCTGTCTCGCTTTCCACGATTGCCGGGCTTCGACTTCTTAGCCTCATCGGGCGTTCCGCACTTGACCACCACCATCATTGGCACACGTTGCTGCTTCTCCGTGATGATACGAGAGTCCTCGCCATAGTCGTAGAAGCCCGAGTAAATCTTGGCCATGTTGTGTCGTTTCGAGCCACTAGCAACTGCGACGTACGAAAACGCCTCGACTTCATCAGGGAGAACTGCATGATCTCTCATCATCGCGAGGCAGATTTCCGGTGTAGACAATTCTTCTCCCTTGCCCTTGATTATACCATCGCAGATGACCAAGATCAGCTTGTGGCTATTCGGATAGTCCGTGGTAGCAATCGAGTCTAGCGTGGTTCGCAGACCTTCGGCACCTTCAGAATATGCAGTGACCAAACAGATTGAGTGGGCCAGTGGATAGCCAAAGGGCTGCCACTCAGGAGGAGGTTGCGGGACAACAGCTTCGTGGATGAAGCCCGCTGGTCCGGGCCCGTCGGATCCGCCCATGGCGCTAGAATAGCCATTTTGCTCGGTACTGCCAGGCATGAGCAGACTTGCTCTAGACTCCTGCGAGTGTTTTCCGTCATATGTGGGCAGAGTGCCTTGGCTGTTGTTGAGTTGTTTGTACATGCCACTGTTGGACCCGAGGAGGCGAGACGTAGTACTTTGGCTCGTCATGGTGGTTGGTGGAGCGCGTGTCTTTGCTGATTTATCCATAGTGTACGGACTCGTGAATCTTGATGTCGACGGTAAGAATGCACTGCCACGCTTGCTTGAGCGATCATAACCAGCACCCGAGTCTGCGAGCCTGGGCGGAGGGCGGTAGATATCGTCGCTCCAATCTTCGATTTGCTGCTTTCGCTCCTTGGAGTCTGTTTTGCCTACAGACGTCTTGGTGGCGGCAAATTTCTGGCTAATAAACCATTGGAAAGCTAGAGCAAAAAGGAATTTCGCCACGACGACGGCCAAGATGAATACCAGCGATACATATAGAACAACCTTGGAAGTAATGCAGCCGATAGTCTCGGTATCAATAGATCCAACTTTGATAATTTCGGTGAAGCATCGAGCAACCTGCTTTTCGTAACTAGAAGAATACGCGCGCGTGACGTCTATTCCTCGAACGGAAGGATTTTGGCGGATTTCGTCGAAGATGGGCGGAGTGTTGACCTGGGTCTTGTTGAACCAGTCCAGAAGGTTGAGATCAAGCACATCTCCACCCCAGACCATCAGATTGCGCGAGTTGTTCCGGATGTCGTCCCAGGTGAAGTAGACATCACCGTTATTTCTCAAGCCATAAAAGGCCTTGCGAGCATTGTCCGAGGTGTGGCACATGTAGCCATTGTACTCGAGAAATGTGTTGTTGGGCTTGGAAGAACCATCCTGGTTGGTGAGCCGGCATGGAAAGTACCAGGCCAGGTCTCCGCTTCCGCTTGTTGGAATGCCGGAATTGTCCTTTGGCGTGATGAGTCCTTTGCAAGCCCCGTTGACGTTCTGGAAGAGGAAACTGCCATCCTGACCCCCATGCTTCTCCGGTAGATCAAAGAGGACGTTGGCGCCAGACGGGATGCCTCGAGCCATGGGATGCGTGGATTGAGTGAGGTCGTAAGCTCTGCCGTGGACGATCAGGTAACCCCTATCGACCTTGTTGGACCTGAGGCGAGCGTTTCCACCAGACGGACATACGGTCTCGGTAAAGCCGAAGGTGAGGTATCCAACAAATGCACAGATGTAGAGAATGATGCTGACTAGGCCGACCTTCTCCCTCCAGGCATGCTGCTGTGCCCTTTGTGGTTTTCCAAAGCATCTCAAGATGGCGCCCGGACACCAGAAGGTGATGATGGCGCAGTATACATTCCAAAAGCTGGGCGGGCGGAGCTGGTCCTTTTCTTTTTGCCGCTGCTTCTCGAGGTTTTCCATGGTCTTGCTCCGTGTCAAGCGGCGCGGTACTCGTGGTCTCTCGTCATCGTCCAATGGAGCCTGCTTGTCATTGTAACCTCCGCCCGAGGCATTGCGCATGTGCGGGGGCTTCAGATCGGTGCTATCTGAGCTCGCCGTCTCGGCCTCCATATGGTCCTCCATGATAGGGTCGTGGCCAGTCGATGATGGCTGGACAGGCATGCGCTGGGCATGCTTGCGGTAGTGATAGTTTGGGTGGTTCGGGTCCATTCGCTGTCGCTCGGGGCGAATGAGACTGCGCTTTCTACCCAGCTCGTGGCTCGGGGTGGTGTGCTGGCCGCGCATTATGGGGTCTCGCTCCATGGGCACCGGGGTGCCGGGCTCAGGGAGGGCTCTGGAGTGCGACTGGACGCCGCGTTTGCTGGTGGTACGGTCGGTTGATCGCGTGTTCTCCAAGTCGGATGTTCTTCGTCGGCGGGACGAGTGTCGGCGCGGCTCAGCGTCTCGAGAGACATTTCGGTGGTGGGTCCGCCGGGGCGAGGACTCGTCGGGTCGCTGGGGCAGAGACATTGTGCGAGGAATGCAAGCTCAGACGTCGTCACACGAGAGGGTGGCTTGCTCTGCTCTGCTCTTCTATGCCAGGCCAGGCCAGCGCAGGCCGTCGTGCACTTGGGAAGAGAAAATGGTAGGAGAATAGGGTGCAGCGTCGGAAGGTGTGGAACTTGGTTGGGGGGTGAGGGTGGCAGCACGCTCGCGAGGGGTTGCGTGCGGTTGTGTGGTAGAGTTTCAACCAGTGACGGCAGAATAGAGCAGGAACGGGCGCCGCCGAGAGAAAGAAGGAGCGATAGAGCCAAGGTCAAACGAGTGAAGACGGCGTCTCTGAACGGCGGCCACAGGTGTGTTGCGAGGTCAACAAAAGGCTTGGGGCGAGGCGAAGTTGCCCCTTGCCAGAGAAGCGTTCTACGAATCGTTGGGCTGAATCTATTTTGGACTCTTCCCCGTGCTGCTAGGGCGAACACGGCCTACCTGATGAATAATGATCAACACGCCTGGCAAACATTGCCCGCCCACGACGACGACAGCGAGAAGCCTGGGTCAAGGCTCATCATGTGCTGTATTTGTATTGCATGTGCTCGATGGACTGCCGCACCAAGACATTCTTCTCGCAGCTCCAGCACCACTGCGGACAATGGTTCCGTCGGTGAAAGCACTGTCTCCACCCCAACCAGCCCTGCAGCGCGGCTAGATGCATTTCGTGCAGAAGGAAAACGCCCGCTGAACCCTGGATCGGCTATTAGTTTTTCTTTCTCTAACGTTTTTGCTTAGCAGCCGCCTGCCATTACGATTAGCTTGTCGACCGGTGACAAAGTGGAAAGCTAACCCTCTACTGCTCAGGTGAGAGCCGCTACGCGTCCTTCGATAAAAGTAAACATGACGAATACGAACGGGCCGGCGTAGAGTCTAGCTCAACTAACCCCTTTGTGTCCGCAGGCCAGAATAATTTTTGCCTCCCGGAGAGCCATGTGGTGTTGCATCTATTAACAGGGACAAAAGGACTATTGACAGCTCGAGAGGGTGTGCATGTGGAGCCAGGGGGTCCTCATGAGTTGCCACGCCGCCAACTCGCCCTGTCTCTGAAACGGAAGTGTTCCAGCTCTACTACTCGCATGTATGGGCATCGACGGCAAAAGTCATCTTGCCCAGAGCCTTCGTCCCGTGTAGACAAAAAAGTGCATCAAGTAAGTGCTGGGCCGCAAGCTGCAAATGGTAGAGGAGGCTAGCTGGCATGCATTCTTGCCAACGTCCAACAAGGCAAATGGAGCCGCAAAACGTGCGAGGCCAACCCCCCATTATACTGTAGCATTCTTAAGCGGCCATCCAGCCATGTTGCAAGGCGATGACGAATGGTCCCCGGGTATATGATAGACGACGCTAGCCCTGGAGACGACTTGTTCCGTGGTGGTGCTGACCATATGCCTGTCTGTCGCCCGCGCGCTCCCTCCAACCCTGGTCACACACATAAATCACATCTTATATTCTTCTACAAGAGCGAAAAAGCATCTTGTCGATTCAGCTGCTTCACTCCCGCGTATTCCTCTCTTTGGCGCCATCGCTACACAGCCCCCCCCCTTGTCGGATCGTGCCGAGTCAGAGATTGATAGGGCCGCCCGTGTTAACGTGTGACAGGGCTTAGCTCCCCTCGTTCGCCTGGTGACTTCGCTAGTACGTACAAAAAGGCGGCCTGCCTATACGTGGGGCCTCAAGCTATTACAGACAAGTATCCCCCGTTGCGCCTGCCTCTCTGCAGACGAAGGGGAAAAGCTCAAACTATCACCTGGGCAAAGCAAAAGCACCATCCAGGACAAGATTCGCGTCGCGTAGAGACTGCTCTTCCAGCATTAGCAGCAGCCTGGCTGTCTTTGTACGTGCAACTCCGCCCCCCGGACCGCACAGAGATCTTCAATCCAGGGTTCAGCATCCTGCATGAGGACGCAGGTCGCCAAATTTCTACACGCCGTCACACCGCATATACCAGCAGGCACTGACAGGCCTTCAGGTAGTAACAGTCTATTGCGGATCACGGTTCGCCATCTTATGCGCTGTTTGGTCCGCTGCGAGCATTCCCTTCCCTTCCATCGTCCATCGAGTCAGGGGATATAGGCGGACATAACGTACGCTAGAGAGTGGAGGAAAGGACATAGCACAGATTCAAGAGTCATGGCCGAAACAATGTCGGCACGACCGGCCAAGGCTTTGCCGCCGATTCCACCTCCAAACGACGCAGACTCCGCAGAACGTCCCGACTCGAGCCGTCCCAGTCGCTCCAGCAGCTCTCTACATCGCAAACCTGTCCCCAGTTTTGCACAGCATCCTTCCATACCTTCCTTCAGTATCAACGAGCATGACGACACAGTAGTGGGAGGCCGTGATTCAAGACAGTCGGGATCTCTCAGCAGCTCTACGGGGCATTCGAGATCAACCTCAAGAGAAACTCCAGACATAGGGCATTACAGGGACTCGGGATATTCGATTCCAGTAACTAGGGATATTCCTATTCGCCAAACACACATCAACGACGGGTCGTATCGCAGCCGGTATTCGCAAGCCGCCAAAATGGACACTACAAACTCACAAGACGGCGAATCCACGTATAGTCCCCGAGACCAATACCAGCCCCCTTACTACTCCCAACAACCGACACCACCAGCTGCTACACATGCAAATCGCGACACGGTGCAGTCGCCGAGTTCAGACTCGCAACACTCGTCGAGTGACAACAGCGGCCGCAATATATACAGCTTCAGCCCAGATGGTCCGCTGCAAGTACCCCGCTCCGCGGTTCCCAGACCCAGCTCTGCCTATACCCTGGGTTCGGAATTGAATATACCAGGCAACACACAATCCCGACGCCTCTCAGTGGGCGGCTCCCCTGTATCCAGTGGATCACCGAACCCTTACGCGCGACAAACCTCGACAAGTCGTCGCTCGCCAGACCCAAGACCCTCATCCTATATCGACTTACTGAACCTACCCTACAACCAACAAATCGCTCCCGCCGCGAATCTGGGAAATGCGGCGCTTCGAGGTGCTGTCGGGCAAAATGCGTCACTTCTCGATACGAAAAAGACGCTGGACATGTACAGAGGAAACGTGAAGAAGACACAGGACAGCGCCGTGCAGTATGAGTTTGCCTTGTTCATGATACAAGTGGCACGCGAGATAACGGCCGAGGGCCCTTCCACGGACGATCACGGACTGGCGCCAGCGGAGATGCTCCGGGAAGCACGACAGATTCTCCAGAAACTAGCCGACCGTAGTTATCCTTTTGCACAATATTACCTCGCGGACGGTTACGCGTCAGGTTTGTTCAATAAAGACAAGCCTGACTACGATCGAGCATTCCCCCTTTTCGTCGCTGCCACCAAGCACGGGCACGCAGAAGCCGGGTACCGCGCTGCCCTTTGTTATGAGTTTGGCTGGGGCTGTCGCAAGGACTACGCCAAAGCGGTTCAGTTCTTTCGTGCTGCAGCCTCGAAAAACCATCCTGGAGCCGCTACCCGGCTGGGCAAAGCGTGTTTGACGGGCGACATGGGTCTCCAGGGCAAATACAGAGAGGGTGTGAAATGGCTGAAACGTGCGTCCGAGTCTGCCGATTTCCAATACAACAACGCACCGTATGAGCTGGGTCTACTGCATGAGACAGGCTACGGAGACGATATCTTCAAAGACGAAATCTACGCGGTGCAACTTTTCACTCAGGCTGCGGAATTAGGCCACGCAATGGCCGCTTTAAAGCTTGGAGAAGCTTACGAACATGGCTTACTACGTTGCCCCAAGGATGCCGCCCTCTCTGTACACTACTACAACTGCGCGGCTCAAGCCGACATTCCAGAAGCTATGATGAACCTCTGTGCCTGGTACATGGTCGGTGCGGAACCGGTTCTGGACAAGGATGAGAACGAGGCCTATGAGTGGGCGAAGAAGGCTGCGAAGCACGGTAAGCTCGAGTCGCACCTGCTAGGTGATTGCCATACTAATATGCTCAGGTCTTCCCAAAGCTGAATATGCCTGCGGATATTTCACAGAAATGGGCATTGGTTGCCGGCGCGACCCTCTCGAGGCGAACGTTTGGTACGTGCAAGCTGCCGATCACGGGGATGAGAGAGCAAAACAACGACTTGCCATCATTCAAGCTGCGGCATCTGGGCAGTCGCATCTCCCAAACAACGGAGACAAGAACAAGCTCAAGAAGGGCGCCAAAGATGAGAATTGCATTGTCATGTAAAGATTCCTTTACATGACCGGGTTTGCTTCTTCCTGTTCAGCTCTGCTCTTCTACGATTATGATTCCTAATGTGCGGCGATTGATCCCTCTTCCTTCTTCTCCTCAACTACGGGCATTGTTGGTGGCATCGACATGGGTGTTTGCATATTGCGTCGGCTTGCATATTTGTTGCATAATCCTCTTGGGAATCGAGTGCCAAAATCTTTCATCATTTCTGGCGTTTTAGGCCTCGGCTCTTTTGCATTACTACTCGATACCAGCAGGAGGAATCGGAGTAATTGTACGGAGAAGATACTCAGAGAATGAAAGTGGATACGGACTGTTCAACGCGGTTGTCCGCGGCTTTGCTGTCTCGTAAATGCACCGATTGGCCAATGGCCATCAAAGTCTTACGTATGTGGAACTTCCAGTAGTGTCGTCCTCGTTCCGTCCTTGACCAAAACACGATTGTGCACTACTTGGTAAGTATAAATATGAAGACTCACAGTCTTCCGAGTCTAAAAGAAGCATAATTCGTGAAACACTATGAGTGGACAGCATCAACTGGTGTAGCTATCCGATGGTACGTTCCTTGGCGATGGGAATCTGTGGGGTCGCTTGTCGTCGCTTCCCTAATCCGTAGCTAGCCGCGACTAATTCGGCAGGAATGATGCAGGTCCCGTGGGTCCTACTGCACCTGTTACATTTGTAGGGCGTGTGCTGATAAGACTAAGAAAACGTCTGCTCAAGTAAGTATTCAAGGCCTGACTTCCCTGGATTTACTTTTACCACCAGCGACAGACTTTGCCTTGATATATTTCTACTATCGCTAACCCGAAGCAAGGGCAGTGGAAAGGTGCATTATAGAGCCTCAAGAAACTCTTTGCCGCCAAAAGAAGTTTGATTCCGGGAGCCGGACCAAAGGAATTCACCATGGCACCACCCTCCGCCATCGAGGTATCAGCCGTAACGGACACTTCTGGAATCATTATACCGGACCCTTTGACGGCGCCGGTGCAGAGCAATGAGATACTGGGAAGGAGAAACAAAACGAACAGGTCGCAATGGGGCGTTGCAGCTCCATCAAACACAGCCAACTTCCGACTAAAGTCTTATGACCACAGACCGAAGGCGAAGCGATGGGAACGTATGTACCACTCAGCTGGCATGATAAAGCAGCGCCCAAAGACTGACCTCGCTATTCCAGATATCTTGACCCACGAAGCTCTCACAAGGAAAGGTAACTCGCTAAAGGAAGCTGCGAAATTTCTAGCCACTCCAGGTATCATCTCTTTAGGGGGTGGCTTACCATCAAGCGAATACTTTCCCTTTGAGGAGCTTTCGATAAAGGTGCCTCAAGTCGGACGCTTCTCAGAAGCGGAAACCAAAGACTCGGGTGTGATCCTCACAGCCGGCAAACACGATCTCGCGGAGGACAAGTCCAATTTCGATATCGCAACGGCCTTCAACTACGGCCAGGGTTCAGGATCAGCACAGCTGCTACGATGGGTCACCGAACATACGGAAATGGTGCACGACCCACCGTATCAGGACTGGAGGTGCACGATGAGCATCGGAAGTACATCTGCAACAGATATGGCCTTGAGGATGTTCACAAGGCCTGGTGATGTGATGTTATCAGAAGAGTATACCTTCTCAGCATTCGTAGAGACTGCACGACCCATGGGCGTTCGCGTATGCGGCGTCCCAGTCGACTCCGAAGGCTTACTTCCTGACGAAATGGATCACATCCTCTCGACTTGGGATGTCAATGCCCGGGGTGCACGGAAGCCGCACCTCCTCTACACAGTGCCTACAGGCCAAAACCCGACAGGCGCAACACAAGGCGCAGAGCGTCGACAGGCCCTATACAAGGTTTGCCAGAAACACGACGTTTATATCCTCGAAGACGAACCGTATTATTTCCTGCAAATGCAGCCTTACACTGGCCCTAACGCTCCGGATGTCCCACCACCATCCACCCACTCAGACTTCCTCAAATCACTTGTCCCAAGTTACCTTTCGATGGACACCGACGGCCGTGTCATGCGCCTCGACTCGTTTTCCAAAGTAATTTCACCCGGCTCGCGCATCGGCTGGATCACTGCATCCCAGCAAATAGTCGAGAGGTATTCAAAGCACGCTGACATGTCGACGCAAAACCCCAGCGGCATGTCTCAGCTGATCCTATACAAACTGCTGGATGAGCACTGGGGCCACGCCGGCTACCTCGATTGGCTCATATACATCCGCCTCGAATATACAAAGCGCCGCGACACTATACTCTCCGCCTGCGCCAAACACTTGCCTCGCGAGGTCATGAGTTGGAAGCCACCCATGGCGGGCATGTTCCATTGGATGCAAATCGACTTCCGGCAACACCCAGACTACCCGCAGAAGAACATTGAGACGATTGAAGAGGAGATCTTCATGCGAGTTATTGATCATGGGGCGCTAGTTATGAGGGGCAGTTGGTTCTATGCTGATGCCGAACAGGCACATAACACGCTGTTCTTCAGGGCCACTTATGCGGCTGCTCCAGCAGAGAAGATTGATGAGGGGATTCGAAGATTAGGAGAAGCTGTTAGAGAGGAGTTTGGGCTGGGGAAATATGCAAAGGGCGTGGCGGATGGTTGTTAGATATGAGGGTATCTGTGCTTATGCTATTTAGAGACTGCATCTAGACGCAATGCTAATTGAATATGCGCGTATCAAACACTGCGTGCATTAATTGAGTTGTATTAGAGAAAGAGATGGGTATCATGTCATCGCGACCAAGTCGTACGTATCATTTCCGTAGCGCATCTCAAGACCTAAGCCCTTGCTCATCGCTTTGCCTGGTACCTTGACCCTCTTCCGCCGACCTAGCCTGAACCTTGCTCTGATCGGCATGCTTTGCCGGATCGAATACGTAGATTGGGAATTCCAGGAAGATGGTTCTCTTCAGGATGACCGGCAACTTCGCGTACAGCTGAGGCGGGAATGGAATGAGAATGCTCGTTCTATGGAGGTATCGCTCATAGGCTGGCCACTCAGTACCCTTTTCGTACTTCTTCTTCGCTCCTGGTCTCTCTTGTAGGGTCAGACCGGAGACAAACATGAGAAGAATAGTTAGGAAGAAGGGCCCTAGTATCGATGCATACAGAGCGCTGTATGCACCACCGGAGACGTAGCCATACGCTGCTGGCGAGACAGCAATCGTGAATATTCCTAAATAGATCAGTACATGGCCGATATTTCAGGATAGAATCCTTACCAAACTGAATGATGATCTCGCCAAAGTAATTCGGGTGCCTCGTCCAAGCGAAGAACCCAACGTCGCAGACTGCACCATCGCTTCCATGAGCACTACGAAACCGATACTTCTGGATATCAGACACGCTCTCCATGATGAAGCCGATCGACCAAAGAATGACGCCTGCAATATCTCGGCCTGTTCCAAAGCCGGGTTGGTCGAATTGCGTCACATTTGGGGAATTGAGGATCGTGACTGGTAGAGAGACTGTCCAGACCCAGAACATCTGACTATATAACCCGTTAACAGCGATCTCTACGTCCGTCCAGTTACAACTTACAAGACCCAAAACCCCAGAAAAGACCAGAACTTGTCTCTTTTATCGTCAAAGCGATCATCTTTCCCAGTCTTCAAGATCCTGAACAAGAGGAAGCCACTCAAGCGCGCGGCCCACGCAATAATGACTAGAGAGACTACAATGTTGCGAGCTTGATCTCGGTTGTCACTAAACGCAAGCGTGAGGATGGCGAGGAGAATGAAATTAGTTCCTCCAGCGAAATCGGTAAGCTTGTCGAATTTAAATGTGAATGCTATTGCGAAGAAGAAGAGTTGGTAGGCGACTGTAATAAGGAACGTTATCGCGAGATAGTAGTTGTCGAGAACATGAACAGCGGCCATGGTGCTCCTTTGGTGGAGGTGGTTTCGTTATGTGGATGAAGCTGAAAGTATCACAGGCTCTCCCGACATATATCTGGCTGACTCCGGCGCATCATGATCACATTGCGCAGAGAAAGCTAGCATGTTCTTGTCCGAAAGCAAAAAATGATGACGCAAAGATCGAGGTAAGCACAAGCGATCGATCGCCACACTGGGCAAAGTAGGACCAACGACTTCCGCTAGCGATCTCAGCCCTGCCCAAATTGACTGGACGGATCCACCACAACACCAAACGGCCACGGTTTGCAGGTCTTTTCTCCTACCATCACCATACGCCCATTACGGTACTTCCGACGGCATGAATCTAAATCGGAAGATAAATTTAACGGGTGCCCGAGCAGAGTCATGAAAATCCCTTCAGGTTGCGATGAAACACACCCGGTGTGAGAGCAGGCCGCCTCGTGCATATCGCGTCTCAACATAGCTGCTGGCCAGACCATCGTGAAGCTTAACACCCAGCAAAGAGGCTGTCCATGGGCCCATTAAGCATGGATTGGACGCTTGCTGTCCTGCAGCAAGCCTGCTTGGTCACCGTTAATCCGACAATGCCGTTTGCCGGTTGCACCACTCTACATCCGTCCTGTCGTCCTAGTATGCAGCCCCTGTTGTTGAGACACATACTAGCTACCGTACGAGCAGCCGCGTAGACGGACATGCTTGAAACTCGGTATTGTCTTGGAAACAGATGAGCGGGGGCAGGCGTTGCACCCATTCAAGTAGTACCGTCGCCGCCTCAGGTTCGACCTTTGAAAGGTTTGGTCTTCGCTTCATTCGGAACCTCACGCTCGTTTTGATCCGGGACTGTGTTCCACCTCCACGGTCGCCTTTCAGTTCTCTTCTCCCCGCGCCTCTTCGATTATCTGCTGTGCAGGTCCTGAACGAGTCTGCATGTCTGTGACATTTCTTTCGATTCTTTACCAGCTGTGCTGTTGATACGTTGATTAATACTCCCTTTATTTGGGTCTTATTTTCTATCTTTCTTCAACTTTTAGCCCTTTAGCCAAGCCTCCGCCATGAAGAGAATCAAGTCTGCCTTGGCGCCAGCCCTGCTACTAATCAGCGCAGTATGTGCGCCGCACTTTTCACTCGTCGCTCACACTGACTTGACATAGGTGGCCGCTGGAGCAGGACGCGATCTTCCCAATAGTAACAAAGGACCAAGGATCGAGGGCAAGGATGGGAACTTGATATCTGGGGTCGGCAGAGCGCATGCGGATAACGTTGGGGTACTTAACATACCTGCTTCTGAGCAAGTCAGCGGGCTGGACATTGGGGACATCGCCACCAAGATCTCTCAAAGTAAAGGACTCGACGTTGGCTCATTACTCGACGAAATAACCCAAGGACAGAGAAATGGCCAAGGGAAAGGCGTGGGCTCAGGAGCTATCAAGGATAACAATATCGCCGCTGATCTCGCAAACCAGATCGCTGGAGGAGGTTCACCAAGCATCGATCAGATCCTCAATGCTTTGAATGGGCAGGAACAAGGCCGCAAGAATTCGGGCGCGGCAAAAGGTCAAGGCGGCACCCAAGGCATTGAAATCGGTGTTGGTGTATTGATTGGCGGTAACGGTAAGGGACATGGAGGCGGTCGAAATCAAAGCCAGAGTGCAAGGCCTATCGGCACAGGGAATATAGCTGGCGACAATGCGAAGAGTAGGACAACTGCTGCAGGAACATCAGCACCTGCGCTAGAAGCGAAAACTACACTACCCCCTGCTCAGGGCCTGAATGCTACAGTACGTACCATTGCACCCTTCAAGAAGCGCGACTAATGTTACGTGTAGCTATCTTCCAAACACACCAAACCTGCCGAAGCAGCATCAGCTTCTGGAGTACTTCCACCATCAAGGGGAAACCAAACGGATGCCGTGGCCATCTCCGCAGGAGGAGAGCGGAAACAAGGCGCGAACACTACAACATCCTCCTCTAGTGTTGTAGCCATCAACTCTGCGACTTTGACGCCCGGTGGCTTGGCTGCGAAGACAACCAGCGCAGTCGGAAGCGCAGTCACCGTCCAGGCTGGTGGTAACGGAACTAAAACTAGTAGTTCTAGCTCAACAAAGGCCTCTGCGAGTGGTGCTGCTGCTGCGCCCGTAACCATATCCGCTGGCTCAGGAAACGGTTCGAACTCATCTGTCGCCCAAGCTGCAACGAAGAAAAGCACCCACACTGTCACCGTCACCGTTGTGGTAGGTGTAGGCAACGGATCCTCCAACAGTACCGCCGCACGCTTGTCTTCCACCAAAGCAGCATCAGTCAATACAGCGACCCGCACGAAAGCCATGGCCACCCCTGCGTCCTCCAAAGGTGCAGCCGTCACTGTCATCGCTGGATCAGGAGGTAGTTTCAAGAATGGCGGGTGTACATGCCACTGCATCTGCCCGGCCGGATCGTTCCCTATGAAAGCACCACAGGCCCCGGCTTTCCAGCTTGGGCCCCAGCTTGGATCCATGGCGCCGTCGCCGGGAAGTACGATGCAGACTGTTGCCTCAGCGATCACTGTTATACCGGGGAGTGGGATCCCGATTGGTACGCAGCAAGGGATTACTCCACCAGCGGCTGCGGCCAGCAGCGTGGGTGCTACTTCCGCTACACTGGCATCTGCATCTGCATCCCCATCCTCATCCACAGCGGCGAGTCAAGCCGCCAGCGTGATTGCGAGTAGTTCTACATCCATTTTGCCAGAAGCTCCTAGTGCGAGTTCAGCATCCATTTTGCCGGAAGCTTCTGGTGCGAGTTCAACGCCCCCTTTGCCGGAATCTTCTAGTGCGAGTCCAACATTAGCGTCTGCATCGACAAGTGTCGACGTGCAGAGCCAGGTTGCAGCGAGTCCTACACCTACTCCGCTACCGGGGACAAGCACGACGGCTGCACAGCAGCAGAACGGCCTGCCGTTTGATATCAATACGATTGAGCTGCACAGTCGAGTTACGGTGGGGCTTGGGAGAAGGTTGGCAAGGCCTACTACAGCGGTGAAGAGGGGGCGACGGTGGTGGTGAGTAGGAAAAGTTAGAAATTGGTAGTGTTAGCAAGAGGAGTAAATACCCCCTTTGACACTCGTTGAATGAATGTATGTTTCCTTCACTTAATAGTATATAGTTGTCGTATCGACAGTAGAAGCATTGAGTGCTCCTGTGAGTTGTTCGTTTGGCTTTCATTCCTGTGCATTGCTGCTCATGTCTATAGGGTATATAAGTGTCCTCTATCACCCTCCGATGGGTAGTCCTTGCACGATGCCGATTCGTACCTCCATACACAAGGTGCTCTATGTTCGACCTTGTACTGTGCTCTTGTAGGTGATGCGCTCGGCGAGCGGCTTTCCAGCAGTTTGCACAGCCTCTTCTTGCCCTTCCTCTACCGTCTTCGTCTTCTTGCTGAGCTTCTGCTGGCGCTTCGAGATGGGCTTGTCTTCTGCTGACTGGCGGATAGGCGTTGCTTCCAAGCTATCTCCTGGCCGTTTGCCGTTCTGATTCTTGTTTGCTTTGCCCTTTTGGCCTTGGTTGTTCTTTGCCTCTGCGATGGGTTTCCCCGCCGGCTTCTCACCTCCGTAGACTATGTCTACTACCCCCTTGAAGCTCTGTCGCTTCAGCCGTGCGAACTCAACTATGCTGCGCGGTTCTCTGGTCAGGCCATCTTTGCCTCTCTCCGTGCCGAGCCCCCACACCGAAGCTAGGTTGATGACGTCGCTGGGAGCTCGTATGCCTAGGACATTTTTTGCTTCAGAGCTGAAGATTAAGCCGCGTCCTCGTGTCACACGTATGAGTTGTGTCGCATTCATGATCAGGTTGCGCTTTGCTATGGGGTCGCTGGACAGTATGCCCTGGCTGTAGGATAGCTCGATCTTGATACCGCGCGATATGGCCGTGCCGAGCATGGGGAACTTGAAGTGCTTCTCGAACTTCCTCGTCAGGTCAAGAGAGATGATGTCGACATCCAGGCTCTGACAGGCCTGCTGCAGCGTGCGCTCATCGGTGGGGCGCGCTGCCACCAGGTCATACTGCTGCTGCAGCTGCGGTATGCGAAAGTTGGAGGCGGAGTCAGTCAAGAAGATGTTGCATCGTCGTAGAATGCGCAGACGTGGCGGCGTGGGGAATGGCAGTGGACTCGGGATGGGCGGTGTCTGGTAGGCTGTAGTTAGCGACTGCCCTATACGGCCCAAGTAAGTGAAAGCGACCCTGGGGTGCGTAATGGTGATAATATAGCCAGTGCACAAGAAGGGGACTTCCCCACCACACGTACCAAATCAGCGGGCAGTTTCCCAGAATATGTGTGCGTGAGGGCGACCACATCGTATCCTACTGTACTGCGTCAATCACCTGTACACCAAGCAAGGGCGCCGATTTTTTGCACTCACATTCGTCGAGAAACGCAACTGTACGCTGCAGTTCTCTCGTCGCCTCCGTCCAGGGCACATTCAAGTCGTAGAACATGTCGGCAACGGGCGCGACAGCGAAGACGCAGGTGGGAGAGGTGCGCAGGCGGGACAATGGTGAGTGACGTTCACAGCAGCACTGCTCTAGCCAGGCCTTGCCTTGCCTTGCCTCGCGTCGAAACGCTTGGCCCTGCTGATCTAACCCACTAGCTAAACACACACAAGTCACCACCACCACCACCAACACCAGCAGCTCGAGCCTGCACCACGAGCGCCCCGAGCTCACCCCCGGCACCAGACCCTCTGCTCCGCGACCTGTACCGCGCACCCGCCCCAACCACCGAGACGGCCTCTTTGCGCGCATTTGCGGCAACAAGGCAGCTGCGCTCGGCCTGCTGGTTGGCCTTGCCGTCTTCTTCCTCCTCGTCTTGCCTCGTCCCGCCCACCTCCGCCTCTTCACCCCACCACCACTCGACCCCTCCGCGCCCGCGACCCAAGCTGGCTCTTTGCCGCCCGTGCAAGACACCCTCGCCCGCAATATGGCGCTGAACAACACCACGGGCACCACGAGCGTGGCCCGTGTCTACGCCGATGTCAATGCGAACATGCCCCGCTCCTACTGGGACTACGACTCGGTCAACATCTCCTGGGGCGTGCTCGAGAACTACGAGGTCGTCCGCAAGATTGGCCGCGGAAAGTACTCGGAAGTCTTCGAGGGCATCAATGTCGTCAACTACCAGAAATGCGTCATCAAAGTCCTCAAGCCCGTCAAGAAGAAGAAGATAAAGCGAGAAATCAAGATTCTGCAGAATCTGTCTGGCGGGCCTAATATCGTGTCACTGCTGGACGTGGTGCGCGATAATCAGGTTAGTCATGGCTCCTTTGCCTCGCCTGCTTTCGTGTGCCTGGATCAAGTGCTGACGTGCCACTGATGCAGAGCAAAACTCCGTCTTTGATCTTCGAGTATGTTAACAACACCGATTTCCGGAGCCTCTATCCCAAGTTCCAGGACTACGACGTGCGGTACTATATATTCGAGCTTCTCAAGGCCCTCGACTACTGCCACAGCAAAGGTATCATGCACCGTGATGTCAAGCCTCATAACGTTATGATCGATCATGAGAAGCGGAAGGTCAGCATCTCCCTTACATTTGCAGGGACAGCCAGCTGACAGAGTGCAGCTGCGCCTAATTGATTGGGGTCTTGCCGAGTTCTACCACGCAGGTACCGAATATAACGTCCGCGTTGCCTCGCGTTACTTCAAGGGCCCAGAGCTCCTCGTCGACTTCCAGGAGTACGACTACTCGCTCGACATGTGGTCACTGGGTGCCATGTTTGCCTCGATGATCTTCAGGCGAGAACCGTTTTTCCACGGCAATAGCAATTCAGACCAGCTCGTCAAGATTGCCAAAGTCCTAGGGACCGAAGACTTGTTCGACTACCTCGACAAGTACGACATTGAACTTGATGCCCAGTACGACGACATACTTAGTCGGTATCCGAAGAAGCCCTGGCACTCGTTCATCAACGCCGACAACCAGCGATTTGTTAGCAATGACGCAATTGACTTCCTAGATAAGTTACTTCGATACGACCATCAGGTGAGACGTCTTACTACTGCGTATTGACGTTGGCTAACCATGCCCAGGATCGATTGACGGCTGTAGAAGCCATGGCACATCCTTACTTCGCCCCCGTCCGACAGGCTGCCCAACAGAACAGCACCTCGGCATGAAAGATACCCACTTCTCAGTAATTAGACCTTAAATAATGGCACACAATTACAAGCAACGAAGCCTTTGAATCAACCTGTTGTTCTTTGTTGGATGACGACCCGGAAAGTTCTCAGTCTTACCTATAGCGACTGCAGACCTGGAGAAGCATGAACCATAGTAACAAAACAAGTGTATGGTACGGCGTGTGGGCTATCTTTCCTTTGCATATCTCGCTCAGGGGTGGGACTGGGCTGTTGTCGGCGTCAAGGAGCAGGAAGCCCCTTTTCAGGCACGTTTCTGTCTTGCATTTTGAGGCGTCAGTATCCTAGCACATATATGCTTAAGCTGTCTTTGGAACCCCCTAAGCCTGCAATGAAATGCTGTGAGACAAGAAAATCGCTCGGGGTGTATCGGTGACTCGAAACATCGCACCCAGTGCTGCCTCGGATCTACCTGGTTTGCAAATATATCGTCGACTTGGGCTGGACGGGTATGTCCGATGCTATTGCGGGGACCTCCTATCGAATAGGGTGAATTGCTTTTGATTACGACGGCGTGGCAAGCAGGCATTCCCTTGTTGTATCTCCATTATGCAGAGCTGACTTGAAAGAGTCACTCCAGTTGAGTCAATAGGCGGTATCCGATGATGCGCGGTGATAGTCATAGTTCTGGAGACGCTCGGACGCACAGATTGTGGGGTGAAGTGCTGCGCATTTGACAAGCTAAGCTCCGCTCCAGTCATAGCACTTTTTTTTACCTACATATGCCCTGCCCCGCGCCTGCATTGCGCGCTGCCCTTTGCAGACGACCCCTACACTACCTCTTACAACACCGTATCCTTCGCTCCCCACGGCCTGTAGTATACACGGCACAATTGCGACCACAGACTCACGCCTCCTCCCCCGCTGAGCGCGTGCTCACATCCCACTATTCCACCGCAACCATGGCGCTCAATGCCTCCTCGCACAACGTCACCGGCGAGAAGACGACGCCTAATACCGCTCCCCCGCCGGCCCTGAGCGAGGACAGCAAGAAGGACATACTCGAGGCTGCCAATGCCGACGGTACCGGTCAGTCTGCGCCTGGTCGTGAGAACGAGAAAGGCGTAGAACAGAAGGAGAAGTCGGCCAAAGAGCTTGAGAAGGAGCGCAAAAAGGCAGAAAAGGACGCAAAATTCAAAGCGAAGAAGGCTGCTCAAGCCGCGCCTGGAGGAGCCAAAGAGGGTGCTGCTACGAAGGAGAAGAAGAAGAAGGGCAAAGATGAGCAGCAACTACCCGACTATGTCGAAGAGACACCCAAGGGAGAGAAGAAGCGCCTCCAGAGCTTAGACGGCCCACACACCAAGGCATACGTTCCCAAGGTTGTTGAATCAGCCTGGTGTAAGTGTTTCTCGCGGAAGGCTGGTGGCCCTGGCGCATGCTAACTTTGGCTAGCTGACTGGTGGGAGAAGGAAGGCTTCTTCAAGCCTGAGCTCCAGCCGAACGGAGACGTCAAAGAAGCCGGAAACTTCGTAATCCCCATTCCACCCCCAAATGTCACAGGCAAGCTACACTGCGGACACGCCCTAGCCACATCACTGCAGGATGTCATGATAAGGTGGCATCGCATGAGAGGCTTCACTACACTATACCTGCCTGGTTGTGACCATGCTGGTATTGCTACACAGAGCGTAGTCGAGAAGATGCTCTGGAGACGAGAGAAGAAAACGAGGTACGACCTTGGCCGGAAAGCCTTCATCGAGCGGACCATGGACTGGAAGACAGAGTGTAGGTCAAGATTCGGTCAAGTGAAGAGTCTTCTAGCTGACTATCATACCTAGACCACCAGCATCTTACGAACACCTTGAAGCGCATGGGTGGTTCATTCGACTGGACCCGAGAGGCATTTACCATGGACGCGAATCTTTCCCAAGCCGTGACTGAGAGCTTCGTTAAGATGCATGAAGACGGTCTGATCTACCGGTCGAATCGTCTCGTCAACTGGTGCACACAGCTCAACACGGCTCTATCCACTCTCGAGGTTGACAACAAAGAGCTTACAGGCAGGACGCTTCTCTCTGTGCCTGGATATGAGCGGAAGGTCGAATTTGGTGTCCTCACGCACTTCAAGTATCCTATCGATGGCACTGACCAGTTCATTGAAGTCGCCACTACGCGTCCAGAGACCATGCTGGGTGACTCGGGCATCGCCGTTCACCCCAACGACGAGCGTTACAAGCACTTGGTTGGAAAGAAGGCCAAACATCCTTTCGTCGATCGCCTACTACCCATCGTCGCGGACGAGTACGTCGATCCTGAATTCGGTACTGGAGCTGTCAAGTTGACTCCGGCGCACGACGCGAACGATTTCAACCTAGGCAAGAAGCACCAACTTGCTTTCATCAATATCCTGAACGATAATGGTACTTTGAACAAGAACACTGGCGAGTTCCAAGGTCAGAAGCGTTTCGATGTCAGATATACTGTTGTTGAGGCGCTGGAGAAGGCGGGTCTGTTTGTCAAGAAGGAAGACAACCCAATGAAGGTTCCCATATGCTCAAGGTCGAGCGACGTCATCGAGCCCATCATGAAGCCTCAGTGGTGGATGAGAATGGAGGGGTTGGCTAAGCCTGCAATTGAGGCCGTCGAGAATGGCTCTATCAAGATTCGGCCGGCGACTTCCGAGAAGGTCTACATGCACTGGATGAACAACATCCAAGACTGGTGTCTGTCCCGACAACTGTGGTGGGGTCATCAGATCCCTGCCTACTTTGTCAATATCGAGGGCGAGGAGGGTGACCGAAGTGAAAATGAGCTCTGGATCACTGGTCGCACAGAAGAAGAAGCACAGAAGAAGGCAGAGAAGCAGTTTCCTGGCAAGAAGTTCTCCTTGGAGCGAGACGAGGATGTTCTGGACACATGGTTCTCCTCTGGACTGTGGCCTTTCAGTACGCTTGGATGGCCCAACGAGACTGCGGACTTCAAGAATCTTTTCCCCACTTCTGTTTTGGAGACTGGCTGGGACATTCTATTCTTCTGGGTCGCTAGGATGATCATGCTGTCGCTTCACCTCACTGGAAAGGTTCCCTTCAAGGAGGTTTACTGCCATTCGCTTATTCGCGACTCTGAAGGCAGGAAGATGTCAAAGTCGCTCGGCAACGTTGTTGACCCTGTTGACATTATGGACGGCATCACTCTGCAAAAGCTCCACGATCAGCTGCGAGCGGGCAACCTTGATCCCAAGGAGCTAAAGACGGCCGAGAAGTACCAAAACACAGCTTTCCCGCAGGGCATACCCGAATGCGGTGCCGACGCTCTACGCATGGCCCTTATTGGTTACACAACTGGTGGCGGCGACATCTCGTTTGATGTCAATGTCATTCACGGTTACAGGAAGTTCTGCAACAAGATCTATCAAGCCACAAAATATGTGCTTGGTCGGCTAGGAGACTTCACACCTCGTGCCAAGATCGCGAAGTCAGGAAAGGAGTCTCTACCCGAGCGATGGATTCTCCACAAGCTTACAACCTCCGCCAAGAAGATTAACCACCATTTGGAAGCACGCGAGTTCTCTCTCGCCACGCAGGTCGCTTACAAATACTTCTACGAAGTGAGTGGTATTGAGGTTATCATAGACTAGGCGTTGCTAACTGATCTTAGTTTCTTTGCGACACTTACATCGAGAACAGTAAGGCGATCTTCGACGAAGGCAGCGCAGAAGAGAAGGAGAGCGCCAAGCAGACCCTCTACACGGCTATTGAGGGTGGTTTGACCCTGATCCATCCGTTCATGCCGTTCTTGACCGAGGAACTCTGGCAACGACTGCCGCGTAGGGAAGGTGACAAGACACCTTCCATCACCGTCGCAGCATTCCCGCAATATATCCAAGAGTTTGATGACGAGGCTGCCGATGCCGAGTACGAGCTGCTCGTCGACAGCGCGAAGGGTCTCCGGTCCCTCACAGCCGAGTACTCCATCAAGGAAAACGCAACCACCTTCATCCAGGCCCTTGATGATACGACCCACACTACTCTCTCCACACCAACTTCCCTTCCCTCCATCCGATCCCTTGCCGGAAAGACCGTCTCCGACATCAAGATCCTCTCGCCCTCCGACCCCGCGCCAACAGGCTGCGCTGTGTACACCGTTGGTTCTGCGGCCACTGCCTACCTCGACGTGAAGGGCCGTATAGAGATTGAGAAGGAGATCACGAAGGCGCAAGACAGACTTGTCAAGGCCAACGACACCATCACAAGGCAGAAGAAGGTCATGGATAAAGAGTGGGAGGAGAAGGTCAGTGATGTGGTCAAGGACCAGGAGAGGGAGAAGCTGAAGGCTGCGGAGCTGGAAGCGAGGAATTGGCAGGCAAGTATTGAGCAGTTTCAGAGGTTGAAACTGGAGTGAGTGAGAAGACTGTGGGAGAGCGAGCAGTGTCCGCGTTCTCGAGAATGAAGCCAAATAGGCAGCATGGAAGGTGAATATTACGGCTTTCAGGACTCATCTTCGAGCTTTGTATTAGATACGACTAGGAAAGCAGAAACCTTTTTCGTTAGGTTCACATCGGCCTTCCCTATTTCCCATTGACACTCCGGAGCCCAATATCTGATCCTCCCTCACGCGCTCGTAGGATCAAAACTCGCGCCATCCGCAAACTTGAGATTCAACGTCTTCAGATCAACACCCTCCAACATGCGCACATTAACACATGTCATCCCAGGAAAGAAACTTGGATCAACCGATCGAGCCATGCAACTTGCACCACACGTGCCGCAGAAGTAATGCGCCATCTTCTTACTAGCAAACGAATACGTCTACCACCCCAAAGAACAAACGTTAGTTGAACATTCCACAGCTTATGAAACGCTCATGTGTATCCACACGACACTTTACGCACCTTGAACTGCTCAATCCCGCCCTTTGTAAACTCGACGCGATCGTTAGACGTGTAGATGAATAGATAGCCATTGCGCGAGCAGATGCTGCAGTTGCAATCCATGACTTGGGCGCTGGGGTCGTTCAGGGGAGGGGCTTGTGTGATGGTGTAGGCAAAGGCGCCGCAGTGGCAGGACGCTTTGTAGATTGCGGTGGGTGCGTCTGGCGCGGGCGCGGTGGGGAGGGAGACGTCTGATTTGGACATTTTGAGGGTGATGGGTATTGAATAGAGGGAGGGAGAGAAAGATTGCGGGAGTACAATTCCGTAGCAGAGAGATGGGGTTGGAGGAGATTTGTATTTCTTTCAAGACCGAGGGCTGAATAGTTGGGACCTTGGATTGAGGCGGGGGTCTCCAGAAGGTGTTTATATATGCTGCCCCCTCTCCTTCGCTTTTAGCTTATTGTCTTTGTCTTCGTCTAACCTGGTCTTCTCACGCTACTCAACAGGGCTTTTCGTTCACGATAAGGGTGCTATTCGCTTCTTTTGCTCTCATGTAGAGTGGGGGGTATGCAAGGCCGCCCGCGCCTGGACGAATGAGAAGGCTACTCGACGCGGCGCGCGCGCGGTACACGAAGTCAGCTGAGCTGGCGTTCTAGACTTTTCTTTGGGTATTCGCTGCCTGACTGCCTGAGTCACACTTCTCCCATCTTGTGTATCGAGGAGATTAAGGTTTGGCGAGGTGCCGTCCATCCGCGCTTACTACTATGCGTTGCTCCGTCGACCACCCGATGTCTGCCCTGATGACCGCACAAGCAGTACCGGTAGCGTCGTTTGCTAGTTAGCTAGCTATAGTCAAAGGGCCGAAACTTTCGCTTTCCTCGTTTTGCACGCTTCGATACTAATAGCTTTAGCACTACTTCCCTTGTGGCCCTTGGCTAGTGTTTCCCAACACATCTAGATACCCTCACGAGAGTTTCCAGAGAGAGCTCCGATTTGAAATACCAAAATTAGGCGATTCTTTATCTTGCCCATGTAAATATAATGCCGTCGAAAACATGTGTGCGTATCCTTCTTATCGACCTCGAGTCGAGACACTGATCCAAGGTCAACTTAACAGCAATTCAACGGCTAATGAAGGACTCTCAAATCACTTCAAGCCAAGCATTGATTCAGTGGATACCGACGACCTTGAAAGAGTCGAAATATGGTTAACAAGGTGTGGTGGCTCACTCACATGTCGACAAGCCAAGCACGAATAATACCTTAGAAGAATTTCGCGCCTCTCAACCTCATAATCGAAGATTTCTATCGCAGAATAGACGTAGCCTTTCTCTGCCTAGTATCGGTAGAGAGGCCTGGGAGATGTAAGAGTTTGATAGCGGTTGAGGTGGCCTAGAGGGATTCAAGGCATAGTATATATCATTTATTACAAATTTACGTGAAGATGAAAAGGTGTAGTATGCAACTGGTAAATAGATATCAAGCAACGGTAAGTGAGAGGACCAGATGCATGTCTTACGAGTACTAGCACCCAGCAGCACCATCTCACGATCTAACTTCCTCATAACATACATTTCTTTTAGTTGCATTGTCTCCACTTCCTGTCATCTCACCTCACCTTAGCTTCTTTCTTACCTTGAGTTAACCAACATCCCATATAGGTCAAACTGACACTCCTCTCATCACTTTCACATTCGTGTACACATATATCTTCTCTTCCAGCCTCCGTGCCTGGACATCTATTACAACAAACACGTCAAATTTCAAGCAAACCTTGAAGGACAAAATGAGTGACACTAGCAAACTCGTTATCCATATCAAGTCCGAAAAGGAGCCCGAGACCATCCCTCCTAGTGGGACGGAGGTGCAAGTCACGAAGGAAGACGCGATTGTCAAACCCGAGCCCAAAGGCAAGGCCCCAATCAAGCCAAAAGCCAAGGCCAAAGTCAAGTCCCAAGTTAAAGCCAAAGTCAAGCCAGTGAGCACCGACGACAATAAGATCGTTCAGAATATAGCAAATGTCGCCAACCCCCTCTTCGGCCGCGCCGGCTCCATCCACGTCCAAGAAGAAGACTGCGATGACATCCAGACCATCAAAGATTCCCCGAAGAAGCAGCGTGCCCCGTCTAACAAGCCTAAGGCTGTTCGAGCACGCAAAGGCAATGCAGCTGATACTTTTGGCGGAGTAACGAAGCAGTTGAAGACGAAGTTGGAGAAAGATGCGGGAGTGGTAGTGGACGCTACGATATTGGCGGGCGATGGAGCTGCTATGGTAAGCTGTCTTTTAGAATGCAGAGAAAGCAGAGAAGGGAAGCCGAGTAGATGCAGATACTGACACGAAACAGCTCGAACAAGGTACTTTCGACTGGGTCCACCTTATGAAACTCCGATCAGACATGCCCTTCCGCCTTGTCAAATCTACGGTTTTACGGTCCGGCCCGTACGCAACCCACGTAGCCATCCTCCTGCGCCAGGATGTGCCATTCAGAATCCTCGCTTTGCCGCTCCACATCCGCACCAAAATCCTAAGGCTCACGCTGAAGCATGAAGAGCCAAGTATTCCCATCGTCATCAAGCAAAGCAGCGCACGCTCAATCTGGTCCCCCACATACCACGCCCGCTTCCTGTTGGCCATGCTGCAAACCTGCAAACAAATCCACGCGGAAGCCGCACCGCTTGTATACGGTCAATCATTCTACTTCCCAAGTACCCAAGTAATATGCGATTTCTTGCTCCGCATCGGCAACCACCGGCGCTTCTTGCGCTCTCTCCGCTCCGAAACCTATGCTTCTCGGTCTGCAAGGACTATGTTTCACCTCCTGGCTGAGGCACGATACCTAGAGCGGCTGAGCTTTGCGCATGTCAGTAGTAGTGAGACTCCGAAGGCAGCAGTGAAGAATATCTGGAACGACGCTGAGAATTGGCTATTGGGACTTGATAGGAATAATCCGTGCAAGGGACTCGATGTCTTGGTATTTGATGAGCAGGCTTTCCATATGCGGGAGAAAGACTTAGAGGCCGGTGGGTTCAAGGTGCTGCAATGGGGACCTGCTGAACAGTTGGAGTTCTTGAAGGGACTCAGGGCAAAGATGGTCGCTGAAGAGAAAAGACTGAAGAAGGTGGAGTGAAGTACCTCGGGGATGGGACTTCCCTGCACACGAACTATTTGATTCCAAACAAGAGTTGTTCAACGATAAGGTGGTTTCAGGCCAACCGTGGGATTGGAATTTTTTTACGAGGCGTTGTGGAGTCTAAAATTGTCATGATCACGATGCTGAGATCAAGACATCGATGGCCGATCTGGTTACTACGACAAGTCGATCGAGTACGGTGTTTCGAATGTCTCCACGAGGCATTATAGGGTTGCCAGGCAGGGTTTGTTTTGATGCCGGAAATTCGTGCCTTTGGCCAAAGGTAGGTTTCCGAGCCATGATTTCGTCTCATTTCATAACAACTTGACTGGTTGATAGTCTCTGCAAATGCTTGGCTCATCTCGGGTGCGGTAACGGCGAGCTGAGAAGTTGCTAGTGTCATGCATGAAATGGATCTTGAAGTGGATCCATTTGACAATGGCATAGATGCTATGAAGTAATACTTAGCTTCAATAGTAAGACTCCTGCTGTTAGTGACCACGTTTCGCTCGAAACCTCGTCATTCACAAAATTACTTGAAATTCGAGGGGCGTTTTAGCCCCTCATCTTTAAACGTGATTACGCTCGAGCGATATTCGATCAATTCGATCAGCAGTTACGACGAAGTAACAACGACGGTGCAGATGATTACCGGAGAAGACTGGAGATTCATACACTTACCGGGTCCTGGAAGGTGTGAGTGGATACGGCTGCGAACAAAACCTACCGTGACACAAGCAATATTCTTTCGACGTTCAGCACACAGGAAGAACACGAGCGAAAACTTACCTTAGAACAATGATCAAAGACAAGACAGGATGACTTCACGTAGGCCTAGAGGTGATCAGCGCGTAAAAAGATGACAGAGTATCTTTTGTTACCACAAATGGTCCTAACTGTAAATGCTCCTCTCCAGCTCACTGAGCTACTCGCTGAACCCTGACTTAGCACGCAGAGCAGCGCTTCAAACTCCGACCTATGCGCCAGACTGTGATATACATGATAAGCAAACCAGATCCCGTATGCAAGGCCCTTCGGCCTGACAAAGCTCGATCAACCCTTCCTCCTCAAGATGCAGATACAGAAGAAAGCAATGCAACCCCAGGTTGGCAGCCCGGGGGTAAGACTCAAGGAAGGTAGTGGGAATCTTACGTTCAAATGAAAATGTCCAACTCATGTCTCCTGACTTCCTCCTCTTCGAACGTCGGGTAGGCCGGAACCATAGCGTCAGCATTCTGCACATACGCATCATTGTAAATACGCCAGTACGGCTGTCGAACTTTGCGAGCAGGGTGGAATAGGCCGGCCCAGACGTAGTTCATGACTAGTGGAGTGCCGACTGCATTTCGAATACCCTCGATAGCCTCGATGATTCGGTCGATAACGTGAGGACTGGTTTCGAACAAGTTCGGCCACAACAGGTTAAGCAGGTGAATCATCGCGTCTTCGCAGTCAAGACCGACACAGCCAAGAGCAACGTGTTTTACGACCGCTGCAGCAGTTTGCCGATGAACCTGGTCTCGGTCGATGAGGGCATCTTCTAGCAAAGGTGTGATGGCGTATACGTAATCCTTCGCCATTTCGCCAATATACTCAAACATGAAGGATAGCGACTTGAGCACACCATTTTGAACGTTGAGCTCTGGCACTCGGTACTCGTTCATCAGAGCGGGAAGCACGGTGAAAGGTGCGCAAGTTTCGGCCACGATACCGATGGCAACAGCAGTACAGACACGAGACTGACGCTCTTGTACGCGAAGATTGCCCAAAAGAGTTGCCAACACATCCTGAGGGCCGATAGCTTTTGCGATGTAGCCGAAGGTATTGTTGGCAGCACGTCGAATACCTTTCTTATGAGCCTTGAGCATGTCCAGGAGTTCGAAGCAGATTCGCATCCATTCTCGAGGATTGACATAATTTGCACCCCGATCTGCGATTCGGCCAACAAGATCAATCGTGTTCTCTTGTACCTTCTCATGTCGATTGCGAAGAATAGGTGTCAGTCGGGGTAGCAGATCCTTGATGGGCGGTTGCATAGCATGGAGACCGACAACTGTAACAATAGCACGAAGGGCACCCAAGATGGACCCGAGGACTTCAGGGTACTCCTCACCAAGGTATTCGTACAGTGCCTGGGCGAGCTTGATCAGCTGTGGATCTTCATCACACTTTTGCATAACAAAAGTGATTCGGGAGATCAAATCCGCTGCTTGCTGTCGAACGGTGGCGGACTTGTTGTTCAGTCGAGCGAGAACTGTGGCGACTATCTGCGGAAGATAGGTCTTGGTACGCTCACCAAGTGCGTTAACAACGGTAGCAAAGCCATCGATGACAATGGGATCTTCGACTGTCTGATCTTGGAAAGCAACGAGTACACCGTCGATGAGCTGCTCTTCCAAGCGTTGGTCAACGTCATGAGCGCCAAGTGTACTGATGACCTTGTCAACAGTCTCGACCGTCATCTTGCGGTATGCCTCGTTTTCGTCCTTCATGTTGTTAACGATCCGGCCAACGATTTCAGCTACGCCAGCTTTCTGTGCAAGATCTACGGTGGTATCAACTACCTGTCGGTAGTTGCGCTTGTCGAGGGCCATACGTCGCACCCAGAAATGTTTGAAGAACTCTGGTAGAACGTTGTCCTTGAGGTAGACTGGAGTGACACCTGCAGTATTTGAGCATTGTGACACGACCTTCAGCACGACCTTCTTCATCTCCTCATCAGGGGACTGAAACTCTCGGATGACAATCTCCATGATCTGACTAGTATAGTAATTGGAGTATTCCTCGTCCATGAGGGGAATCACATAACCGACAGCCTTCAGGAAAGATGCAAGGGCTTTACCGCGCTGGCGTCGAGCTCCGGTCCATAGCGGGTTGAGAATGTCATCGAACGATTCGATACCGTACGGGCTTGCAGCTTCAGCAAGGGCAGCGAGCGCAAGTGCTGTGACCATGCGGACCTTTGGTTGTTCGTCGTTCAGGTTCTCCCCAATGCATTCAACCAATCCCTTCAAGTGCGGTAGGATAGCGCAACCCATCAGGATAGGGATCTGCTGAACAATTTTTACACCAGTGTGACGGGCGTGCCATGATTTCTTGGATCGACACACGGCTCGGAGGAAAGGAAGGAGAGCGGGAATGCCAAGAGCGGATGCGACAACTGCGAAAGCTCTCGCGGTTGTGTTCCGGACGTATTCATCTTGATGATCCAGGTCAGGACGCATCGTACTGATCATGTGTGCAAGACCGGCAGCCTTTGCCAGGTTGGAGATGATCTCTCGACCTTCCACACGGGCGTAGTAGTCCTGGTCGATAAGAAGCGGTTCAATGACTACCAAGATCTTGTGTACGTAGGGGCGAACAAGGTCATCGAGCTTGTATAGAACACGATCGATGACCTTGACGAGCAAATGTCGCTCCTGGTCTTCCAGAGTGCGCTCCATTAGTAAGGGAAGAATCTGGTTGAAGAGGGCTCCAGCACCAAACTGGCGAGCGTTGTCCGTAAGCTGTCGCAGCGCGGTTTTTCGCATTGGTGGCGTTCCATTCTTGACTTTCAAGAGGAGGCGCATAATCTTGCGCTCCTTGAGCTCTTCAACAGTCATGTCGGTCTCATCCGCACCATCGGTGAGCTTGCCGAAGTACTTCATGTCCTCATTCTTGAAGAACTGCAGGTCACCAACACCAGGAATCTCCGTCGGCAGCTGCTTGCCCATTGCAGCCAAGCTGTTGTCTGCTTCCGGGATCAAGAAGCCTTGATATCCTGTAGGAAGCGCAGGCATGCCCACCGGCCGCCGGACTGGCTCGTAGCCGGGAGGTGCCTCTAAGATCTTGTAGCCTTCTGCTTCACCGGGGAGCATCATGTCGAGCTGTTCGTCGGATAGGGGAGCGTTGCGGTTCGAGACGTCGGTACCGAATGCGAAAGTTGGCATCGCTGCACGAGCACCATTGGCAGTAGGAGCGGGCGTTGTGGCACTCGAGGGTGCTACAGCTGTTGTGTCCCAGCGCGACCGTGCCGGCGCAGCTGGCTCAGGGGCCTTCTCTTCCTCTGGGGCTGGTGACCATCGCGATCGCTTCTTGACCTCTGGCTCTTCTTTGACCTCGTCCTCCTTGATCGCTGGCGCTTCACTGGCGCCCTCGTCCCATCGTCGCCTCTTGCGCTTCTTCTCCATGGGTGGGGTCTTGTCGCCAGTGACGGCAGGCGCATCATCCTTCAGTGTGGGCTTGTGGTCCAGCACTTCACTTCCACCTGACTTCTCCTTATCTTCAATCAGTCTCTGTATACGAGCCTCCTCACGTTCGAACTCGCGCTCCTTCATGACATCCTTGTACGACATGCCAGCATCCTCACCATCCTTGGCGAAGGGGTCTGCTCGTGTCGGAGAAAGCGCTCGATCGAATCGCCGCCGTTGGTAGTCGGTCTCGCGCGAGGCGATCTGCGCCTGTTTCTCGCGGCTGTCGAGGATATCCGCCTCCTCAGTGTCGCCGTGCGCGAACTCGTTCAGTATTTCTTTCGAGGCTGTGTATTGTCCGACAAGGCTCCGCCCATTCAGCTGGACATCTTCCATATCGTCACCCTGGTCTTGGACAGCGATGGACGTGTCGTAACCCGAATATTTGTCCACGCCATTATTGCCGTAGAGGTCCTTATCGAAGGCCTCGTTGAGGGACTGCTTGCTTGATGAGTCCCCGTCGGCAGAGCCGTTGACCTTGGATTTCTTTCCTGCGCGCGGTCCGGCCATTTTGCTGCAGGTCTTTCGACGGTTGGCGTTGATGTGGGATGATCGAGGGGATGGCGACCTTGGAGCTCGAAAGTTCAAATCGAGGTATAGAGATGCTTGGCGCAGGTCACTAGCGCGATCCTTACTAAGCCAGCATCGCATCTTCTACTCTGTTGCTATAGCCCTCAACGATGTCAGTATTGACTAACAACAAATAAAAGTCATTTGCCACCAACCCGACCAGCTGCCGCAACAGTTGGTGATTGGCCCTGCCATTCCCTGGGTTCTTATCGACCACCTACGACTGGTCCTCCAGACAGTTTCCAAATGTTTGCAGTACTCTATGTGTTCACTCTTTAGCTATAGTACAAGTTGGTAAAAAGGTAAAGTCACATGGTTGGGCCCTTATGTCACTTTTCCTAGAGATGGGTGATCCATTCTGGATCTTTACGCACCCGGCGATGCGACAATAATCTCACCGAATTGTTGTACAGGAACTACAATGTCTCAAATCGACCGCAGCATCGTGCACCTAGCGAAACCAGGGCTCAATTTCGGCGCGATACCTAACACAAAGCGCTCCAGCCTCGTCTTCTGCAGTTCCATTGAAGTCTTGCCCTGCCACCTTTACAACCTGGCAGTTCGTTGGTAACCACACGCGTTAGGTAGCTAGTTAGTGGTATACCTCTGAAGTTACTCGACAATTCTTGACAATTCTTGACAAATCTCGACAAATCTCGACAAATCAGAGTCCTATGTCAAGCTTGAACTGATCTTGACGTCTCGCCCTTGGCCACCAAAATGGCAATGGATCACGTCTCGGACATGTTCCAAATCTGGAAGCAATTCGAAGCAACCGCGATGCTCATTATCAGCTACATGTCCCCAAGGAGTGGAGTGATTCTTATTTTCTGTCTGAGCCCCGAGGTAATGACGATCACTATTATACTCGGCGTGACGATCTTCACCTCTCTCCCTAGCATGGCAGGCTTGGTGTTATATCCTGTTCGTCGAATCCGCAGCTCGTGAAGTCGCATGATATTCCTACTATACCAGCAACGATGCTTCATCATCATCATTAGACATCGGAACACGCTCCCAGGCGGATCCCAACTCTCGTAACTTAAGTACTCTTCCAGGCATCACCGCTCCAAGCGTTGCGCCATTCGGCTGCGCTATGCTAAGGAACCCGGCTCTCCGACCAAAAATAGCGTCTCACGCTGCGGGGCGCACCCACGACCTTCAACTTTCCGATTACGATGATGACAAGCCTCGTAATACGAAGCCGAACGGGGTTATTTGACGAATGATGGAAAGGCGCGTTCTGTGCGAGGCGAGCTAACGATACTGTTCGCATTTGCGCAAGGGTGTTGAAACGGAGATGTGATGCGGAAGCTCGGTTTGTGCTACGCGGTAGCTGCGAGCTGCGGTGAGGTTACACGGCCGGGGCTGCGTGAGGGTCGCGGCATCTTCGTATTGCATTTTGTGCTGATAGATATGTAGAGGGCATGCCGTCCCACATCGTTGTGAGGGGTCAATCCCGCTACGTCCCACTTTATTGTTTAGCTTGTGCACTGTTGATTTCCTCCTCACTGTCGTTATTGTTATTGTTTTTGTTACCATCGGACACTCTCGACTCTGCTAAACATTTTCGAGATGGCGGCAGTGGCGCAGAGTCGCATCCAAGATGATGTTCATCCATTGCTGCGGCATCCCAAGCCGATCAAGAGGGATACTGCGAAAGCGCAGCGCATGTTAGGGTTGATTGCTGATGATGAAGAGAAGTTGAAAGGATTACAGCGAGAGAAGTCAGTAACTACAAGATGGCTAGAGCGGCCGATGTACGAGCATTTGGAGGTCTCTGATATGGAATCAGAAAAAGAAGAGACGGGACATGAGCAGAAGGTTGACTCTGTTCACGAAGCCAGGACAGAAGAAGAAGAAGACGACGCGGAGCTGTTGGAGCGATGGACGAAACCAGACCGACCGATCTCCTACAACTCGGAAGCTTCGATATCCCTTGAGGCGAAGACCAAGATCGACACGTCTTTCGTCAAAAGGCGCCCAGACCCAATCGATTGTCCGCGCCCAATATCATACAATTCACAACATCTGCTGTGCCCAGAATGGACCGCATCGCCAGCTACAGCAAGCCCGAATGTGCAACGCCCGCGACCTGTATCACTACAACCGAACAGTCCTAATACAGGGAATCGCAGCTTCTCTTCCACGAGTAGCATAGGATCTAGCCCCCACTTTGTTCACCCTCAGACATGGGCTACTCCACCGACACAGTACAGAGCGGGTGCTCGCGGCGAACGACCTGTATCGTTCCAGCCTCAGAGCTTCGCTTCACTCGGAAGTCCAATGCCCAACGAGCTGCGCCCCCGACCTACGTCTTTCGCTTCGTATCCTCATGAGCGGCCTCGCTCTCACAACAAGATTGCGTCCTCGAGAGGATTGCGTGATAACAGCTACCCGAATTTCTCACGGCCGACGGCATCAGGTAGTGCACCAAAAACTGTCCCTGGAGAGCAGATGGAAAACGACGCGTTATACGAGCAGTTTGATGATGGTGAGGTTGGACCACCTTCTCCATCGTCGCCTGTCCGCGCCGCATTGAATGGATTTGACTTGAGTGAAAACAAGAACAAACCCGAGAAGAAGGCAAAGAAAAGATGGTCCACGATACCAAACACCTTCATGAAATTTGCTAGGAGAAGATCGTCTGCACCAAGTCAGGAACCACCGGAATTTGAAACAAAGATGCACGACCTACGTCACATGAATCTCACAGAAGAGAATCTACATTGGTACGAGAACGAAGTCAGCCAGGCGCCAAATACTCCAAAAACACATATGTCAGGCATCGATCTCATCCCTACACCAACGCACTCTCCACTTCATGTGGAGCACCCGCTCTTCGAGGCGCCTCTACCATTGCCATTCGCCCCGTGGACGGCTGACGGCCCACCAAGTCCAGCATCTTCTCTAGACAACCGCCGAGGCAGCCGGACGTCGTCACTGTCACCCACCAGAAACAATGCGTCATCGCGGCTGTCAGTACAAAACGTTGCGCATAGTCGCCCTACCTCTGGATACTCACACCGAAGTAGCATTGTTATACCGTCGCCGACTAGTATAGCCCCACAGCAGCGCTCTATGATCGACATACCAGGAAGCCCCCGTACCACACCAGCACGAAAGAACACCCCGACTCTAGAACGTACATGCCTCATGTGTAAATCAACCAAGTCAATTCCTGAATTTGCTAGTCGCCACATCACATCGAGCTGCTGGCACGAAACTTCTACGTGCTTTCAATGCCTCCAGTCGTGGATCGAGACGAGTCTCAACACACGGGGGCGGGGACAGTGTACATGTCCTGAGTGCGGAGAATATATGGCGTGGGAAGATATTGATGCTTTTTGCTGACCACCCAATTTTCAGGGTGTGAATTTTGGTTCCGGAAGATGATAGCAAGAGATGGGCCCAATGATACGCCATAAGAGGCCGTGTCCTCGACAACCGCCCAACGGTATACTCGTTACACATGGATATCCAATACGTGGGGTTTGAACAGTCTTAGAGCTCTTCTATTCTTATAGCAAGACTTACAAAGATAAATTAGCCGAAGGAGATACTGAGGTGGATTGGAGTCAATTGGTGGCTATGGAATAGGCGAGAAGAAAGCCAAAGAGATTGAAAACGATGTCACAACGGAACGCGTGGATGGCGTATCAAGACAGGAAACATATTTATGTATTCAGAGTACATCCTGAGGTGGGGTATGAGTGAGTTTAGGTCTCAGTGAAAACACACGAGCAGCGAAGGATAGGAGGATTAAGACGTAGAACAGATAATGACTTACGACAGCATCATATTAGGGCTCTGGCTTCGGTATTATTAATTGTAATAGGGTTTAAGTACCCACTTATCCTCAAACGAGCACAAAGGTCCTCGCAGCCCCCTCCTCCCAGTTCACAGCCTCTCCAAACATAATCCCCTCGACGTAGCAATCTCCCACTACCTTCCACTCATTATCTTCCATTTGCTCGCTCTCATCAACCTTTCGCAAAACAATAGGGACGATACACCCATGCAGGATTACGATCACACTCCCCTCCTCATTCCCACCCCTCGCCACACTGCCAATGAATGGCGCAAGTCCAGCCCTCCCCTTCTCCGTTCTCATGAACCGCCTGCCTCTGCCCATGTTCAGGCTGATTGCTAGAGCTTCCGCGTGTTTGTGGAGATGTTTGTATTCATCGGGAAAGCCCCCTGGTGCAAGGCCGAGAATCTGTTCTGCGGACTCACGGGGTGCTTCACCGTTATATGATACAGTGTTGAGGAAATTGATGAGTTCGACTTGTGTCCAGTCTTCGAATCCGGAGAGGTCTGATTTGATCTGTGTAACAATACTGGTGAGGTATTCTTCGTCGGTATCCCAGAATCGTGCGATGCGCGCGGAGCTGATAGTGTCGATATGGTCAATGATCTGACCGCGTACTTGTAGGCGGCCAGTGTGGGCTGCGTCGAATGCCATGTCATAGATATGACGTCGACCCGCTGCTGTGTTCCATCTGGTTCTAGTAGTCACTGATCGAATAGCACCGACTGCGAGACGGAAGGGTGCGGCCAGAGGTATTGCGGAGAAGGATGGCACCCAAGATGGTAGACCTAAAAGTTCTTTAGGAGTGTCTTTTAGCATATCGTCCAGGTTAGCAGACCAAAGGGACAGGAAGTCCACAGATCCGTACTGTCTAGCAATGGTCGCCGCAAATCGTGTGAAGTTCTCCTTCACCGTCGTCTTGTAGTCCGGCACAAAGTCTAGACCGTCGATAAGACCTAGAAACCCGTACAACCGATCACCTAGCTCTTGTGTCGCGAACTCCTGCGCTACGTTCACCATAAGGCGCAGGAATCTCAGCGGCTGAGGTGTATCCGTGGACGAATCAGTCTTGAGCTGCATCAGTATTCTATAGCTCAACGACCCTTCGGTAGCCTCCGATAACGCATCATCCCCTGGCACAGTAAACAAGTCAGCAAGGTCTTGCAGGCTGAAACACACATCACCTGTCAAGCAAATGACCTCTCTCGCAAGGAGAAACTCTTGCACGATCCATCCCCGACGAAACCACCTGCGCCCCCAAAATCCCCCAATAGCAGATGCCCAAACCGGAGCGGTGCTAGGACTACTGAACGTATCTTGCAACATCAAGAATCGCCAACTCGGTCGATATTCGGGGCTTCCGATCGTGATCTTGTTCGCACTCTTCATTGTTGGTACTAGTTTTTCGATGCCCTCGAGCCACTGCTTACACAAGCGACTACTCTCATCCTCTGGACCCAGCCAAACGATGACACGCGTCGCCTTTTTGTAGATTTCGGACATGAGGCCTACTTGCACAGCTTTTTCAGTATCATCTGCCTGGTCGATGCACAATTGGTCTATCCAGAGACGTTTAGTTCTTGATTGCTGCGTGATGTGGGGGAGTGCTTCAGTCAGATTTGCTGTAAGCCCAATGTAGCCTTCTCCACTTTGAATTTGGAGGCCGGAGATGCGGTGGTAGTGGCCCCAGGTATACTTAGGATAGGTATACACAGTCAGTGTCTGTTCTGAAACTGGTGTAGATAGCCAATGTCTTTTCGCAAGATTTCTTGGAAGGTAAGAAAGGATGGAACGCATACTACAATGCGTCAGCACAGTTCCAGGTCCTAACAAGTAGGCCGCTTGAGTGCAAAGCTTTAAAAGAAACAACCCTCAATGGGCATAGGCACAATACCAGATATCGCTTCGAAGTCGAGTTGTTCATCGTCAATAGGCAACTCTACTTGGACAAGGCTGTAAATAGGCACTGGGTTAATGTCGCTTTCGACTTCGCTATCATTGATCGTCAAGATACGTATGTGACGGCGACTTTGCAAAGGCTCATAGGCGTATGTCGTTGAGAAGTCGCGAGCGTTTGAAGCCATTGTTGCGTATGGTGTCTGAGAAGAAGTTAGATGTTGCACGGCGGTTGTACGTCCCTCTTGGCTGTTGGGGAAATTGAACTTGTATTGAATAAGGTTAGTGTCTGCCTTGCAGCCCATGGCGGGGATGCCTGCAAGAAGATAGCGAGCAAGAAAAAGCATGGTCAAATAATATGAAGAACAATCGTTACGTTGGTTTGAAATGTCGTGCGCGAATAAGTACATGCATCATCTACTACTGAGTGCAGAGCTAGAAGCTACTACTACTCTCGAACAAAGGGTTCATGATGGATAAGAAGCATCTCCTAGCAAGATCTGCTTTGCAGCGACCCAAGGAACATCGCGTTCAGCGGCTGCTGTTGTCTGAACACATGCAGTCAAGAAGTTGTGCCAGCCGTCCACCGTCTCTGCAGACAATCCGGATCGAACGTCGGGGGTGCATTGAGAAGTCAAGAACCATGCGGCGCTTCCAAAGCTCTTTTCATTATCGCTGTTGACCAGCGCGAGCACAGCATTCAGTCCAGCATCTCCTCCGGCCGTCTCTGCTTGCGCAACGGCCTGCTCCCCAGCCACACTGCTAGCGTAGAGTTTGACAAACGGTGGCATAGCCATCATCCTCGTCCCTTGCCCTGGCCTCCCAGGGAAGTGGTTCTTGCTGTATTTGAAGTCTCCGGATTCGAACAGCATATACGCTATGAGCGCTGCCTTTTCCCCCGTGGATGTGATCTTGTAGGTTTCGAACGCCTTGTTGATGGCAGTCGCAGCTTGGGACGCGTCGGCGCACTCGGCGGGAAACTTTGCATCAGCGCAAGAGGCAGTTGCTGGTGCGATGGCGGTGAGTTTCTCGGCGGTCAAGGCGGTTGTGTTGCCGGCTCCCTTGGATTCTTCGATGTCGCCAGGACAATCTGGAAGAGGTGCGGAAAAGGCAGACAGTGCTAATGCAGTAGCAAGGAATATCGTCTTTTTGAAACCCATGATGTTTGACGTAACCGGAAGTTGGTATTGATTTCGATGCGGATCGGAACAGGTTCAATGGCGAATACGTCTTGATTATAGCGACGGTTCGAAGCAGGCTCTTGATGGGATTATGTCTGAACGAGTGAGTGCGGAAGGAAGAAGTGTCTCAGACCAGTAGAGACAAAATTCACGAATAAAGAACAAACTTTTGAGCTCAGACCAGGGAGTGAAGGCAGTGTAAGATGGCAGTGCGATGAGCTAAGGGAAGTCGTAAGATATATATGGCGCGCGCTTGCATTCCTCTCGGTGCCCCGTCAGCACATAAGGGGCTGGGGGCCTTGAGCTGCCCTGAATACGACTCTGAATGAGGTAAGTCAACGCCTGCCAATCCTTACCTCGACGGTGATTGCAGATGAGCCACGTGATGACGTCCTTTGGAGCTGTGATTGGATGTGTGTTTCGAATACGGCGTGTTTCGAAACAAGCGGACGTGTCAAAGCTGACAAGCTTTCGCCAGAGCCTATGAATGCACAACAGCGGCCTTCTTCTCCTGGGCAATCTCGCGAGCTATGCCCGTTTTCTGATCAATGTCTCAAGATGTGAATGGTTTGCCTAGCCCTATAGATATAGTTGTAGACAGGACAGCCCTTACTGTTACTTAGTAGTAGTAGAGCCTGAAAGGACGAGGGCGATCCGGCGGTCCTCGGCGCACCTGCGCCGCTGTACAGCCTTGAACAACACACTGCCAGTTCTCAACGCGTCGTTCGTAGATCTTCATCCCCGAGTTGAGCAAAAGGGCCGACGTCGCAACGTGGAGCGAAATATGTACGGTACTTATGCTTGCCGCATTTAAACTGACATCATGTTGGCTGGAAATTGCCCCACCAAACAGTTCAGTATGCCGTGCCCCTCATCAGGACCGAGGCGCTCGACCACCCTTTTGTACATTGCATCGTTGTCTATTTTCATAAATCACAAATCTTCAATAACCCATCCGGCTCCATAATTCAATATGCCTGCCGTAGAATCCAAGTTTGACCCCAAAGACATGGAGTTCCGCCGCCTGGTACGTCAGATGGATTTACGCGGCCTATGCGAGACGTACTGATTTCGTACCTAAAACTTTAGGGACCTGCAGGTCTTAAGGTGTCGGTCTTCTCTCTGGGCGGCTGGTTGACGTATGGTGGAACGCAATCTGGGTCAATCGTACGTATTTGGACGAACTGTATGTGAGCAGTACACTGACCTTGTACCTCAACGTTTAGGTCAAGGACTGCATGCAAGCAGCCTGGGACCACGGCATTAACTTCTTCGATACTGCAGAGGCTTACGCAGCCGGAGAGTGCGAAGTTGAGATGGGGCAGGCGTTGAAGCAATTAGCGTGGCCACGCGATGAGTTTGTCTTGTCCACAAAGGTAGAGTGTGTCGCCCAGAATCACACCAAAATGAGGCTGATGACTCTTGGTAGGTATTTTTCGGAACGAAGAGAAAGGAGCCAAACACGAGGTAGGTTTACAGGCACAACTTGCCATTCAAATACTGACCAAAGCCAAGGGGTTTGTCCAAGAAGCACATCATTGAGGGTCTGAAAAGCTCCCTCGCCCGTCTCGAGACGCCCTATGTCGACATTGTCTTCGCTCATCGCCATGACCCTGAGTAAGCTTGACTTGCGCCTCTGTGAAACCTTCACTGACTGTCTACCAGCGTGCCAATGAAGGAGATTGTCGAGGCATTTACGCAGGCCATTCATATGAACCTGGCATATTACTGGGGTACAAGCGAGTGGAGCGCGGAGCAGATCCAGGAGGCTATCAAGATCGCAGAGAAGTATCATCTCATCGCCCCGGTGGCCGAGCAGCCCCAGTACAACGCCTTCCATCGCGAACGTTTTGAGAAGGAGTATGCGCCTTTGTACAAGGACTACTCTTACGGTACGACTATATGGAGTCCGCTGGCTTCTGGGTTGTTGACAGGCAAATACAACGACGGTATACCCGAGGATAGTCGTTACGCTTTGAACCCGGACATGATGAAGAGTAATATTGAGGCATTGAAGAGCGAGGAAGGTCAGAGCAAGATCAAAAAGGTCAAGGAGCTGACAAAGATTGCCGAGAAGCTGGGAGGTACCACAGTACGAAACCCAATGTACGGACCGCATGCGAGACTTGTACTGACCATATTTAGACGCAACTGGCGCTTGCATGGGCTGCGAAGGTAAGAGATCCATGAACGAAGAGCACGTGCGACATATGCTGACTTGATAAGAACTCAAATGTTAGTACTGTCATCCTTGGAGCGACGAAGCCAGAGCAGGTTCACGACAACTGTGGCGCCATCAAGCTTCTGTCCAAGCTGACACCAGAGCTTATGGAGGAGATTGAGGGAATCCTTGGCAACAAGCCGTAGATTGTCATGCGTCTGTTGGAAGTGTGAACAGGTGAACAGGTGAACATGGTAGGCAATGTAAACAGAATATGATGCTTGGTTTATACGCGAACTAGACTCAAATGCACTCCATCATGAAGCGACGTAGCAATATGAGCAAGGCTTGCCTGAACACTGCCAGCTGGTGATAGCCATATTCTCTTGGAGAAATGTTTAGAAACCGTATAACAGAGCTCACATGACGGAGCCGATGTCGTGTCCAACTCTATTAGAGTCAATTCCTCCAGCGCCGTGTGATGGGAATGGTTAACCACGGACAAGATCGTCCTGGTGCAGCGGCTCCCAAGCCCGCAAACGTGCGGCAGGGCGTCCAACATGCGTGAGCAACCACATCAGTCATCCGGCGCACGCTTCGCCTGAACAAAACAGAACAATGATAAAGGTGTCGTGCGCGTCCTCAGCTTCATTTTCTGGTCTTGGCTTTTCTCCAGCTGTTGTTACTCCGGTCTTCGCCGCTGGCACGTCATCCCAAAGGATTCATGGTTCCCTCGAAGCTCTAGACCGCCACAGAGCCGCAACCCGTCCAGTCCAACCTCGGCGGGGGCGAAAAGGCACTTCCGTCGCGCTCTCTTTGATTGATCAAAATTCGCATCCACAGCTCGTTCCGCGCATTGGCGTCCTCGTGTGCCTTCAACGTCCAGAGAGGGCAATTCCAAATCCCTAGCCGGGGCTGTGCAATCAATGACCTCAGTCACAAAGAGCGCATTACTTTCGCGGGCCAGCCGGCGCTGACTTGCGTTGAACATCGCCCTGTAAGTGTTGGAGTGGTCCCCAAGGTTCCTTTCTGGCCGCAAATCCGTTTGCCCTTGTTCGTGCTACTATTTGACCCCCGGACCTGCGACGTGGAGAGCTCCATCTCGCGTCTCAATTGTACCTCAGCTACTCCTCACCTGTACCACTTCATCCTCCTCCGAGCCTTCTTACATTCGAGTGTCAAGCATCGCGCCGCAAAACTCACCGCAGTCTGATAGAGTTTGGTCGTCTTCCGCTGAGTTACGTTGTTGCACAAGTGCGCGATCCTGACCGTCGAGCATAGGATCGTGCTGAGGTCTGAACGTTTCGTATCTGCACAAGGGTTGGACCTGGGCTAACCGGCCTCTAGTGCGGTGTCCACCCCATATCCACGGCTCTCTTCAATATCAGCGCTGAATTAAGTGAACTGTTTGGTCTCCAGGTGCACGCGTTGATCAATGCGACTCGCATAGCATGGCTACCATTAAGACAGATCCCTCAATTGGGGACACAAACTACCAAAATGGCAGTGGTGAGTTCATTTCCGCTTTATTACCATCTTCGAGCGCTTTAACTGCTTTGCGTTTGAAGTCGAGTCTGTTTTGTCTTCGCCTCGCGACTCCCATAGTCTGTGCTTGGCCCGCTGCTAGGCCTTTCGTCATTGGCCCTTTCCTGTCGATGCTGTTCGTATTTCTTTACTCCACGGCTAGGAGCACGCCGCAGACACAGGGTGAGTCTCGCCAAGGCAGAGTTTTCGATACTAGCATAACTGTTGCTCACGTGCCCACCGGCTTGTTTGCTTGCCGGTCGTGAGCATCGATGCATAGACGACGGAGCAAGCCTGCGAACAGTTGCCCTGCCTTGACCGACTGCGAGCCATGGATACACTACATATACATGGCGATGCTACTGTCTTGCCGCGTCCAAGCTCTCTACACATGCACCTATTGTAATATCTCTTTCCAGCTCTCTTTTACCCACTCTTTCTTGTCAACATCATGTCACACGGTCGTTATATATCCTGGCCAGATGCGCATGTGCTGACCATAGCGCCCACCTACCCTCCATCCGGCGCTGCCAACAACTACCCTTCTCCTGCAGCCTCTCGTCGACCATCCGAGTGCCTCTCCGAGATGAGCATGAGTGGCAGTCGGAGGGGTAGTTTAGCTGGCTTTGCGTCGGAAATGGAGAGTACAGGGCAATGGCAATCAATAGGCAGTGAATCAAAAAGTCCACTAGCACAATTTGGTTTCTTCAAAAACCTGACGGAGAAGAAGACAACACGGGGTTTGTTGGTCAATGTCATGCACCTTGCACAGTTCTGATCAAGTGTAGATGGCCAACAACCGAAGAGAAGAGGTCCCAAGCCAGACAGCAAACCAGCCACGACACGACGACAGGAGCTAAATCGTCAGGCACAACGGTACTATCAATCTCAAGCTCCGCAACAGCACACGCTAACCTCTAGCTAAGAACGCATCGAGAAAGGAAAGAACTGTATATCAAGGCTCTCGAGCAAGAAGTCATTCGCCTCAAAGATACATTCGCTACTACTTCCCGAGAACGAGACGCTTTCGCAGAAGAAAATCGACGACTAAAAGAATTGCTCATGGCTCACGGTATTTCATTCGAACTTGCTAGCCCTACAAACGGCATGGGCCGTATCGGGAGTTCCTCATACGGAAGCTCAAGTGGCAGTGCATCATATGGCCCAGGGTCAGCGTCAACTGGCTATACATCACCACCACAAAGTTTACAACATCGCGGCTCTAGTTCGCATGACGTGCAGAGCCAGCAACCGCTGACCATGCAACAAAACCCACTGGACTATGATCAAATCGGAATAGATTTCGTGTTAACGTACGATCGAACGCCCTATCTTTCTCCTCCACCCCAACAATAGTCCTTCTCGCTCTTTACATCACCTTCTATTTCTTTCTCTTCCACCCTTCGTACGTCATCTGATTTCTTCCACAATTACGCTCCGAGCTGACGACTGCGTCCGACAGCCTCGAGCGACCTTGTATGGACCACATGCAGTACTTAATGGTGCGCGCCCACGACGCCGACGAAACGATTAGCGGACACGCACTCATGGCAACGGCACCACCGGATGCACATATTGCAAATTGCCCGCAGGAGCATTACCCGCATCAAATGCCGGATGTCAAAATGCCGGATCTTATGAAGCTGCTGGACCTCAGCAACCGTCTTCCCCTTGATGGGGAGATCACGCCTATCATGGCGTGGGCAAAGATTTTGAAAGATGAAAAGTTTAGGGAGTTGTCGAAAGAGGATCTCGGGCTTATCAAGGGGGAGCTGCTCGCCAAAGTGCGATGCTATGGGTAAGTTCGACGTTTCAAGCGGTACGGGGCATGGCTAACCTCTGCCATATAGCTTTGGTGCAGTTCTCGAGGAGTTCGAAGTTAGCGACGCGCTAATGACTGTTCTTGCTGGAAAATACTCGAATGGTAACCCTACACCCGTCATGTAATGTTTATTAAGCATCAAAATTGCGGTTTTGGATAATTATAATAAGTTTCTTTATACTACCTAATGCCGTTCGTTTCAATATCAGACAAAGCAAGCTTGCCTTCGAATACACGTCCCATCTGTTTTTATCCTCCCTCGCGTGATGGTCCCTTCCAGATAATGGTCAGAGCTTCAATGCCCCACTTTAGCCACGCAGGGTCCCGCGTTACGATGACCCCCCATCCTGAAGCATTCCCGTCTGGTGAAACCACAATTACTCTTTATCGCCTTTCTCATACTTTCAGCATCCGCATAAGAGCTTTCTGCGTCCCCGCTTCACTCGCTCTTGCCGTCTATACCCCGAAGATACGCGTATACTCCTATTGACCCCTCTCACCGACTCCGACTAGAGTACTAGCCATGAGCGAACTCAGCGTCTATGACAACGATCCAACGATCTACCTCTTCACATCATTGACTGCCGGGTCTTCACACATCATCACAGCTACATCGCGGATCGAAACCATTCTAAAAGCGAACAAGATACCGTTCAAGTACAAGGACACGGCAACGGACGAGCTCGCGAAGAAGTTGTTCCAACGCAGAGCAAGTGGGAAGAAGTTGCCACTTGTAGTCAAGGAGGGATATGTGCTCGGCGTTCGTACAATAGCCAGCGTGTTCTTTGGGCGAAAAGGCTGATACAAAGCATAGGGCATCGAGGAGATCGAAGAATGGAACGAGTACGATGAGATTAGAGAAGCGTTAGGCGTCACCTCAGCATTCACGGCCTTCCCCGCGAAACCCTCAGCACCAACTGGCGCCGCACCATCGTCATCGTTTACAGCTACAAAGAAGGAGGACACTGCGAAGTCAGATCCAGAGCAAAACCTCGCGATTCGTCAACTGGGTGCCGAGGCCGCGAAGGTTGCTGCGTCGAGGAAGCAAGCACCAACCAAAATCGCTACTACGAACCCACTGCTAGCTGAGAAGACGAATACACCGACATCTGCGACACCTCAGAAGACGAACACACCGACATCCGCGACGCCTCGGAAGGCGAACACACCGACATCCGCGACGCTTCAGAAGACGAATACACCGACCTCTGCGACGCCTCAGAAGATGCCTGTGAAAGCGGGCGCAAGCAGTATTCTCTCTCCACGCTCGATACCACTTCCTCAGACACCTAAGCTTGCCTCTTCGACCACAAAAGATAAAAAGCCACAGGTAACGACCGCCCAACCTAAGACTTCTAAGCTCGCCTCGTCCACCACAAAGGATAAAAAACCATCGGCAACCAAGGCCCAATCTAAGACTTCTAAACTCGTCTCCTCGACCACAAAGGATAAGAAACCACAGGCAACCAAGGCCCAATCTAAGACTTCTAAGCTCACCTCCTCGATCACAAAGGGTAAAAAGCCACAGGCAACCAAGGGCCAACCTAAGATTCCTAAGCTATCCGATCTCCAGAAACCCGTACAAGCGCCTCCCTCAATGCACGATGACGCTGCGAACCCAGCTCTCAGCGCTGGTCCAATATCTAAGACACAGAAGGAGCTAAAGGGAGCGAAGGTAGACGACGCAAGTAAGAAGGAAACGAAGAAGGTCGAGCAGGCGACTGTAATAGAGGAGGAGAGTAGTGAAGAGGAAGAGGACGATGATGATGACGACGAGGAAAGTGACGATGAAGAAGAGAGTTCAGATAAGGCGGAGAGTTCAGAGAAGAAAGAGAGCATGGTGAAAAAGGAGAGCGAGGAGAAAGAGGAGAGTTCAGATGAGGACGAGGATAGTGACGAGGAAGAGGAGAGCTCAGAGGAGGAGGAAGAAAGTGATGAAGAGGAAGGCATAAAGAAGGAAAGTGCAAAGAAGGGAAGCGCAAAGGAGGAGGGTGACGAGGAGAGCAGCTCCGAGGAAGATAGCTCGGAGGATGACAGCTCAGAAGAGGAAGTAGACAAGGCCAAGGGGGTTCCAAAGACGCAAAAGCAGGACCCGAAAGATGCAAGCAAGGCGAGCGCGAGTGTGAAAGGCTAGAGTTGTTCCTCAAGGGCTGCATAATATAGCAAGAGGTGCATTGTATTATGAAGAGAGCAAGTATAAGCGATCCACACGACTCACATGCCTCGTGTTCCAGCCAAAAAATACTGCAATCAAGTTCTCATCCAAGTCGCTAACTAGCCGACGCGCGATAGGGCGGATCCACATTGAGAGGCACACCGTCGGTCGAACCTCCAAGGCACAGCAAAAATGCAAAAAAGAATGGATGCTTTGAAGCTCTCAGACGGGGAATCTTGATTAATGTTAGTGTTGCGACTCGAACCTGCGGACTACAGTTGTCTTACCGAACCCCGGCCTCCGGCGAGTTGTTTGTTGACAAGCCGAAATACTGACCACTATACGATCTGAGATTGCCAACCCAATGGGCTGAGATTTGGTGGTTTGATGGAGATTTTGGAAATAAGAAGCATTATATACAGGTGCAAAGTGTTGCCAATGAGAGCATAATTAAAGGTATCAAGTTCAAACGGAGCGTGGTGTGGGTCGTGTGAAATAAGCGATTGCAAGGGTACGCGCCACTTCGAAAAATTTGGTATCCATTCAACTAATTTAGCAATGCTACAACATACAATTCCAACACAGGGTATAACAAGCCCTACTCTCTGCACACCTTCTCAGGACTTCGTGGCCTTTTCCGCCGCGTGTGCGTCGCCCGACGAGCTATCTTCATGGTCCTCTGCAGCACTCTGTCCCTCGACAATCGCTTCTTCACGTCCAAGCATCATATGTTGGATATTGACTTTTGGTCCCTTGAACCACTTGTGCGCTGAGACGAACCACCATACTGTAACAATTAACATGGGGCCTCCATATACTACACAGGTCCAGTTCATATTCGCAGCGCTGTGCAGCGTGTTAGCGAGTAGTTCACACAAGTAAATGATGGCCGTGCATATAGAAAGAAAGCAATTACGTGACTTACTTCAACTCAGCGCCGGTAGAACTAGGCAGACACAGGATGGGCACCATGAGCAACACGAATGCAGATGCAAAAGCACCGATGGGCATGGAGAACTTCCCGAGGTTCCACGGTCCTGGCCGGAAGCGCTTTCCTACGAAGAAGACGCGTATGAAGATGGGTATGGTAAATGCACTGTTACAAAGTAAGCACCATTTGGTTACCTAGGTGTGTGGCAATGTGAAAGGTTTAAAACTCACACAAAAGCGGAAATAGCACCAATAGAGAACAGTGCACCAATAGGTACTGACCCGCCCAGAATCAACAACAAGCACAGAATGCCGACCGCGCAGTTGAACCACACAGCATTTGCAGGCGTTTGCGTGTATCTATTCACTTGCTTCCAATAATTGCTGAGTGGAAAGCAGTCGTCGCGCGCATACGCAAACGTGACTCTACTCGCCGCAATCATACAGCCCTGACCCATGGAGAAGCCCGCAATAATCGTGAGTGCAAGGATCGCCAGCGTCATCTTCTGCGTCATGCATTGGATGAGGTATGCAGCGAATGGCTGTCCAAGGTCGGAGTCGAGAACTTGATCAATATCGACGACCGTATACGCAACAACGAGCTGCAGGAACCACCCGAAGATGCCTCCCGTTGCGGAGGTAAGAACGATGGCGCGCGGCGACGCAAGGTTGGCGTTTGAGCACTCTTCTGCTAGATGGAAGGGGCTGTCATATCCACTCATTGTCCATATCACACCAATAAAGCTCATCAGCACGCTCACGCCGGGCAGGAACGATGTGCCCTCGTAGATGGTACCCCAAACTTCGCTAGATGGAGTGAACCTTGGAAGACCTCGTGAGGAGCGGTTAGTCCCCGCTGGGATCAGAATGATGACGATTATGAGTGCGACGAAGTTGAATGTCGAGCCCGCGGAGTTGAACTGTGCGAGCCACTTCGTAGGCATGGAGGAGAGGATTGCGTGCAGGATCATTATGAAGACCGTGAGAAGAAAGGTTTGCCAGTCTGTGGGCACGTAGTCTGGGTTGTTGATGGAGCCGGCAGCGAGGATCATAGCAGATATGCCATAGTTCACTTCAACGACCTATTAGTCCTGACGACGCATATATTGGTATGTTTACTGACCGGATGGCGCTGCAGTCACTTGAGCAAGCCAATTGCTCCAGCCCGTTAGCCAAGCGGCGAATGGCCCCCAACCTGGGGGTGCCAAAACAGCTGCGGCATAGTATAGCCCTCCGCTTGTTGGCATTGAACTACACAGCTCGGCCATGCTCATTGCCACGCACTGGATTCCCAACATGGCGATGATCCATCCCCATGTCATCCCAGCCGTACCTGCATATCCCATGCCATAGGTCAGCGTACTCGCAAAGCTGGGCAGCAACCCCAGCACCGCAAAGCTCACGCAAAAAGTCGTAAACAGCGAGAACTCTCTCTTGAATTCGCTCTTGTATCCAAGCGCAGCCAGTACCTCCTCATCGGGATTAAATGAATGCCTAGGATCGTACGGGACATCGCCATCGGGGAGCACCGACGTCACGGGCTCTTCAGCTATGGACCGCTTCCGATGCGACATCACGTTATCTCTGGTAGCCATTGTCGTTGCGCAACGCTCACGGGCGCGCAAATGGTGGGCTGAATCGTTGTGGGGAAGCCGTCCAAGAAGCAAAGAAAAAAGTCTAATAAGAGAACGTCAACGTTTTCGCATACAGTTCCACTGTCAAGGTCGATGAACCATGGAAAAGATAAAAATAAGCAACCGCCTGAACCGACTATATATGATTATTATGCTGCATTGGTGCCAGGGCTCTGCTCAGCCCGAAGAACTAGTAGAAGGGTCGTGAGCGGGGGTCGACAAGATAGGACGGCACACGCGAGCTGGTGTTCTGAAGCGAGCGAGCGCGACCGGCCGTTGACGGCCTGCCCATCATGGTTGGTGAACGAGCTAGTAGGGCGGGCGATAGACTTGCAGACAGCGAATGACGACAAGGTCTGTCGCTATCTCTTTATCAGTGGGTGGGTGACTCTGTTCGCCTACCACAGTATAGGCTTCCCTAGCCGGGTAGTGTGGATGTGGAGAGCAAGCCGGGGTTAGAGGACGCGCGACGGATGATGGAGGTGTAACAAGCCACGGCGAGCTGCTAAAGAGCTGGTTGGCACATTCAAACGCCACAATCAGTAGAAGAGACGATGGCGCGCAGACACGAGGTTCAAGCAAGCCCAAGGAATGTTAAGCCGTGTATGTTGTTTGATGGTTTCGATTAAGCACCTATCGCGGGGGCGGAAACGCTCCGATACCTGGAGGGCCAGGCTTATTAAACCCAAGCAGATCCCTTCCTTACTGTGTACGGCTGGACATGCTTCAACAGGCATGGCTTTCCCTTGCAACGGCCCTGCCCGTCAGGTTGCGAACAGGTCCCACATGAAGCAGGATAGCGGGCCTATACGCGGGGATAAGCTGGACATTGGGTATCATAGAACGTTTAGCTAAGAAGATAACAGCATCATCGCTCTGACACGCTTTGACCTGAGATCGCATGTGAATGCTCACGTAGCAAAGGCGACACAGGAGCTTCATCCCCATAGAACCTAGTAGACCAAAGGCTAGGTTTACCAAATGCGCCCGAGAAAATGACTATCCCCTCAGTAGTAACTCGAACTGGGAGCATAATCTGCCTTGGTGCCCGGAAACGCTCCTGCAGGAGTTCGGTCGTCTTCGTCGGCACTATCGTCTTCCTCCCCCTTGAAAGCTTCACTCGGATCCAGAGGCGCCCTCATCCGTACGAGCGAATCTTCACCAAGCGCTGGGATCACGAACATTTTGGGGTTATGAGGGTCTCGTCCAGAGGGCATGCTGGCCAACAAAGGTTCCGATGGCGGTACTAGCTGAACACCGACCTAACAGAATCAGTAAGCCAAGTAGACGAAGATATCCAGACACACATACCGTATCGTTCATCTTCTCCCACTTCTTTAACAGCATATCGACCACTCGACCCTCCTCGAACTTGCCAGCATCAGTTCCCCAATCGACCCCTCTTTCAATCTTGCGATCTTCTCTCTTTTCTTGCCATTCCTTCTTTAGCTTCGAGAACCCAGAAGACTTCTTCTCTTCCTCAGTACCCAGAGAGACGAACCCCAGCTCTTTCCTCGCACCTCGAAGCCACGCAATGCCTTCACCAGTTTTGCCCCCTGATTCAGCATCACACGCCAGAAATCGACAGGCTTTTCCTTTTGCGGTTCGCCTCAAGTCGTCTACGTATTTGAGCAAATCATCGTTGATCTTGGATGATCGACCTAGCATAGCTTGGGCTTTGGCAGCATGCTCAGACGATGCCAGACATAGCCGGGCAAATAAATGTGCGCGGACTTTGGGTATATCCACCCCCCTAAACATCCAGTCTTTATTGTTCTTATTCCTATCTTCAATAACAACCGCTGGATATGGGTCATCCTTCAACACCATGATCAGGGTAGCCTCGGCCATGGTAAGCTCAGCTAGCGCTCCCAAGACAGAGGCTGATATGTCCACTGCCGCAGGCTGAGAATTCCATTGCCCTGCTCGATTGACCAAGTACGTGTGTATGGAATTCGCCTCGAGAAAATGCTTCATTGCGGCACTGATCGCCGTTGCACGTTGTTCCGGTGTTGGACTAGTCGCATTGTATAGAGTATGTAGCTGTGCCCGGGCCTGAAGGCTATAGACGTATGCGAGTGTCGATAGGGTGAAGCACAGTTCGCTTTCTAGGCTTTTCAACTTGACTCTTGTCGGCTCTCGTCCTGGTACCGAGGACCCTAGAGTTGAGCGCCATTCTACTTCTAGCTCTTTAACCAGTACCAAGTCGATCTCCTCGCCTGCGCAAATTGTACCGCTCAGCCCAGCGTCTAGCGCGAAAAGATACGGAATGTAGTCGTTGAGTGCGGATGTCACGGTAGACAGATTCGAAGCTTGCGACGAAGGTGGTATGCGCTTGTGTCGTTTCAGCACATCGCGAACGACGCCGCGTGCAGTTGTCGCGCAGTTCGGTAGCGAAGGGTGTGTGCTGCTGCTAAGATAGTCGGTGAAAGATATGCTAGATGTGGTCGGTAATACAAATGGGAAAGGCATTGCGTAGGGGTGGAGTGTTTGTCTGGAGCTGTTGATGCAGGTACAAGGGTAGCGGGGTCGGTATGCAACAAGCTTGGCCGCATCATGCCAGGACCAGATATTAGCAACCAGCATAACTGTATATATAGTTCAAAAGGGAACTAGAACACCTGAATAAATATTCTGTTAGTGAGATTATAAAAGGGACCTAAACTGTACTTAAGCAACTATGTGTTGACTTTAGATTCATGTGATAATGGTAACTCCTCTCCTTGGCACATATATGTACAGGTCTGCCAATGTGAAGATCCACGCGCAGGTCTTTCCAAGTAGGACCTGCCGAAACGCCTAATTGTGTCGTCCCCGTCATCTTCGCGCGCTATGTCGCTTCCTGCGCATTGGTAGCATCTCGTGTGTCCACCCAGCCGATCCTGCAAGGACGCCTTCGCCTTCGCAGCGTCGTCTATTGCTTCTTGAGTGGCTCGTCGATGTAATTGTATTGCGCGAAGAGGTATCCCTTGATTTTTGCGTCCTTCAGCAGCTCGAAGTAACGTTCTGTAGCTTTCGTTAGCCGTTTTCCTGAATAAAGCGATGTGCCCCATCTTGCGTGCAATACTTCAGAATACGCCTCGACGGATGGTTCCGCAGGCAACAAATAAACTTTCAAAAGAGATGTAGGGTTGCCATACCTCTCAAAGGCCCGCACTTCTCCAAGTGATTCACCCCCTCCCTCCGGTAGCACTTCCCCATCTCTTCCCTCACTAACCGTGCCATCATGCTCTTCACCCACTGCTCACGGATTATAGAGTCTTGTGCAGCCTTGAGTGCTTGGTTGTCCTCATAGTCGACGCCACTGAAGGTGGGTGCGACCTTGGGCTTCTTCGCCAGGAACATTTCGGATTCGGGGGTCGGCATTGTGGCGGCGGTGGGGTGTGCGCTGTCGATATTTCAATTGGAGCGAGGTGAACGAGGCAGATTGCGCAAGAGCTGAGCTCAAGGGGCAGCGTAGACGTCGTGAAGCGGAGCTGGAGTTGGATGCGTGTGAGGATGCGAGCGTGAGATCGCGCCGGGCTTTCGGCCAATAGCTGCACGTGATATTTCGATTACTCTCGTTCTCAGTGGAGAGCCTCTACTTGATATATTGAGTTTACTATATAATTTCATGGTGCCATTCCACTGTCTTTCCTGTTCCAATCTTTCATCCAAGTTCCTACAGCTGCACTCATACTCAACACACTTGCCCGCACATCCTGACCATGGATAAAGCTTGTCCCCTTGGCCGGTGGACCATTACGTCCGCCTCGGAACTTCCCCTGCCATCTCCAAGGCTCAAATCTGATTTCACTGACAGACGACTCGAGGGCGCGCAACCTCTCTTCTCTCTCATACTCGCAAATCGCACATATGCGCTCGAGTCTGACGCTGTGGAATGGGTGCGCTCGACCTTCTGTGCAGGGCTGTACGTCGTCTTCTGTAGCTGCAGCTGTCGCTGATGATGCATCGCACTCCTCAAGATCTTTACGGGCTGTTCGGACAGGGAGTGTGTGCGTTGGTGCGTTTGCGCTCGAGGTGGCTGATGGAGCAGCAGACTGGCCTGATGATCCCTCGTCTTCCGGCGACTTCCCTGTATTTCGTTCGACGGTGACTGCTTTGGTTCTTGCGTCTGCGCAGTATCTAACCGGCGTCGATGAGAAAGTCGAGTGGCCGCAACCTAAAAAAATGAATAATCGATAGTAACACATCGTATAAATAGGTGTTGGTATACATTGAGTAGGTCCCTGAAACTCGTATAGTGCTTGATGATGAGTGTTTGTGAGTAGGGCTTGGACTCGGTTGAAAGCAGAGTTCTTTGTTGGCTATCGCATGGCCTCCTGTTTGCAAACAAACCCCATGCAAGCCACATTCGGTCATGCTCCATTATCTTCGAAAGTATGACGATCTATATAGCGGCGTTGAGCGCCACCTAGACATATTTTTGAGACTATTTTGAAGATGATTGTGTCTCGGGCTTACGAGATTCAAAGTCGTGGGGAGACGTCTATCTTCATGTATTAGAATTCTGTGTATGTGCTTGAAGAGTAGTATCTATGAGAAACGAAGATGCTAGAAATGGCTAAAATGCTATGCAAATCCAACCTGCAATATGCGACCACAACCTTGCGGCAACACCAGTTATACTTTTGTTTCTTTTTCCGCCTCAACGACAGGAGTGCTATTTTGCGCCTCCGTATCCAGTGGCAATGAGCTTCTGCTGGCCCTCTTCCTCTTCCGTTCCGCTCGTTCAGCCACTCGCTCTGCTCTCTTCTCCTTCTCTGCTTCTATTCCGGTCTTTGTCTCCTGATGCTGCTTATCGAGCTTGTTTCTAGTGATCATAAGGCTTGTCACGATGGCTACCCCAGCAAAAGCCACGTATACAATCCACATAGTAGACAAGGCCTCTGCGAAGGCTTTTCGTGCAACGGCCTTTTGCTCATTAGGCAACGACTGAATGAGCCCAACGCTAGCGCCAGCAGAGCCTCCGCCAAACGAAGACGCAGTCTGTGGACCTAACGTGGCTACCAGTTGAGATTGTTTTGATTTCATTTCGTTGTTAAAAATGACAGAACCAACCACGACAGATATAGCTGAACCGAGGTTACGAGTAAAGCCAAACGTGGCAGTTGCGGTCGCAATGTCGCGTTTCTATTTCAAGTTTGTCAGTTTCGATATAGAAGATAAGCAATCAGCGTTGGTATAATTACTGGAACAAGGCTCTGAAGAGCAATAAGCGGGGCTTGGAAGTTTGGTCCTACTCCAATACCTGCAATGATTTGGAAGATGATGATCTTTGCCCAAGATGAGTTCTCATCGAGGTTGATAAACAACCCAAAACCAAGGGTCATCATCAACATTCCGAACCATATTAATGGAAGATACTGCCCAGTCTTCTTGATGAAGATGCCTGTGAACGCCGAAAGGAACGATATGGCAAGTGCTGTTGGAAGTACGTAAACACCCGATAAAATTGGCGTAGCTCCGAGTACAGCTTGAAAGTAGAGCGGGAGAAAGTAGGAGCCCGAGATGAAAACGAAGGCGTGGAGGAAGCAGGCCCCTAGGGCTGCCAGATTTGACCGCTTCGAGAAAAGATCTAGAGGCATCAGAGGGTATGGCGCAACCCGCCATTCGACCAGGAAGAAAATGCCGATGGTTACGACGCCAAAGATGATTAGGCACAGAACAGTTGCTGAGTCCCACGGGTGGGTAATGCCGCCAAATTCCAGGCCCAACAGAAGCATTATGGTTCCACCGACCATCGTGAAAGACCCTAACCAGTCAACGGCCTTGAGACCCTTGCGGAGTGGTGTTTTCGGTGTTTTCACATCGAGGAAGAAGAGAATGATGATGAATGCCAGCTAAAGTTGTACGTACGAAGTCAGTGTATGTCTCAAAGCAAGTTCGTAGAAAGCTTTACTCACTCCATCAAGGGGTAAATTAATGTAGAAACACCATCTGCACCTGTTAGTACGGGCTTTCCTAAAGGTTTAAGCTCAACGAACCTCCAAGAGACCTTTTGCGTAAATAGGCCCCCAATAACAGGACCCAGGCTGCTCGCCAGCGCCCACACGCCGCCGATGATAGCAAAATATGCGCCTCGGTCCCGCATGGTAAAGAGATCAGAAATTGTAATATTGGCAAGGGTGATCAAACCGCCTCCTCCAATTCCCTGGATAGCTCTTGCTGCAATAAGCATATCCATATTGACCGAGACGCCCGCAAGTAGCGATCCCACAAAGAATATGGCGTTGGCGACCAGCAGTATCGGTTTTCTGCCAAAAATGTCGGAGACCTTGCCCCAAATTGGTGTCGACGCTGCCTGAGCAATCAAGTATGCTGACCCAACCTAAAAACGGAGATACGAGGTCAGTGCATGTCTGACAAGCACGTCGTACAAGGGACGTTATTTACCCAGGTATATCCAGACGCCGAGTTGAACTCTTCGGCGATTGTAGGCAGTGCGGTCGTAACGATAGTGATGTCCAGGGCGGCGAGCAACACGGCGACAGCGAGCGAAAACATGATGACGGCTATTTTCAACTTGCTTCGTTGCGGTATGTTTTCGTCTTGCGCCCCAGGCGCTGAGGGCTCATCTGCAGCCACGGTTCTGCTATTTTCCTCCTCTTCTTCTGTGCCATTGGGCTCCTGTCCTGAGCCGTCCAGCTCTGCAGTGCTGCGAATGCTCGATGACGGGGTCGCTACGTCGACTTCTTTGAATGGCGCGTTAGGATTCGGCGGCTGGATGTTCCTCGGTGGGACCGTTGCGTTGTGAGTCGACTCCATATTGAACTACTGATAGTACGGGGAGAAAGGTCAGGTTAAACGCAGTTGTCGTGACATTTTTTTTTTTTAGAAAAATGAGTGTTAGTCAAACGAGGACTCGACTTGAAAGTCGCCATCTCGGGATTCGGGGTTTACAACAGCCGAGAGTGCCCGGATTAGACTTGCACTCAGGATCGATAGTTTAGCTCATTAGATCTGTCCATCGGCAATAACTGTGGATTACGGTTATAGTGAAGTTCTTCACAGACATGTACTGATGTTCTGAGAAATAAGTCAGGAGAAGATTTGCGACTAGACTTGATCTGCAGGGCAAAGGTTAGGCGTGAAATGCTGTTTTGGTCCTGTCAGGCAAGCCGCATTTTGGCTCAACTGATAAGATAAGGCAGTGTGACGGGTAGCTGTTGAACGAAACCTGGGGTCTCGTAAAGAATTGCAATGACAGGTCCATGGTCAACGGGTCGGAATGTTTCGGATTGTGGTCGGCTTCACAGCAGATGGTTACAGTCACACAAAGTGGGCTGCCTCTTAGGCGTACCATGCTGTGTGATTGACGTAAGGACGTGTGCATTGCGCACGCCTACCGTGCGACGGGGTGCAGACTGGACTTGTATATGATGTTTATGATGGTATGTTTGTGGTGCAGACCGTCTACTGAGCACGATTGGTATTCAACAAGTGTTCACCAACAGAAGTGAATCAGGGTTGGATTGCCTCAGCCATGATCGCTGAACCCTTTCTCCACTAAATACCCATAGTTCGTTCTAGCGGTGCTCTAAGGTAAGCTATGCATAGCAAAGGTGCTCTTGTGGTACAACCAAGCGCCCAGCACGAGTTCGTAGAGCGCGCAAGCTGGATCGCTAATCTCTCCTGCTGCGACTGAAGAGCCATTTGTATTCGCACTCGCACTCGCATTCGCATTCGCATTTAGATTCATAGTTTCGCTGCTAGGTGGTTTGTCTAGCCGTACTTTCAGGTATTCGTTTGAAACTCGATAGTGTGTCGACCCAGCTTCCTGTTGAGCAGAACTATGGGGACAGAGCGCGATGGTCAGAGGCTGGAGGGTCTAATGGATCGGTGAGCCGCGAGTCTCCGCATGTTCCCCCCACCCACGAGCATTAGATAACATGGAGGAGCAGGTGTTGGAGGAGACCATTGGGGCGCTTCGTCATGCCGCTGAGCATGGTGTTCTCTCTGGTGTTGAGAAGCTAGAGTGTTGACTAGTGTAATCTTGCAGCACAACAGCGAGTAGGATTGGGCGAGTGTTAATCGCAATGCGTCTTGCTCCCATGGTCACATAGACATTCACACGCCTCCTGCCCCTCACTTCCCCGCAACGGTCATGTCGAGGTGCAGCAGCAACAGCAGCAGCAGCACGGAGGAGAACGCAACGAGACGAAGGCTGTTGACCGTTTACCCATGGATTCGCAGCAACAACGGGCGCAGGCGAGAACAGAACGGTGAGCAACGGTCTAGGCTCGTTCTAGGTTTTCTTGTTGGGTGCATGCCGATCAGCCGAACAGGGCTCTTGCAGCTCGATTAGCCAAGGCCCGGGACGTCTATGCGCCTTTGTCGAGGCAAACGGGTATGCAGACGCAACTCAGTGGATCTGTTGACGAAGGCGACAACTGTGGGCTTTCTTTGTGGGCTTTGCGGGCGACGTGAAAGCAGCTTTCGTCATGTCCCAGCAGCCTATCAGGGCGAGCGCGCCCGGAGCCAGAGATACACGACGGGTTGGATGAAAGCGTCCGGGCCCTCTTCTCGATCCAAGGTTGGTGTAAGTGTGCGTGAGTGTGTGAGTGAGTGTGGTGTGTATGTGTGCCTGTGTGTGTGCCGACTATATCCATTCCCAAGCTTGCGGGGACAAGGCACCGTAACGGAACTAGTCTTTGGCTCCACCCACGGGCCTCGAAGCGTTTGCTCGCAACGCCATCCAGCACTTGCAGTTTTCGTCCTCTCCCCACGCGTCCTACCAATATAGACTGCCACTATCCTGTGCGTCTACCCTTGCGTGACAGATCCCAAGCATTCTTGCGACATCTACTTCACAACAGCCCCGCGCTTCCGGTTCCTACATCATAACGAGCACGCCGCACCGGGACCGCATGTCGAGATCGAGCCGAGGGATCTTCGTGGAGGGAGTTTGGCAGCAGAGTACCACCACTGGCCTCTCACCCTGACCGATACCAAGCCATTGAGCCTTTGCGCCTTGCACATGGCCGATGTGCTTTCCCCCCGCCGAGAGGGCTCGCCCTTCCACGGCCCAATTCGCTCCCCAATGCGCTCCCCATCGTCCGCTTCGCTGTCCTTCGACACGTACACGCCACTCCGCAAGAACCAGTACTCGCTGCCAGACGTTTCCTCGCCCTCGCTGGCCTCCTCCTCACGCACATCGTCATTGCACTCTACGCCCTCGAGTAGTCTCTCCCTCGACACCAAGTCAGACGAGTCGAGTAGCGACGACGATGGCCTGGCTTTCCCCAACTATAGCACCGCGCGGCAGTACAGGAAAGGATTTGCTCCCTGTGACATGGAGACATCCACCTCTATAGCTACGGCTACGGCTACGGCTACGGCTACGGCAGCCCAACCTTCCGCATCGCCCTCGCCACTACCCAGCGAGGGCCTTTCTTCAGATACGCCATTAACCACACCAGACCCACTACCCATGTCAGAGGACGACACAGCAGTCCGCAAAGAGCCTTCACATCACGTCGACTATCTCTCGTACGAATGGCGAGAGGAGGACATTTGGTCGTCTTGGCGGCACATTGTGGAGCACCGCAAAGTTTATGGCGAGCGATCCAGGCTCGAAAATGCCTCCTGGAGGACGTGGGCCAAATCGCAGTTCAAGCTGAAGACTGTGTCCCCTGAAACGCTGAATTGGTGAGTGTTCGATCTCTTCGATCGGCACCCCTGTCATGGGGCGTCGATCATCCCCATCCGTGCACCCCACTTCCAGGTTTTTTTGGTCATGAATTCCACTAACAAACCACACAGGCTGAAAGACGTGGATGTTACGTGGCTGTATGGGCCTATGCAACCTGCCTCGAACCGATTGTGCTCGCAACAAAATTCGGAGCCCGCCAGCCGGTTATCCAAGTGTGGTTCTTTCGTCAATGGCGTCAAGAAGCCAATTCTTAAAAAGCGCAGCATGTCAGAAGCCATGCTACAGAGGTCACTTTCATCTTCATCGCTGGTAAAGCAGGCCGCAGAGTCAGTGCAGGCCCAACAGACGACAGGCGGGACTCTGGAGCTACGGAAATCTCGACCAATCATCGGTAGGGCCACCCCTGATCTGCCAACATCCTCGACAATGTCAAGAGGGTTGATCTGGGAGGGCACCGACTACTTCTCTTCAAAGTCTACGTCGGGACTGCACACACCAGATCACAGTGAGAAGAAGCACATTCGATTCGACGATAATGTGGAGCAATGCATTGCTGTGGAATGCAAAGACGCTGATGACGATGAGGATGACTACAACCACAACCCCTGGGCCAAGTATCATGATGAAGAATCTTCGTCTGACGAGGGCGTGGTGATGATGAAGCGCTCTCGAAAGAAGAGGCCGTTGTCACGAACGACATCAACAACTAGCATCAGCAGCGATAACAAAACCATCGCTATGCTACCATCCACAACACTCAAATACAGGACCGACTCACCCGACGTCACAGCACAGCCCCAGTCTCAGGGAATTGGTTTCTGGCGGCAAGGTCGATTATCACCTTCACCGTCACAAGAGACACTGAAGCCTTCTAATCCGTCGAGAAACTTTCTACTCGCAGAGGATGATGAAGAGGGGGATGCCTACTTTAACCCCTCGAGCGCGTATGGGAGCAAGCGGCCCAGCACGCCGACTGCCTCAGACCCTTACTCATTACGAGCGAGCAACTCGTCAACATCCTTGGAGTCTGGTGGACTCCGAAGAACGGCATCCGGCATGTTTATGCCTTTCGAGGACAACGAAGAAGACCCACCCCCACCTGGCATATTAGGTCGGGTTGTAGACACAGTTAATACCGCACGAGATATTGCACATGTGATATGGAATGCCGGGTGGAAGAATTAGTACATTGATTTTAGCGCATGGCGTTCATGGGACTGGACCATACCAGTGGATATACACAATCGGGTTCACACATATTACTGCCTGGTTCTGGCGGGGGTGTTGCGAGGCGCTTCGATTGAAGCCTTGTTCACATTTGTATCAGTGGGACTATGGACATGGTTCTATCTCGCGAATGATAATATATACGTTAATCGCCAACTTGAGGGAATACCCGCATGACGTGCATCAAGGGGGTGAGCTGTTGTCGACATAACGACGATCCATGACAGGCTATGGACGTGGTTGACATGGTGACTGAGAAAGCACGCGTTTGCCCCAACCGTGCAGAAGCGGAGGGTTCTGTAGTGTCACCACGTGAATGCAATGGCTACTGGCTGACGTGGTCTGCAAGCAGCCGTTTCCTTCGCCAGTTGTCTCAAACATGCGGAACACCTGATGCAGAGGGCTAAGTCACCTCAATGCACATGTCAACTAGTGAGGAAACCACGTCGCTGTGGGGAAAGCTCCGGCAATGAGCAAGAAAGATTGAGTCGTGGAGAGGCTCGGGGACCCTTGATTAAGAAGTCGGAATTAGACTATGAATCCAACATGGGTTTTGCATGAACAATATCCCCAAGTGAATACAAAAAAAGGCCAGCTGTCACCCGGGTAGTTGTTGGAAGCGGTTCTCGAAGTATCCAGAGAGGTTGCGCTCGGGCGGAGCAAAACAGCCAATGGGAGATAATCATAAGCTACGACCCGCTTCCGAGGGAAGTTGACACGTTCGCGCTTCCCACCCGCATCTATTTATCAACGGCACCGCCCCAACCTTCTTTGCCGACATCCTTCTCTCCACCTCAACACTACTACTCAAGTCCTCTGCTCTTCCCTAGACAGCAGGCAAGCACAATGCGCTTCGCAATTGGTGCCACTGTTGCGCTCGCTGCCGCTTTTGTGCGCGCAGACGATGCCAGTTCTTCGGAGGCCGAATCATCAACTTCGACCTCTGTTTCGAAGCCTACCTTTACTGTGAGTAGCCTCTTGTCCATGGAATCTGGCCTCGTGCTGACAAGACCTGTGTAGCCTACCAAACTCAAAGCCCCCTTCCTAGAACAATTCACCGACGACTGGGAATCCCGATGGAAGCCCTCGCACGCAAAGAAGGATGTCAAGGCCGACGACGAGGAGTGGGCGTATGTTGGCACTTGGTCGGTTGAAGAGCCTTCTGTGCTGAAGGGCATGGAGGGTGACAAGGGACTGGTCATCAAAGACAAGGCTGCTCACCACGCCATTTCCTCCAAGTTCCCCAAGGCCATTGACAACAAGGATAACACCCTTGTAGTTCAGTATGAGGTCAAGCTCCAGAGTAAGCTGCATCCTCTGACACTAAGCTGGGGTGAATACTAACGCCCGCTACAGACGGCTTGGAGTGCGGTGGTGCGTACATGAAGCTCCTCCAGGACAACAAGGCTCTCCACGCGGAAGAGTTCTCCAACAGCTCCCCCTACGTCATCATGTTCGGCCCTGATAAGTGCGGTGCCACCAACAAGGTATGAACCCCGTAATGTTCAGACTCGGCCCAGACTCACCATGGCAGGTACACTTTATCTTCCGTCACAAGAACCCCAAGACCGGCGAATACGAGGAGAAGCACCTCAAGAATCCCCCAATGGCCCGCATTGTTAAGACCACCACCCTCTACACTCTCATCGTCAAGCCCGACAACAGCTTCGAGATCAAGATCGACGGCGAGTCCACCCGCAACGGCACCCTTCACGAGGACTTCACCCCCTCCGTCAACCCCGATGAGGAGATTGACGATCCCAACGACAAGAAGCCTGAAGATTGGGTTGACGAGGCCCGCATCGCTGACCCCGAGGCCAAAAAGCCCGAGGACTGGGACGAGGACGCGCCTTTCGAGATTGTCGATGAGGAGGCTACCAAGCCTGCGGACTGGCTCGAGGACGAGCCCACCACGATTCCCGACCCGGAGGCTGAGAAGCCCGAAGATTGGGATGACGAGGAAGATGGTGACTGGATCCCTCCTACGGTTCCCAACACCAAGTGTGATGAAGTCTCTGGCTGCGGCAAGTGGGCGCCTCCTATGATCAAGAACCCTGCCTACAAGGGCAAGTGGAGCGCTCCGTTCATCGACAACCCGGCCTACAAGGGTGTCTGGGCTCCCCAGAAGATCAAGAACCCTGACTACTTTGAGGACAAGACGCCGGCCAAGTTCGAGCCCATTGGCGCTGTAAGTCATCTATGCCTGTCTTATGTATATGACAATGCTCACACGATTTAGATTGGATTTGAAATCTGGACTATGCAGAACGACATCCTCTTTGACAACATCTACATTGGCCACTCCATCGACGACGCCGAGAAGCTCAAGGCCGAGACTTTCGACCTTAAGCACGCCGCAGAGAAGGCTGACGAGGAGGCCAACAAGCCCAAGCCTGAGGATACTCCCAAGTCGCCCTCTGATCTCTCCTTCAAGGACGACCCAGTCACCTATGTCAAGGAGAAGGTCACTACCTTTATTGAGATTGCCAAGCGTGATCCTGTCGAGGCTATCAAGTTTGTTCCTGAGGTTGCAGGTGGTATCGGTGTGCTAGCTGTCACGATTCTTGTCCTCCTTGCCTCCGTTCTCGTTGGCTCTGGTGCCGCTCCTTCGCAAGAGCAGCTCAAGGCTCAGGCAGAGAAGGCTAAGAAGGCGGCTGTCGACGCCAAAGACAAGGCCGCTGAGGCTGTGGCTACCGGAGCTGAGAAGGCTCAGGCCGAGGTCAACAAGCGCACTACCCGTTCCACTGCTTCGTAGATGGGAAGTAGGCGTGGGAGAAGTGATTGAAGGGCCGCGGTGGAGAAATACTGTCAGACCAGTGCATGGTCAAAAAAGGGTTACAGGCGGGCGTGGTCCTGGAGGGCTGCCCCGAATTCCCATATTCTTGGATTTCAGGATTCATTACCTACATATCGTTCTGGAGTTAACGCGCTATGACAATGTACCATAGTCTTCGTTTGCAGAATGAGTAGTGCAGCGGCCTTGGGCATAGACCCTCGGATACCAAATACAGCAAGGCATTGATTTCGTCAAGACTCATGTTTCTTATCTTGTGCTGAATGATGATGATATGGAGCATGTGGAGAAGAGAAGAGAAGCGAGCGGCGATAAGCGTGTGTAAGCGCCGTAGACGCGACCGAATTGCGGAGTGGGTCAAGCGATGACCTCGGGAGTGCCACGCGGGGGAGAGCTTCGGCCGCCACTCGCGAAGGGCAAGCCGGAATCTGTTTGCCAGAGCAGCCGTGAGCCTCTTTTGCCCCAATCTTTGCGTGTCTACTTCTTGTAATCTACATAATTGGATTCGCAAAGAAACTCTTCTCGTCCTCTTCTTTGCGCTCCGTGGTGGCTCGCTGCCTCTCCCCACATCCCTTCGGCAGTTGCAACATGGCGTCCCGCCGAGCTATCGCACGCATCTCGACGTTGACCGCCCGCTCATCGTTTCCTCGCGCAGCTCCTCTCTGTACCAGAATGTCGTCGCCTGTCAGTTTGAACAAGGTGGCTGCGCGGCGGTTGCATGCCACGGCCCAGCATCTGAAGCCAGCGACGTCTGCCGTGGCCGAGTCGTATCCTACGAACCACGAACCAATACAGTCGCCCGCAGACACACCGAACTTTCTCGACAACCAATTCGTGGCCTCCAAGGCGACACAATGGATTGACCTGCACGATCCTGCCACCAACAACTTGGTGACGCGCATCCCACAGAGCACAGATGAGGAGCTCAGGGCCGCTGTCGACAGCGCACACAAGGCGTTCAAGCCGTGGAAGGAGACCAGCTTGCTTCACAGGCAGCAGATTCTGTTCAAGTACACACATTTGATCCGTGAGAACTGGGATAGGCTGGCTGCTAGCATTACGCTGGAGCAGGGCAAGACGTTTGGCGATGCTCGGGGTGACGTCCTTCGTGGTCTGCAGGTTGCCGAGACTGCCTGCGGTATCACCACCCAGATGACGGGCGAGGTCCTCGAGGTTGCCAAGGACATGGAGACGCGCAGTTATAGGGAGCCATTGGGTGTGGTGGCTGCCATATGCCCTTTCAGTGAGTGCACAACAACTGGCCGCGACAAGGGCACGACGCTAACCTACTACCCCAAGACTTCCCCGCTATGATTCCCCTCTGGACCATCCCTATTGCCACTGTGACGGGTAATACGTGCATCATCAAGCCCTCAGAGCGCGACCCAGGCGCTTGCATGATTCTTGCTGAGCTTGCTGAGAAGGCCGGCTTCCCTCCTGGTGTTGTCAACATTGTTCACGGTGCGGCCAAGACGGTCGACTTTATCCTCGACGAGCCCCGCATCAAGGCCATCAGCTTCGTGGGCAGCAACAAGGCTGGAGAGTACATCTACTCGCGCGCGTCGGCCAACGGCAAGCGCGTCCAGGCCAACCTGGGTGCGAAGAACCACGCCGCTGTCCTTCCCGACTGCAACAAGAACCATGCGCTGAATGCCATTGCCGGTGCTGCCTTTGGTGCTGCTGGTCAGCGATGCATGGCTTTGAGCACTCTGGTTATGATTGGCGAGACCAAGGACTGGGTCCCTGAGATTGCCGAGCGCGCAAAGGAGCTTCAGATGAATGGAGGCTTTGAGGAGGGTGCGGACCTTGGACCTGTAATCAGCCCAGAGTCGAAGAAGAGAATTGAGGACCTGATTGCAAGTGCTGAGGCGGAGGGTGCTACGATTCTCCTTGACGGCCGCGGCCAGAAGCCTCCGTCTGACAAGTATGCCAACGGTAACTGGGTAGGCCCTACCATCATCGCCAATGTCAAGCCCCACATGAAGTGCTACACAGAGGAGATTTTTGGCCCCGTCCTTGTCTGCTTGAACGTTGAGACTATCGACGAGGCTATTGACATGATCAACGCAAACGAGTACGGCAACGGAACAGCCATCTTCACACGCTCAGGTGCGACTGCCGGTCGCTTCCAGCGCGAGATTGAGGCGGGTCAGGTTGGTATCAACGTACCCATTCCCGTCCCTGTAAGTCTTGTCTGGTTTGATGCAAAGCCTGACAGGTGCTAACCAGCTGCAGCTCCCCATGTTCTCCTTCACCGGCAACAAGAAGTCGGTTGCAGGCGGCGGCGCAAACACCTTCTACGGCAAGCCTGGTCTGCAGTTCTATACGCAGTTGAAGACGGTCACGAGTCTGTGGAGGAGCGAGGATGCGGTGGCGACCAAAGCGTCTGTGAATATGCCCACGCACAGCTAGGTGGGGACGGTGAGGGGTGACATGAAAGTACTTGGCAGCTCCTGTCCGTATATAGTCATAGTAGCAGCCTCGAAGAAAAGCATGTATGTTCCGACGCAGGCACGTACTCTGGCGGATTCTGTCAGACCCATGTAATGTGAGGTGATGATGATGGACGCATGATAACCGGCCCATTGCTTCCAGAAAGACAAGGCTCGGAACGCCAGTCGGCAGTCTGAAACGAGAGGCGCCGCCAGAGGCTATCAACGCTTGCACGAGCCCAGGCTGCCGGGTCACGGCTGGCGCACGCCTACGACGACGCACATGGATGGTCGATGTCATGATGGCCCATTTGGCGCGCATCACAATGTATGCAAAAGGTGGGATTTGCAGCTTGAACTGCTTTGTTGGTGAGGTGGGTGTGGAGAGGTGCCCTATGCGGCATGAGGAGTCGCCAAAGCTTGGGGGG